GCTTTACTACGCTATTTTTCCGTTTTTCCGCATTTTTTTCAGACCAAATTAATGTTACCACGGACTTTTTTATAAACTGCTATCACGTAATGTTTAGAAATTGCATAAGCAGGAAACTGAAATCAATAAATTGTAGATGATGATATCAAACATGCGTGGGGCTTCGCACGCCTTCTTTGATAGCCGTTCTACTTTCACTATCTCAGAGGAAAGATGATGAAAGAGGAAATAAATAGGAGACATGAAACAGAAAGATGAAGCAAATTCAATCTCATTTAAACCGGTCTTTACATTTGTGGGAACAATACATTGATGATGATGGAATCGAGGAACGATGGAATTATGAATAGAGAAACAAATAAAAGGGTAAAAATCTACGAGCAAAACATGATTGAAGAGTTTAAGGCAGAAATTATGTGTGGAATATGTCTCCATAAAATAAATGTGCCAAAAGCCTTGGTTTGCATGCACACCTTCTGTCTTGATTGTTTGGCGTTCGTGCGACAGAAGGATGAAGTGATTACTTGTCCACAGTGCAGAATAAGAACGAAGGTGCCTGGAAATTCATATTCAGTCTCACTTAGTCACCATATTGATTTCATGAATTAACTTTTATTGCAAGAAGCATATACTATTTGAGTTATTTTTCTGTGATTGAATTTGATGTTAATTTTATGTGCGGCAGATTGGAAAGTTTGCAATTTGCGCGGATGAGTTGCTATACTGCATTTCGATTTGTGCGGCAATTATTTACAGTAAAAAATATTTGCTAATTTATATAAACATTTAATGCATTTTAATATTGCGCGGCTGCAGTCGCGATTGGGAATCATAAATCGGCCGTGCATGGCAGGCTTTAACGTCTGGCAAATGTACACCTGTCTAGGCAATTCAGTGGTAATGTTCACCATTTCAACAAGGTCACGTCACAGAATAGACAACAGTAGCGATGTAAAGGGCTTGGACATATTATTCAAAAACGCTACACTAGGCTTCGTGTAATTTTCCAAATACATCACATTGTTGACTGTTTTTCTTTCTTCACGCTCCTCTCATTTGTAACATTTTTGAAATACTATTAAAAAAAGCTAGCACAGCCGATCAAAGATCACAAATTAATAAAGTTTTGATCATAAAAGGGCATAAATATTCATGCAGTTATTTGCAATTTGAACTTTCAAAGAAATGAGCATTTTTCTAATTAGCAATATTTAGCCTAAAATAGATAATTATGAAGGCGAAAAAATAGTGTTTGAGTTTGGGAAAAAATCAGAAAATCAGATATTTAAATCATCAAGCAGTCAGACGACTGTAATTTCTTTGGGCATCTCTTTCAAACATATACGCATCAATTATTTGATTGATTCTTTTTGCTTTTTTCCACAGGTTAGAAATGGAGATGTCAAATCATTACCAACAGCCTTCTTTGTAAACAGGATTGGTGATATAGTTAGCAGATATCTAAAGCAAATGCAGACTGAAAGTCTTTGCACAAGGAACCAGCTAAAAAATCATGTTACATGTAACCAGATTATTCAAGGTGACTTTAATTGCTGTGATAATGCATGCATGAAATGTCATTTGCACCATCACAATGGATTACAATGTCAGAAAGAAGTAACAATTGTAACTCAGTCACAAGGTAATGATAGAAAACTTCAAGCTGAAAGGAAAATTGGTGAATCACTAGGCAGCCAAAGACAGTCATTGATACACATATCATTATCATCAAAACAAAAAGTCAATTCGATGTTAAGGAAACCTGCTTTGGTCAGTTTCAAGCCAAGTCAGGGTTTGAAATTTGATGTTTTTCTCTCAAAGACGGTTCCTGGTGGCGGTAGTCAGTTGGTGGACAATGCTAGCAGCTATGTTTGATGAGGACATGGGTATCACAGTGTAAAGCATTCTTGCTGTTGAAAATACTCATTTTTACTGACAGGAGGCAGGCAGTGTCATATCTGTACCTTGATCATAGTTAAATCTTGTCTGCAATTTTAGATGACAAGACAAGTAAATACGTAGGTCAGAAGTGCAGAAAATTTGAGAAAATGGGATAAATTTTTTCGTAAAATGAAGTTTAGCAGCAGAATAGACATTGTAACAAAGTAAGAATTTCTTAGATTAGAAAGTCTGTCTGTCATCTTAAAGGAAACTAATGCCATCTACCCTATCTCTTTGATGCTGATGCAAAAACTAGGCTATATCCCCTTTAAATAAAGAAAGACAGATAACATAAGAGACTATGTTCAAATCGTGGAGAAAAACAAAGTAGTAACTCTGATTAGGCCTTTCTATGTTCTTTTCCTTCTTATTCTTTCACACTCTCATACCAAAGCAAAGGAATTCCCTACCTCATCCACAATATCACATTTCCCTTTGATTTTATTGTTTACTATTTTTGCCATTGTACTAATTTACCCTACTTACCTTACTGATCATTTGTTTTCCCCCACATAATTTGTGTTAATTTCTAGTAAATTGTAAAAATTGTATATAAGTATGTTGATCTGTATAGGTATTTGATCTTATGAACATATATGGAAAACATGGCTATTTTTTATAAACACGAATGAATGGCATTAGGTTCTATTTAGATAATAATGGGGTGGGAATTATATTCAACTCACTGACCCAGATCTCTGTGACTATCCAAATACTGAAAATTATTTCGCTAGAGCAAGAAAAGTTCCAATAGGAAGTACAATTAATGCTTTAAGACCAGGAGGTAGCTTTATCTACAATGTCAGTTCTATTGGCTCACTCACTGGCTGAATCGTTCGGAACAAAGGACATGCATTGAAAAAAATCAGAGGGTCTAAAAAAGTAGGGGGGGGCTAAAAGTGAATAAAAAGCAACGTAGCGCTTTAATTCAATGGTAAATGCTTTGCATCTTTGGCAAAAAAAGGGGGGCCCCTTCTCCACAGTGCCTGGATTGGGGAACATGTCAATTTTGTATAAATTCGATGCGAAAATGTTGGCGGAGGTGTAATATTTACGGTATTACGGGTCCAGTTACGGTATTAGATTATTGTTAAAGACTGCAATGTCTCCATACCTTTGTTATGCTCAGGGGCGTAACTTGGCCAGTAGGTTTGGGGGGGTGAAAAGGGTTTCTGCCCTGCAAAACTGAGTGGTGCCCTGCAGACCTCGTAGCAAAGGTTTGTCTATACTCTATAGGTTACTAGTGAAAGCTTCACCAGTGTACATTGGTCTTTGCCAAGGAAAAACTTCTAAGCAATAAAAACAAACTTGAAACTTCATTGCCTATGAAATATCTATTTCTCTACGTGAGCGTAAATTATATGTCAAATTTGGTTTTCCTTGATAATAAAGCTTCTATCTTCGTAGCATATTATTTTTTGGTGCATTATATGGGGCGGAGCAACGAAATTGAGCCCGGGGGGACTAAGAATCACGTTTAGTGATAAAGGAGGACCCACCATGGTTGGGTCCGACGTGAAGAAAATTTTTGAAATTATACCTTGTAATAGGGCTAAAAAGCATCTTTCAGACTGAAATTTAACAAAATACTATTGTGCTAAAAACTGATTATTGTTTATTGGGAAAAATAGAGAGGGGCATGTCATGCTAAAACTCTAGTGATAGACGTTGTGGAAAGAAAGAAACGGTAACCTTTCGATTCAAACTGCACATAGTTGTGAATGACAGAGGAAAATGTTGTTTTGATTGGGGGAATTTTATTTCCTGAACAGAAATGTGCAGTTTCTTGTATCGAGAAGGCCATCCAAAATTAAGCATTGCAATGATACAGAAAGTGATTTACTGAATTAATGCAAATAAAAGAAAAAAAGAAAAAAATATGTGAAAAAGTTAGTAATTAGATAAAAAAATCGGCATCTTAACAGTTATACAAAATTATAAAAAAGTTCTTATCCTGACCAAAGTGAGGGCTTTCAGCCCCCTATTCCCCTCAGTGACGCCGTGCCTGTCATGAAAATAATTTACAACTTAAATTAATTTATATGGACTCAACCTTGCCCTCATAAACATATGCATCAATCATTGCATCCATTGGCTATGACTTTCGGTAAGAAATGCTTTCGCTTTGCAAATAACGGAGCTTTTTCTTACATACCTGTTCCGTTCTCTAAAAATGCAATATCAGAAAAGTTGGTTCATAACAAATATGATATTTCCATTTCAAAATTCCTAAACGACCCTTTACGAACTTCAGAGGTGACATTTCTGCGTGGCAACAAAGCTCTTCTTGGCGCCCTGCGAAATCTTCGATTGCCCTGCGAAATCGACTATTTTTTAGATTGGGGGGGTGTCACACCCCCCCACACCCCCCCGGTATTTTCGCCCCTGGTTATGCTTGTCATGCTTTCTTTTCAATGTTCTGTGATTGTGCTAATCATCGACTTTTCGCTGCACTCCGTCATAAATCAGCACCTTGCAATATTATTAGCGCCAAGTAACAATGTCAAAACGAGGCAAGCAGTACACATTGTGAAGAAAGACAAGACACGGGCCGACCAGCAGAGCAGTAAAGAAACTCATCACTACTGGCTCCAAATTTTAGGAAAACTTCTGTATTAATTTGCTTATGAAGCAAATAACACAGCCGATTTCTCCCCTGTGATAATCAACAAAGTTGAACTTGTTTCTGACGATGCTATCGATGAACCCCATTTATCAACGGCAGATAAATTGTGTGTATTCAGATTGCTAAATCATCGGGGTGTGTCGATGCAGAAAAACAGATGAAGTAGAAACACGCCTATTTCATCACAAAGAATTTGCATCCCCAAAAAAGAAACTTGAGATTCTAGAATAGAATTGATAAATAAATGCTAACCACCCGCGGATTAATTACATTGACAGTTGTACCTAGTCTTTAGGAATCCCCTTCTCTAAATTTCAGGGGTTCCTTTGGGGTTATTAAGCTTCTAAGATTTGTTCCCTTTAGATAGGTGGAAGCGTTTAGAAACTTAGTTTCGGTATTACAGGGCTATGTTTGATTTTTAGTAGCCATAACTGGCTGGTGATGCTCAAACCAAGTTGCTTTGTTACAATCACTGTTACAGGTTTCGCAAAAGCCGAAGAAGAGCTTTCGTTGCAAGGAAAAAGTGTACAATTGTTGATTCTAGAGAACTTCTATTCATTATAGATTTCTATCTACGAAGAAAAATATCAATAATTTCTAAGCTGAGCTGACCCAAAGAAAATTTATGAGCCATGAACAACTCGATAAAAACACTAATATAAATAAGAAGCAACGCAATTCTTAAAATACATCTGGTAAAAATGTGTCATTTTACTAAAATTTAAATGCTTCTATGTGACACTTTTATACCAGAAGTCCTAGGATCATTGTCATCTGGAATATTTTAAGGCAAGTAAACTTGCATTGGGTATTTTTAGATTAACCGTAGCATGATGTGTGACACAATTTTGAAACAAAATTAAATGGTAAACTTGACACAAAAGAGCTTTTCGTAACACAACTAACGTGCCTACAATCAGCTGCAAATTGTTGGACACTTGCTTAAAGATTATCAATTTTTTGTGCTAACTAAACATTAGACAATATCTATAACACGCTAAACAGGCAAAGTGCTTCAATAAATTTATCAATAATTTGAAGAAAATGATAGGATTCTAGTTTTAAACTGAAGATCTAGACTTCATTTCTTAAATCTCGAGCAAATGGCAAAGCAAAAATTTCTGCAGCTAATTTGCATAGTTTTTGGAAACATCTTACACTCTTTACCACAGTTGATAAAACAATACGTAATTCCTTCTTGGCAGATTCTTTGATGCCCTTTTCAAAGGACCTTCTCTTTCACTACATCTTTGGATACGTGCATAATTTGAACGTAGCAGCTCTGACTTTTGCCGTGCAACTTACTCTTCTAGCAACAGGCAAACCCTGCCTGACGCTTTGTTTTCAGTTGATTTCTTTGATGCTGAAATTGAAAAGACCAGTGGTAGATTTTTAGGCTGGAATCGGTGCATATAACATAACTGATATTCAGGAAAACGAGTTGAATCATATTCTGTCTTCAAAAATGTTGACCCAAAGGCAAGGCTGTTGTTTGCATGCAAATTGTTAGCCAAGATTTGGACATAGAAGTTCTACGCTAATGAATTTCATCTCAACACACTCTTGTTTATAAAAACCAGTAAATTAAATATTAGGCTGATTGTTCTAATTATTTTTCAAAATTGGTAGCTGGTCCAAATCACGTTTTACAGTAACAGTGACTCAGCCTCAATTTGTTCTTAAACTTTGCCAATTTTAAAGCTCGTGTTCTTACAAAATTGTTCTTATAAGGACAGTGTGTATATCTGAAAGTGTATATCTGAAAAACTAACAGGAACTATTATTATAAAACTGCGTGCAGCCAAATGACAGCATTTTTGCGTCAAGGAAGAACTCTGCCGCTTTTTGAAGATTGTGCTCATTTTCTCTAAAACAGACATCACTGTGACAAATTTTGTCCGCATGAACATGATGCTTAAGCCTGATTTACACGAGACGGATTTTTTCGCGCGAAGCGAGTTTTTCGCCGCGAATGCGCGAAAAATATGCGCAAAAATAGAGATAAGAAAATCGAATAATTCGCTGCGAAAAAGTAGAAACCATTCCTACTTTTTCGCTGCGAATTTTTTCGCCTTGTAAAATAAACAAATCAGAACAGCATTTGATTGAAGACATCTGACTTCTGTTTTGATTTCAGATGGCCTACGTCTTTCCGCATTCTTTTTCTCAAACACGTCAATAAATTAAGGTTGGTAATTATTCATTTCCTGTTCCTTGTACACAATCCAAGTAAGTGGATTCATATCAGATTATTATTCAAACATTTGAAGTTCAAATTGACGAAAACTGGCTTGAAAGTTTCATCAAGCTTCGATGGCGACCTTTGAAAGTATTTGAAGAAGTTATCCTGGTCTTATAAATGTAAACTTAAATCTCTCTTACCGAAAGATGGAGTTCCCCCTTCTGAAGACGTCCTGAATAATTTTTTCTAATCCAGTATCGCTTTTTGCTGTTTTGCTCGCTTTTTTGATAAATTTAAAATTTAAAACTTTCTGATAAGAGCACTCTTCGGACAATCGCTATATTCTTTTGTAATACTTGCAGCGAATTCGCATAAAAATTTCTGCCAGTGTAAATTGAACTTCGAATTCGAGAGAAAAATTCGCAGCTAAAAATTCGTGGCGAAAAATTCGCTTCGCGCAAAAAATTCGTCTCGTGTAAATCAGGCTTTAGAAAGAAAGAAAACATTATTTCCGTATGCAAAATACTTTAAAACAGGGCCTCCAGCCCTCAGGTTCCGATGTGATAGAGCAATTATAAACAGGCAGTTTCAAACTAAGAGAAGATCATTTATTTTAACTAAGCTTTTCACTGCTATCAGCGTGTAGCCTCTCGCAACTCTCTTTAAATCTAAATCATGAAGCTTCTACATCTACGTAGCAGCATACTGGGCATGCGTAGGTTATAGTAAATATAAATACGTAAGCAGCGATAAATAATGCTATTACACCGACGGCCTGAAACATTGTATCCGCCTAAAATTATGCTGATAAAACCAAATCTGAGTTTAAAAAAGTCGTATAAAGAAAAAATTTCCAAAACAAGGCTTTGAGTTGAACTGGTGTATTAAATTTTCTCCTTCTTCCCGCGCAATAAGCAAGCTTTAATTGATTTTTCTGTGTTTACAATGTATTGTTTCTAACCTTCAGCAAAAGAACGTTGTGAGCATTGATGACAAAATACTGGTGACCTTTCCGGGCCCCTTGGGTTGTATGGCAGTTCGTCATCTGGTGGGTAAATTCGGATAGCTCCTCCGTGATGCGGTTGCCTTTCACGCTGCCATAATGGATGCTCCGGGCATAGACCAAAGACCTGCAAATCCAAAAACAACGTCTTTGGCAGTTCTTGTAAGATATTGCATCTTTTTCAAGCAAATACTGCTTCAAATAAGACAAACAAGAGAAGTACTGTTAATGTAACTTCCAGGGGCTAGTGTTTCGTCTATCGTGTAGGCAACTGTCGTTTCGTTTCGTTTCGTTTCGTTTCGTTTCGTTTCGTTTCGTTTCGTTTCGTTTCGTTTCGTGTCGTGTCGTGTCGTGTCGTGTCGTGTCGTGTCGTGTCGTGTAGCAGGAGAGTGGTATTGTAAATGTCTTGGTTGACAGGATCTACCAAATAGTATGAGGGAACTACAAAATGCTAGAGAAGAAGTGAAAGCTTGGAATTTAGTACCCCTAGCAGCCGAGATGGTTTAAACAGAAGAAATTTAAGGTGTTTCGACTAAAAAACTAGGCAAAGCTCACATTTAAAAACAAATTTTTATGACAGTAGCTATTTTGAAGTTTGTTGAACGGAACAATGCTTGCTAGTAACAGGTAATCGAAACTGGCTGAGTTCTAGACGTTATCACCTGGCTGTCAAAACGTCATGTCAACTGTTAACCGGAAAATCACTATATTATTTAAATTGATTGCCATAATAGGTAATACCCACCAACATTTAAAACATAAAAATGGTATTCAAATGCAAATATCTACTTTTGGCCCTGAGTCATTATGTTAGCTTCGCCAATCTGATTGACTGTCAAACAGACTGCACCCTTTTCCGCCACAAATTGAAAGTGATTTCTACCTTAGCAGGAATAATTTCTTTTATAACAGGGCCGTCCGACAAAGGGAGGCCAAAAGAGCCATGTCCCCCCCCCCCCACTTTAGAGCTTTATCAAAACAATAGAGTTTTTTCAAAATCTCTTGTTTTGGGTGTTAGACTTCCCCTTGCCCCCTCCCCCCACTTTCAACCTGTGTCAGAGCCTATGAAGAAGCTTTAAAAATGTTTTTGCATTCGTTTTAGAAATATATCTTTACCTCTAAACATGTCTGGTGGCTAACAAGAGACCGAAAATTCATCCTCTTCAGCAAACTGTCTTTTCTTTTGACTAACGACAGCTGGCCGATTTTCCACTTCGAGGCAAAAACCCATGGGAAAATTTCTTGCTTGATCTCTTCGTCATCCTCTTCCATATCATGTGCTAGAAGCCTTCAAGCGAAGAATGAGAGAAACACGCTATGTTTAAAGATTATTACTTGTAAATGGGAGGATAAATATGTAATTTTTATAAGTACAAATGTTTTCTGGATTTTGTGCCACCAATCGACAAATGACGATGGATTGGCACCATGATCTGAAAACAATTTACAAAAGTATTTTCAATCCTATCTATTATCTTTCGTCGTACTATCATCTATTTATTGGTTCTATCCTTTTAAATGTAATGAAGACCCAGGAGGCTGCTCCAAAAATGCTAAAGGCCAGGTTTAGTATATCACTTTCGATAGAGGGAGGGCAAACGTCTTTTAATAGTTTTTAGTGTGCTCAGAAATCGACATCTATACTTTCTTGAATGGAACCCTTTCAAGTTGAATCATTATAAGACTCTCTTCTGAATCCAGGAATTATCTATTTCTTTAGATCGCAGTGCAAATTTATGCTCCTACTTGGATGACCAATTACTACATAAAATATAATATACCAGTTAAAGTTAAACATTTATTTAGTCAACGTTTTACTTAAGCTTTATTTCTAGTGTGAATTAATAGTATCTAAAGACCTGCCTTGTCACCGTCGGAGCAGTATGAGATTTGGAGTTTAAAATCATTCAGCTGCATGACTGACTGACCCAGCCAAACTCAACAAACTTAAAAAACAAAATTGGGTCAGTGTTTAAACAGAACCAGCATTTAACTAAACACTTTGCTTATAATCCTGACGTGCCTGTGAAGCTACAGAGATGTAACGAGGCGTGAAACATGATGAATTCTCCTTCAGTATTATAGCTCCCATTGACAAATTAAGCGTGCAAAAAGCAGTGGAAATAATTGTTGGAAATTGAAGAAGCTTGTTCATGTTTTTAATCTTAAATACCTACTTGACTTTTGTAGTATAGCTATACTTTCGTTTTAAAATGGTCAAGTTTTTATGCACCTGATTATGTTCATGAAATGGTAAACTAGTTATGTTTCTTGAATCACTCATACTTATTGTAAACGGAATTTTTCTTTCTAGAGATACCAGTCTATGAAGGAAACTTAATTTTTTCCAGACACTTGGTTTTATCGGAATACTTAATTCTTTTTGAGATACTTCTTTTTTGAATTTTCTTTTCTTCAAATGCAAGGTTCGTGTCAAACATGACTCCACCATGCGAACTTTCGCACATTAGCAAAATGTGGCCAATCACCGCAGACTGATAGTTCGGCTTGCTCAAAAACTTTCAACACACAAAATGACTGATTAAGTAACCGAAAAAATCGAAGAGCCTGTAGATCTGGAATAGGATATCAATAATTTACAACAAAAAGAGCGAGGCAAAGAAGTGTAAACAGATGCTCCACACTGAGTGGGAATGTTTCCTTCCAAAAAAAAGAACAAATCTTTGAAAATCAACTGTGCACATTCTGTTATACACGATTAGGTGACTAAAAAATTGGAACATGTTTATTATACTAGTGCATAAAAATCTAGATATTTAAGCACAAAATTCTAATGGGTAACGGTATCTAAAAACATGAATAAGCTTCTTAGTGTTCTAACAAGTATTTCTGCTGACTTTGGTGCGTTAGAAACAAGTCGCTCAAGTCGCTCAAACTTTATTTTCTTTTTACCCAACTCGGTGCTTGATCGAAACAAATAGAAACAAACTTTACGCGGTACAAGTTTCACAAAACCATTAAGTCAAAGTGATCTTCTTCAAAATTCATACAACATCACCAGAATTTTGTTCTGTGACCAAACAAGGTGGCCAAATAGGAACAGCTTTCTGTCAAAACTTTGCTTTTGAATTATTACATATAAGTAGTTAGTTAATTTCATATGGGCTTCTGGTTTGGGAAAGGGGAAGAGAAAAATACGCATACACACTAACTTACGATGCATACTTACAATGCAGCAAAGAAGTTGATACAATTGTACTGTTTTGTGGACAACTTCGCACGTCTTAGATAAACATAGACCATTGCAATGAGATACTGCAAAAGAAGATTCGAATTCTTATGAAGTAAAGAAAGCCTTATGAAGATTTGGAAGCGAAATCAAAGTATTGAAAGGCTGATACATAAGATAAGGAGCCATAATTAACAATTTGAGAGCAAATTCTAGTCATACAACTGGAATAGATCAAGGAAAAACAGGTATAAATTGCATTTTAATCTAAATTTGAGCATTATCAATTCGCGTTTTTCAAGGTTTATGGAGGTGACAAATCTTGTAAAATGTCTTTTGAAATTGCAATGCTTTGCGAAGTCAATGCTGGAAACTGATGTTTGGAAAGAGGACCAAACATTCTAGAGGATTATTCTCATAAATTATAAAAACTTCAAAGATATGAATGCAAGGCGGTTATCGTGCGAAACCAGAGTACAGGATTGCACTGCACTAGTGGTCTCCATTGAAAATATCGACAAAAAGTTATCTTGTGATCTTGAGAAGAATGCCACTACCAATAAGACGGAAATGTTGTGACGGAACAGTTTTGAAGAAAACCATGAAATTTCGCGATATGCCAGGAACCCGCTAATCAAAAGGCTTTAGCTTTAATATATTCCAACATTATAAATCTTTATCTTTTTGAAAATCATGTGCAAAACATTAAACGCTCATTAAACAGAGATTATTTGCAAAAATTTGAAAGGTGACTGAAAATTTGCGAGCGCGTCTTTTAAGCAACACATGAAGCCTTTGGTTATCGGATTGCTGACATACGGCAAATTCACATTTGCGGAGACAGCAAAAGGCCTGTTTTTAGTTATTGTGAATCAAAAAGTGATCACCGATTAGATGTCGCTGGCGTAAAGTAATTAGAAAATCCATAAAGTATTAAGTTATTCATAAAAATATACATGGTATTGAATAGTAAGTTTCAAAATAAAGTTTCGGGTTACCAAGAACAAAAGAAGCAATAAAGCCGATTGAAGACACGACACAGCTAGCTGAAAAATTTTAGTTAGCGGATGTCTTTAATCTGTGTAGAACCGATTTTATAGGTAAATTAGATAGCATCCCGCTTAGAGAGACTTGGGCAACACGCGTCACAGAATCGCTTCGCAGTCAAAACAGAACAAATCACATGTCTCGTTCGGAAAGATTCACTTGAAGCATTACATCAATTCAATCAACAGTCTCATTTTGGAAATCACTCTAGACGACTAAAGATATATCAGCTTATATATCATTGCAGACGACGGCTTTGAAAAATGAGACCAAAGTCACTGTATAAATCTTTTCACCTAAATTGCTTCTCGCGGTCAAATCCCTTTAAAAAAATTGCGCGTGCTAACATCTAGAAAACTTACATCTAGACTAAAATTCAAAGTTTATTAGAAAAAGGTTTAAAGTATTTTCTAAAGCGAGGCCTTAGATCAAATTGGTGTATTATTCTATGCATCTAGGCTACTGTAAATCGAAAGATTTCATTACATGCAGTATTAAGAGTACTTGAGCTCAAAATGTAAATTTTATGCGATATTCAGTTGACATTAAATCAGCAGATGAGACCCATAGCAGACCAATTAACAGCTGCCCCCTTTGGTCGAATTAACAGCTGCCCTCCCGATTTTATGGGACACTTTCTTCCGATCGTTACGTCTGCGCCGACTGTGAATCGTAAGGGTCGGGATGGTTGATGTGAGTTCAGCTTTCCCAACTCTTACGATTAAAGAAAATTTTAATGGGAACATGGGTCGCCGATCCACTATTGTTAAGAAACAATCACTTGGATGTAATTAACCAATCAAAGGAAAATGATTTGGTGCATTTTTGCTTGCTGTTGTTTTGTTGCCATGGGAACACTTTTTCTTTGATCGTTATGGAGGAAGGATCGGCGACACGTTCCCGACTCTTAAGATTTTATGGGAACCAGGGTTTAGTATCTTGGAAAGAAAGTATTAAGAAAAAAGCGTGATAGATATTTACCTTATCTAGCAGTTTAGCACATCCGTCGTTCCACATGAAGTCTTGGATGATTTCATCATCTGTAGGAAGCAGGCAGGAATGCATAGCATTAGTAAAACAAAGCATTAAAGCTTTGTAGTACTGATATCTCGAAAAGGGCATACCATCATTTCAGGAAGTTGCTATTTCACATACAAATTTTATAATAAAGAATTTATATAATCTTTAATCTTAGACAAATTCAGAATTGTTTATTGTTTACTTATATTTTTGTTCATTTCTCACTGTCACCTTCATTAGACGCAGTATTCGATTGCTTTTCGATACTCATTTGTGACAAGAATTAAAATAAATAAGATCACTCATTTTTTCAGCCCATCTAGCATATTTCTCGAATAAATATAAAAAGCCCTAGCTGTATTCTTAACAATCTCAAATCAGCAGAGCAGTATATCTGTGAAATGCTTGCAAACAAACAGGCCATGTTTCATAACTAGAGCACTTTTTGTGATCTTACACAGGCTCATTAAATGCAATTAAGCAGTTATTGTTGTACTTTGAAATCTCAACATGCATTTCTAAGATTTTTTGTTAATATACAAGCACGACACACAAATCCACAAATCCAATCCACTATCAGAAAGATATATTTTGAAAACTTAAACAATGACCAGCAGAAACTAACGAACTATGATGCTTATTTCATGCAAGGTAGATCCTTGGGTTTCCCTGTGTCGGTACATAAATATCAATCGATTATGCACGTACCAAAAAGCTTGAAGTAGCACAATAAATATCGTTCTTTCTTTGAAGCTTTGGGAAAATGCTCTGTTTCATCCATGTTCAGGTTTTCGCTAATAATTTGATCTTCACTTGTACGCAATTTTTTTGACCTGATCATCCCTTTTCCTAGGCTTCTAGGTGAAGGATGATTAAATTTTTGGCAGATGGCTCTCTTTCCATATTTTCCGAACGTTAAGATGTGCTCCTTTTTATCAACATCTGCGTTTTTCATCTTTGATTTTGAAAAACTATTTGAATCGGTCCTCTTCAAGTAAATGAGAAAATTTCCCATAGAGTTCTTGAAACAAAATTTATCAAACAAGATGCATCTGTACAAAATACTTAACTTCGAAAAATATAAACGAATAGCCAGTGAAAACTTTATTTCCTAAAAGATCGCATTGAAACATTGAAATCCATCACGCTAGTTATCTTTTATAAACAAATTTGGATGACGCGTACAGTGGTTTCCCGCCACGGGCCTCGATCTGAGAATAGCTTATTCGGCTGACCTTGAAAGGCCACTTTCGTTGTTGATCTGCACCGTTGAAGTCGAATATTTCTTAATACAAAATCAATTATCTACACCTTCACGGATACAATTTCACATTAAAATAATCCCAAAGGTTATCAAAAAGAAAATTAAGAAACTGAGTACTTATTCCGAACATTTTTTTTTAACAAAAATTCGTGTTTGCAAAATCAAATAAAACTAGCCCTAGGCAGAGATGCCCTAGGCCTATGGCTTTGCTACAATACTACAATAATTTGCTACAGTTCTTAATTGCTTCCATTCACATACAAAAGCACTGTAGAATTATTTCAACAAATTTTTGCTTAAAATTTAGTCATATAAGGCCAGCACCGATGAACTTGAAAACATCATCTTGATTATTTTTAACTGTAGTGAGCAGTTAAGAATTTCACCAATTTTTGTTGCATCTTCTTCTCAGTTCCATATTCGGAACTTGTTTGTTTTTCACGGTGTCTACAATTTCACTGTTACACTGCTTTACACGTTAATAAACCTTGTCTTTATCTCAGCACTTAGCAATTCACCAACAGTGTGAAGGAATTTATGGGTAAATTTGACTCTGGGCTAGTGAGTCATTACACAACGCACGGCATCGTTTATAGCTTTTTCGGCATCTGGCAAACTGTTTACTTTTGTCGTGCAACGGAAGAGCGGCGTCTTTCAATGTAGTCTGGAAATTGGTTCAAAAAAGAATGATGAGGCGGCTATGTTTTCTTTTCCTACGACAAAAAACAGAAATTTGGGTTAACTTCTGCGTTAAAGTATGCTTTAGGAATCACATTTAACGGAAATAGGAGTTCTTATGGAACAGCAAATTTAATTTTCAAGTTAAATAGCATCGTTGAATAATGAGAAGGTGTTTTGAAAGATATAGAAAATAACATACTAATGACATTCCCCGCTCGAGTGCTTTCCTTTGGAACGAGAAAATAGATTTTACTGCTTCTTTACTTGCAGCCAAACAACCAAAGTACTGGGGAAAGATGGAATCATGCGTCAGTTTTAAGAATACTGTATGGCCAGCAAGGGAAAATGTTGGAAGAAATTACGCAAATGTCTCCTAACATTGCTAAACGTGAGATATGACTCGGTTCATCACGACTTTTCATAACAAATAATATAAATCAAGATTTATTAAAAATAACAGTAAAATTCATGAAATTAACAAGCAAAAAATGCTTGAATGGTATTGCAGAGATAGATGTTGCAAATTAACCGACAGCAGACTTGTGCTGTATCCTATTTGATACATGATGTTTATGTTGCAAAAATGAATATTGGAAAACTGCGAAAAAATACTTTTGGTACAATCTTTAAAGAAACAAGTTTTGAAAAGTTAATAGTGTATAAATTAAGTGCTACCTGCTCTGTAGAAAATGTACCCTTTGATAGTGTGCTGATGATGTCATAGTTTATACTTTCGAAAACAAACGTAAATGTAGCGACTGGTACCTGTATAATGAAATTCAATGAGTTATCGATTTTAGACTGTGTTGTTGAAACGAGGCTAATAATAGAGCTCTTTACGAAAATCTTTACAAGGACAAACTGTAGAAGGCATGAAAAAACTCACTGCAGAACGTAATTCTAAAAAAATAAAGCACTGTAAACTTGAAAAATAAGTTTATAACCTTTAGGATCCAAAAGTTAAATAAAAGCGCCAATGAGGGTAGGATTGCTGCAAACTTCTCTGTTAAAATCTCTAGATTTTACTAGAATTGCAACTTTGCCATCTGAAATTTTTGGCTAATGTTCAAACATAGGTTATTTGTGATATCTTTCAGACATCCTGCACCTTGAACCACAAAGACCTGACGCCTTCCTTCACTTTAAATGAAAGTCAAGTATGAAACAAAAATTGTAACAGAAGTTAGCGTGTTCTCACACCACATGTTGCTAATAACTTTGCAAACATGATACTGCCATAAAACCTACACAAAATATTAACTACTAGAAGAAAGCATCAAAATAAAAACAATCACAAACAGATACTTAGAAGAAGTACCCATACCTGATCGTCATCTTGTGAATTATTGAAATAGATCTTGCCATTTTTTGAGATAAAGCAAGTCACAGCAGCTGCCATGCACTTCAATGGAATATCTGCATTAACTAGAGCCATAAAGGCTGCATTGAGAGCGCATGATAACAGCAATGAAAAGTCAAGGAGCAAAATTTACTAATGATACATTGAAAAAATTGCTTGATATTGTAATGTAAGCAAATAGATTTCGTCTTATAAAGAATAACAAACACAAACTTCATTCAAAGTTGTTATGTGAACCATTTGTCACTACAATAAAATGGCCATAATAAAAGAAAATGCAGTATTGTATTTGACCTTTAACAACACCTGATTACTTGTGACCTGATAGTAAATAAACAAGCTCTTTCTGATTATTTGAAGAAAAATGTAGGCAAAATAGAAATAACAGCACATAATGTTTTGGTCAACTTTAAATGGAATACAAGCATGATTAATTATTGCACTACTATTGCAGAGAAGCAGTAAGCAGTAAAAGAATACAAGCTCTGAAGTTATATTATATCAGAAAAAGATACCAGTCCTCCATCATTAACAACTTGAACAATAATTGAAATTGCTGATCTTGGGCTATAAGAACTTAGAATTACTGAATCACAGCTATTTCTTATTAGTCTTTCCACAACCTTTTCAGCATTACCTAAAAATATTTATAGGTGATACAGAATGAGAAAATGAAAATGGAGATTAAAATGTGAGCCTGACTTTCTAAACTGGGTAATCTCTTTGATAGAATATAACAGGGCTTGGTGTCACTGGGTGTAATTGAGTATGCCTTTGAGGGAAAATGTGGGGTAGAAAGATTTCAAGGGCTTTTAAACAAAAAACTAACTTAACACAATGAAAGCTTTTGATTAATTGCCTTATTTATGTACTGATATAAAGAGGAAGTAACTAGGAACAGCAACCCTTCACATCTTCATACAAAAGCACGAGAAACTGCACAAACATGGTTCAAATAATTTTATTACATTTTGCCATCTTAAAAGTAAAATACCAACAGAAGGGACCTGGTCAGAGTCAAATGGACAGACAAATGTTATGCCATGACCTATTTTCCAAGCAAATTATTCTGCCTGCAAGCTTTCCCTACTATAACTTAACTGAAGCTGAACTTTATGAATAGCCATGAAGAGTCACTTACCCGGTAATCCAGATTTAACTCTATAGTTACATTCTACTGTAGCTTTATCTATAATTTCTTTGTTCATTTTCACCTCTACTGGACCGTAAACAGCTGCAAGAGCTTCTGATGCACCTAATAGCAAAAAAATCACCTTGGATCAATAAAAAATCATTATCTCTTCCCCTAAAGCATTAAAGTTATTATATACCCTTTAGTTTCCATTTTAAAGTTTTCCAAGCTCCTTTAATATTAGAAGCAAACCTCACAAAAATTATATGTTAAACTCAATGGGTTTTGACCAGTTTGGAAATTGTAGTGCTTTTAAATGAGACATTCTTTAATAAAAGTACATTGCTAAAAATCCATCTAATTTTCTTAAGGTTCAAGCAAACATGCACTACACAATCAATCCAGTCATATTTCATATTAAACTAGCATGATCTAGTAAATCAGCTTTTAAAGTTTCTATTGACTGAAATAAAATTAAACAAACACACACACAAATACAGTGAAAACCAAAAATAGCTCACCCAGACCACATGTGCCAAATTGCTGTGACCATTATGATCTTACATGCAGTGGCGGACACTTGGGGGGGGGAGGGGGGCGACCGCCCCCAATACTATAGAGGACAATGGTCTTTGTTCTAAAACAATGGGAAATGTGATGTCATCTTATTTAAACAATAGGCTTGCCCCCCCCAATATTTGATCAAGTGTCTGCCCCTGCTTACATGTGCTCTAGTGTGCTGTCATGCCTGGGGTTTTTAAAAAAGACTTTACATGATACTACATGCCTTTTGACAATGATTAGACTAAAGTTGTGCAATTTATGTACTGTACATGCTCTCTTTTTTGCTTTGTTTTTAGACATTAGCAGACAATGCAATGAACAAGACAACCCAAGATGGGTAAACAAACATTTGTTAATAGTTTGTGACACAGTAGGCCAGTAAACAGAATCGCCTATTTTTATGATTTTTCCAGTGTGCGACAACAAAATCTCAGATGTGCAAATGTACACTGTAAATTAAGTGTGCCCTCATGTGCACAAGGCATTATAAAAGCCCTTAAATTTTCACCATCAGGGCTGTCACTAGCTATTGTGCACAAGGGTAGGGAGAGGGTGGGGTGCTCTGATCAAATTTGCAGACAAAGTGGGTATGTCATCCCTTCCAACAAATCCGAAAATTTTGTAGATGAAGCACATCCCATAATGAGGAGAAAAAACTCAGAAAATATGAAGCTCAATTGACAGAGTTTTGTGAGTGACTAAGATACGTTTTTATGAAAGGGATTATCAATATTCCTAATTTATATGTCACATAAAATAATTTTGGTACTTCCAGTGGGAGATTTTTAAGCCACACCTTCATATAACTGACACCAAAAATGCCCCACCCAGCTTCAATTGTACAGCCTTCCTTTCTTTTATCATCTTTTTCTCCTTTCTTTTATTTTTGTAACTTGAAACATTTTATAGGGGCACATAATTTTCTAAATCTTTAACTGAATTTTTTGCTACTATATATGCAAAAATAATAGGGTAAAAACTTGATTAGAAATGCAGCTTATTTGAGTTATTTTTATTTGCCTTAAACTTTATATTTGTAAGTAATTAGATTACCCAGGGGCGTTGTGGCTCCTAGAAAAGGGCCAGGAGAAAATGATCATAAGGGGCCTGCTCTTCATCTCCAATCACAAACCATAGGTGGCCTGAAATGTTAAGTACCTGGAAACCACGCACCAACAAAAAATTACAAAGGCGCCAGTTTTTATCATTTCTAAAGGCTCGTCGCTATTTTTATTTGGGGTGAATCCCCTTTTCCCATTGGTTGGGTCCTCAGACTTTGGTTAGAGACTTCAGACAAAGGCTAAAAATCAAGTTTAGTAACATAGGGAGACCCATTGGTTGGGTCCGTTGCTGATTTTTTTTAAAATTATGCCTTCTAGAATGGCTAAAAATGCATCTCCCAGACTAAAATTTAACCAATTGCTATACCGCACAGAATAGACTTTTCGAGGATTCTCAGAAAACATCCATTATTGATTTTTTAGAAAATTGTTCATATTCCATGCATCTCTTTCACAGGGGCCTGTTTGTATGTGTTGACCTCCTCTAATTCTGAACTGTGAACTTGAGTCTACTTGTAAGTGAGGGGTTTTCTCATCAAGGATTTTATTCATATTAAATATTTTCCGGGGTTTTTCAAACTCTCAAACTCACTTTATTTTATCACACTGGAAAACTACACAATAGAGCCCCTTTTACCTTACCTTGCTTAAATGACGCCGAACCATCTGCTCTCGTTAAAATCGACTGGGTACATTCACATTTAATGCCCGCAGCAATGATACTTTGTTTCTCGCCACCTCCACCAGATTCGATCTCCATCTCCGCCATATTGACGAAACACGAGGATGAGGTCGGACAACAACAGCAACATCACACGAGACACTGGCAAACACAAAATGGCTTCCAGCCTAGTAAAATTGCTTGCTGGCAGAAATGCAGTATTTGGCATAAAAGAAACTGTCACAAAGGTTACAGCACTGTCATTTTTTGCAGTCAATAGAAAGGTATTTATATGCATATTTTATTTCAAATTGTTAATGTCCTTCAGATGAATTCTTGAAATGGAGTAATTAAATTACATAGACTCCGAAGATAGAAGTAATAAGCAGCAGCCAGGCTGTCAAGTTTGGTCTGCACAATAATTTTCACTCTTTATTCTGTCCGCACACTATTTGAAATTTGCCGTAGAGTTTCGAGTCGCGTATAATTTTTGTGGCGGACACGAACAATCCGGAGAAGTACCATGTTTTGCATCATTGCTGATCCACAGGGAATCCCCTACCTTTCTGAACAAGACTCGACACTTAGTCATGGGAGCTTTGTTTTTTTGTTCACCGGGCCTATAGTGGTTGGTTTACTTAACTGAATATTGACAGAAAACGATCAGCAATAACCCCGATATTAAGTGAAAACGAATAAAGAAGAGTTGCCGAATACATGAATATAATCATCTGTTGGTTTTGTTGGTCTCTTTTTATTTTTTTTTGTGTTTGAAAATTTGACACGTCAGGTACATATTTGACATGAGGGGTACCATTTGCATGAGAGCGACGGCTCCGGCCCAATATCGCTCGAAAAAATACTTTACGGTTTGAACAAGCAGCTATGATACCCCAGTCAAAACAATGATTGAACTCGGGAAATTATAAATGTGTGTGAATAAGGAAAGGCCACAATAGCAGGCTACCCAACGGACTCTGATATAATTTTTGTTGCGAAAAATCAATTAAAATGTAGTAAAAAAGGAACACCGCAACACACTGAGAATAAACAACAACAAACATAGTACATAAATTAGTTATGGCTAATATATTGCCTCGACATACGGGCTTCATCAGAGCAAATTATAAATAGTTAATTTAATTGTTTTTAAATGTTGCTTATAGTATTCAAAAGAGAGTTCCACTAAGAATTTTGGTGAACTAGAAGATCTAGCAAGGTATCCTGGAGCAGGTGCTGATTTGAAGTTCACACAGCACTTGGAATTTGTTGATCCTCAGCGTTATGATGGAATTCCTGTATACAGAGTATCAAGTCCTGATGGAAGACTAATAAATCCAGATGAAGATCCAAAGGTAGATATAATCTCTTTATATCAGGCTTTCGTCAGAAAGGTGTGTGATAGCATGTGCACCCCATGGGGCACGCCTTATGATTTCCATGAGTGCAAAAAATCACACACCTTCTTTTATTATGGTGGCAAAATTCATAATTATTGGTTTTGTGGGTATTTGAGATGAGTTATAATATTTATCCTTCCTTGATGCTGTTACTTCATGCCACTTCAAAAAGCCTTAACACCTTATTGGGATTGCGGATTAAATACAAATTTTTGAGATAACCATAGGACAAATCTACAGTGGAATCCTGATATTATGAAACCTGACATGGTTACAAGTATAACTAATTTTCCGGTATGACAAACAATGTCTGGCCTCTTGAATTCTGCCTCACTCTGTACAACTTCCTTTGGTATAACAAATCCTGTATATAATGAATTCTTGTTATAACGAACCTAATTGTAGTCCCTTCATCATAATTTTCCTTGATATGAGGAACTTTTCCAAAAATTTCCACCGTTATGTTGGTTGTCTTATTCCGGGTGTATATTTATCACTATTTCTCGGTGTCGGTGGAATCATTATTGTCAGCGACAAAACATTCATTGGCAAACATGTACTTTCAATGATGCAAAAAATGGAGAAGAGATTTGTGCAAAAGTTTACACCTTTTCAAGGCTTTATGGCATTTTAGTGAACAAAGACGAACACAGAGATTTTTGTCCCGGAATTTTAGGGGAACATTAAATGTTTTAAACAAGATTTTCATTTTCGATTGAAAAAATAAATTGAAAAAATAGCAGATTATGGGATAAAAAGTAGCAGATGATTTGTGGATTTTGCTACCCCCTACTTTAGGCATAGCTATGCTATGATTTTGGCAACATTTGATTTAATGAAAAATAGGCCATCATTACCTTTTATGCACCTGCCCAGTGATGTACATAAATTAACTGTCATGCTTGATAACAGAGAGCCCTCGGGGGCATAGAATTACAAGCAAAAAGGCCATTACAACCAGATGAACTCCAAAACATCAATAACTCTATTAATGATTCATTATTGAAGCTGATGAAAACTGCTTATGACATGGCAAACATTTTTCTGTACTTTTGCTGAGTGTTGTTTTTTGCTGATATATTAAATAAGCTCTGTTGATAATTGTTTTGAAAATTGTTCAAGTCCTCAAAAAAACACTTTTTTATAAAATGTAAGTAGTCATGCTAAGAATTCCGCAAAGTAAATTTCACTGAAACTATTGCTGTCATCATTTTCATGGTGGCAAATTCCCTGCAGATCTATCATAATTACCAAAAAGTTTCGCGAAAAAATTTCATGCCACCACACGCCTGGATATTTTCAGGGGTGCGGTCTTTAGCACGCCTGCTATATTTTTACCACAAAAGCCTGTTACGTGCTTGTTTTGCTTTCAAGATGAAGAGCATAACAATTTAGCAGCAATGGGAACCCTGGAGATCTTCAAAATCTGTATGATACATTTTGATGCAGCTATTGCATTTCATCTTCCATTAAATTTAGGTCTAATCTTTTTGACACAAAACAAATATACAGATGACTATAAACTTATAAGAGTTACTGGTCATAATTGTGAATGGAAAGATGATAATATTTGACTATAATTTAACATCATTGTGCTACTGTACAATATGTTGCGTAGAATTCTATATGTTTTGATGGCTCAAGAAATGAAAATCCCTTACTACAACATATATTGACAAACATTCACTCAACAGCTCAGTAAAGAAATCCTCCTGAAAGTATACCGCAAGATGGTGTTACTAAAGACTATGGATAAAATCTTGTATGAATCACAAAGACAGGTAACACAATATTTAGTTTGTTGCTTATTATCCAACAAGCATTTATGCTTTTTCATCAAATTTGTATTGGTATGTTAAAGATTTATGATTTATGAATAATTGAATGTACAGATGCATTTCACCTTTAATATAAAATGAAGTTTCAAGCCCTTTTCTTTTTTACCCATTTACATTTCATTTCATATTATAAACCAGCTTATTCTGCATTTACAGGGAAGAATCTCATTTTACATGACCTGTTATGGTGAAGAAGCCACTCACTTTGGATCCGCTTCTGCCATAAGTGATGATGATCTTATATTTGGTCAATACAGAGAACAAGGTGGATAATAAAACCTTTTATAATTTCGTTTTTCAATTTCAAGGTACAGCTATCTCAGAATATTTACCTTGCTTTAAGTCCATGTATTTCAGAATATATTATACGCAGTATAAACAAATTATTGAACGGAAATTTGAGCAAATATTGTTTAGAAGAAAGTTTATCTGCCTGTTTCTGAATGTAATTTAGGTAAATTTGAATAGTTTCAACTTTTTTGCTGCCAGTTAACTACAAGTCATTGAATTATAGGTGTTCTCCTGTGGAGGGGCTTCACATTAGATGATATTATGAACCAGTGTTATGGAAATGAGCTAGATGTAGGAAGAGGAAGACAGATGCCTGTACATTATGGCTCAAAGAAACTAAATTTTGTTACAATATCTTCTCCACTAGCAACACAGATGCCACAAGGTAAGATATTGGTGGTGCTTGTTTTTAATCTGTATTAAAAATTATATGGTAAGAAGGTCAGCAAACAAATAAATGTGATGGATTAAGTTCCCTTTTTTGGAAAGACCATATATGATTCAAAGTTGTTTTTTAACAATTGGATTTACTAATTATGTACTTTGAAACCATTTCTCAATCTGTCCAATATGTTCAACATTTTGTCAATTAAATGTAAGTATTTTTGATTTTGTGTAGTATGTTTGTAATAAAAAATTTCTTTACAGCTTCTGGAGCAGCATATGCTTTCAAAAGAGCTCAAAACAACCGTGTTGTGGTTTGCTTTTTTGGAGAGGGTGCTGCTAGCGAAGGAGATGCACATGCAGCCTTCAACTTTGCTGCCACACTTGCTTGTCCTGTCATATTTTTTTGGTATGTTTATCAATCTAGCCTTGCTTTTTTTATAGATATTTTATAATTACACACACCAATGAGCAAGCAGAGAGAACAAGATCTGTTATCTTGTCCCGTTTTACCAAACATTTTGGATTTATTTTCAAAAAGAATTTTATAAAAAAATTTAAAAGAAAAATTCAAAGGGTGTTTAGTTATTTTTTTATTCCACTTTAATTTGCTAGATAACTTGGCTATAATTTTACAATTAATTCTTTCTTAAATTTATATCTCTTCTCAGTTTGTCTAGAAACTTGGCAGTCATTGATTGATTTTTCCTTTTCATTGTTCCTATAGCCGTAATAATGGGTATGCAATCTCAACCCCTGTCATGGACCAATATCGAGGTGATGGTGTTGGTAAGTTGAAAAAATAGATAATCTACTGCTAATAATATTTATTATTTCTTCACTTGTATGTTTCTTTGACAAACCTTGCTTTTGATGACATCTTGTTCTGAGTTTCTTGTATCAAAAACCTTTTCGTGTATTTTACTTTGGTGTATAATGACTCTAATTTATGAATAAGTATTAAAGTTTTTGTTTGATAGAATATTCTAGTATTATCAATTTGTAATTCTTTCAGCTTGCCGTGGCCCAAGTTATGGAATGCCTGCAGTAAGAATTGATGGAAATGACTTTTTTGCTGTCTATAATGCAACCAAAAGGGCAAGAGAAATTGCAGTAAATGAAAATAGGCCAGTCATCATCGAAGCTATGACATATAGGTATGAAAGAATTAAAACTTTGTTCTGAATTTATATTATGACCTTCTCATGTGCATCCTAGTTAATAGCATGTATTATATGAAATGTCATTTATTATTGTGCTAATCTCTTGCTTGCAAAATTGCTCATTGGAGGGGGTTACAAAGTTTTTAGAAGGTAGGCTAAAGAGATAAAGTCATTTTGCCTCTGGAAAGTTTTCATTTGAGTTTCATTTCTTCTGTGAGTAGCTTACAATGTTATAATATAACTCAATAAAGAGAGGCAAATATCACAAGATTATTGTTTAAGATAAAACTGAACAGTTCAAAACAAACAACCCACTCTGCTGCTTTTTAACTTTGTCAAAAAACTGACTAGGACAGCTATGTATTACCTGCTCTTTTATGTGATTGGTTCAGCTCCTATATTGTTTTGTCTTTTGATCATATTTTCTTAAATGTGCATAATCATGACAGACTATGTGAATCAGATGGGCATGTGTTCTGAACATTACTTAGGATTTGCGAAACCCATAAATTTATTGTTGTTTTACAGCGATACGCAGAAGGCATTGGCTAAATATGATCAGCTAGGTGCTTGAACAATCAAGCCGATAAATTTTCTGAAGCGAGTGTGGAGGCACTCTTGCTGGCTTATTTCAGGGCCTGGTTCAATTGCTTAATAACAACTACATGTACCTTTCTTGTGATGCATATAATCCTGGAAAAGTGGCCACAAGAATTTTTAAAGTAACAAAACAAGACATAGTCTGTTCTATTATTAACTTGACCACAAAGCCAATTTTGGATTCTTAGATATGTATACGTTCTTCAGAAATAAGGCTGCAAATAAGTCACTTATATACTTTGCAGTGGAAGAAGACCTGTAGGACATAGACTGGTCAATTCCTGTGATAGAAAGGGAAGTGCAAAAAAATAGGTTTCCATTACTAATAATATTTTTTCCAAAGGGTTGGGCATCATAGCACAAGTGATGATTCTTCAGCATACAGGTCCAACACTGAAGTTGAATACTGGCAGAATGTAGACTCTCCAATATCAAGAATGAGGCAAGTGAAATTGTTTTAGCAAAAATGGATGATAAATATAAAATAAACTGGTGGAAAAGAAAAATTGCAATATTGAATACTAAGTACATTTTCTATTCATTTTTAGTGTATTTATAACACTACTTCATTCATAAGTGATCTTTGCTTCTAAGAATGATATCTTAACCTCTTCATGTAAGGTTTACTTATAATGGATTTAGTTTCAAAAACCTTACATATTTGCAAAACAATTTTGCTTTGTATGAACATTTTCTGATGATTTCAGATACATAACTTTTACAATATTCCTTTGACAGGAACTACTTACAAGCAAATGACTATTGGTCTGACAAGGAAGATGCCCAGTGGAAGAAGAGTGCAAGATTCCAAGTGCTAGAAGCATTTAAAAGAGCAGAACAACTAAAAAAGCCTCCAATTGATGAAATGTTTAATGATGTGTATCAAAGTCTGCCAGAAAGAATCAAACGCCAAAAAGAGGAGTGCTTTGAGCACATTAAGAAATATCCATCTGAATATCCCACTGATAAATTTGTCAAATAAACTCAAGATATCTTAACAACTTTAAAATGACTTAAAGGTTTTAGTGTAGTGACCTTTAGGCCAAGATGAAAAAGGATTGGGAATTATACCTACCTGTGAACTGCTTCAATATGCAGAAAAAAAGCTTGCCACACATCCAAATACAAAGTTTGAAAGCACTTTTGTACCTCCAAGGACTATTCTCTCAATTCAGGAACAGACAACCTGCGGCCTATAACCCATGTAAGCATTAGCTTTTAAGTAGCAAACAGACCTTAAAAAAATGCCACAAAGGAGTTGGCCTGATTTCATGTTGGCTCAAATGTCCCTGAACATGTTGACTCACTAGGATTCTAAACACCATAAAGATAGCCTACAAATAAAATATGTTACCCATCACTGTCTAACTTCAATTTTAGATGGGATCACAAATTGGTAAATGCTTGTTTTTGGTGGCAACATCTTCTCTTTCAAGCTTCAGAATTTCAAATTATTTGGGTATCTATATTGCCAAAAACTCCTAAAACATCCTCAAAACTATTTATAAAAACCTTTCAAGTGTTAAAAAAATAGTTGTAGCCAGAAAAGGGGCTTTCATTATTGAAGGAGTCAAAAGACAGTAAAAAACCCTAGAATTGTTTCTCCATTAACTAGAAATACAGTGAAGAATAATATATTCATTAATTGTGCTGTAAACAGAAATTCTTTAGGAAATTTAGACCCAACAGACAAAACTCTAATCATAATTAGGTTACCAGTACTGTGCTTTTTCTGTCTGTGTGTATTTTGTGGTGTTTTTATGAAGTAAATTGAAAAAATTATTAGATTTACCACTATTATTCATTTGCCTCAAGTCATTAACTGTATTTAAGTATTTATAGAGAGTCATTGAAATTGGGTGTGCTTTGAATTTCAATTGTGTTTTTTGCATTCATATCTAGTGGTCATAGACTTCTAAATTACCAAATTATTTGTGTTGTGCCTTGTCCACTCAATGAGCCTCATACTTAACCTGCATATCTTTATAGGAGAAAATATACCACAAATGCTCTTTACTGCAAAGATGGTGTTGTTTACATGAACCTTCCATGAATACAAAGCACATTGTTTGGCATGCAAGTAACAGTGATGCTTGTGTGTTCTTCACAGGTCTGAAAAATGCTTTATAACCTATGCAACTAACCAAAGGGCTTTTAAAGTTTTGAAAATTTTGAAAATTTTTACTTCCAGGGTGGGGGTCAATTTGAAAGAGAAGCTTTTACAAATTATGCAAAATGTTTTTCAGCACCAAATAAAATGAAAGAATCTTAATAACCTGCTTAAACAAATACTTGATATTTCCCTTCATTTGAACTCCTATCGGGGGTCCTTTGCCCCATCAACCCCAGCAACTGCTACTGAGTAAAGTCAAGGTGAATCTGGATGCTGATGCTTCTTTACCGTAAAAATCATCCAATTTATTCCAACAGAGCTGAGGAATATCCTTTTTAGAGAATTTGTCACACAGTTATTTGGCATGATAAAACAACAATTTTCAATAAAGGATTCAACCTTTTCTCTTAAACTAGGACGGAACTGTGACTACTGCAGGATTCTTCAAATAATTAACTGATATTTTTACAGATTTATTTACATTGAATACTTATCTATCCATGGTTCAGAATCTTAGACACTTGCCAGGTGTTCTTTCAGCTGTTTCAACAAGTCTTTGCCCTCACAATGCTCCGGGTAGATTTCCACTGATTTCTCGACCGATTTAAAACTGGTCTGTACATCCCCCATCTATTGGACGCACAAAAAAATATTTGAGAAACAAATAATATTTGGATCTGTCATATAATGCAATGCTGCAAGCAGAGGTAAATAAGGAAAACAAATTTAAAGTTTTATGACTGTTAAACGTTCTTGTGTCTTCTATTATTCAACAGTTATGCCCTTTAATCAAGCCACTTATTGGTATCTGAATAAAGTTGTGAGCAGTTCCATTAAACTAGCAACTAGGGTCGGAAAAAAATCCTATGAGAAAAGGATGGTAGCGAGCAGATAAATGGCTTTTCATACCAGCAGACAGTGCAAATCTGATGCAAGCACCCTACCTTTTCTGACAAATGTGCTAAATTGTATTGTGGCTCGTACATTTGATCTGAGAGCTGGATCGCTGACTTGAAAAACGACTTTGCCTGAAAACAATTGACAGTATAAACTAGCTAGCTAACAAACAAAAAACAGTAAATAAACAAACAAGCTAATAAAAAAACAAACAAGGCAGAATTAACAATTGTGAAAATTGTTTTTCAAGCAATGTACATCTTCCACCCTTTCCCTTCCTTTGTGTCAGATATATCATGAATACGCTAAACAAAGACTTAGATAAAAATTATTCTTTGCATTCATGCTTCTTGTTTATTTGTGTGGGTCTAGGCACTGCTCGTGTAGAGAAAATGAATTACCTCTTACAATTAAGCTCATTTTAAAATTGCGTAAATAGCTTATATAAAATAGAGTATATTTAGGGATTTACCATTGATGGGTTTTAACAGCAAAAAAGCTGTTAATGATTGACAAGATGAGCGCCTGGTTTGTATTGGCGACTGCCCAACAGGTTATACGTTCAAAATAGTTGATACGTTCAAAATACCTGTGCAAAATACCCATGGAAAAGGTACCCTGGGAGAAAAATATAAAAATACCTGTTCTACCTGATCAGGGCGCCTCTTTCGCATCTCGAGAACACCAAGATTATTAAATGCTTCAGCGTGGTTATTATCAGATGCCAAAGAAAGCCTTAGGCACTGATATGCAAGGCTCATATCGCCTATATTCTAGAAAACGAAGCGTAGATTCATTATCAACCAGTTAAGCTTTCACTATAGTTCTATAGTCTGAATAGCATTAAGCGAGCAAAAATTCTTGTACACATTTCCCTTAAAACTACAAACATATCATTTACGAGCATTCTTAGCATTTACTAATGGGTGCTTGATTAACGCAGAAAATTGCACCTTTCAGGTACACAGAAAATCAGTAAAAGAAATGGAGACTGAATAATGACGTCAAAGATACATACAATGGCAATGTGACTGATATTATACCAGATGTCCGCCATATTTTCATCGGTTGCCATTGAAAGCGCCCTTTCGAAGCAGCTCAAGGCCATATCGTATTGTTGTGAGAAGAAGCAGCAGAGTCCAATGTTGTTGAAAATTTCTGAATTGTACACACCCATTTGTAGAAGTCGCCTGTTTATAGAAAGAGCGTTGAAAAACGAATAGAAAAACAGAGCAGTGTTGCTTATCACATAAAAAACCTTTTTATCAATAGATAAAGTTATAAATGAAGCATCTTCAAAAGCCGGAAAATTATCGATCATAGACTTCCAATAAACCTTTTCGTTGTAACATAGTTCTTGCAGTTTATGCATGCTATGATTCAGGTCGCTTCTAGTCTCGTGTGCCTACCAACATTCAGTTCAATACAATCCATGCGCAGGGAAAGTCGCAAGGAAAGCTAGGCCAATGGCATGGTGAGGGATGGTGGTCAATTCTTTCCTTTCTACCTTAAGGCTCCCCAGTGATATCACTGGATACCCATTTTCTGCTGGGTGGACAGAAGATGAGCATCTCTAATAATAATAACCTAAATTCTTTTAAAATAATAACTTTTAATACTTAGATATATACACAAGTAAAAAGAATATCTAATAATTACCTGAAAAACTTCAATGCCACCTCAGGCTGGTCAGAGTAAAAGTGGTTTGTCCCAATGCACGCGATAGCCTCAACATGCGTGTTATCATGCTGCAAAACCTCTTTGTAAAATTTTACAGAATTTTCTGTGTCAGCCATTGCCTGGAAGAAGAAAAACAGTTTACTGAAGTAACAAACAAGAAGCAAAGAAAAGGAATCGAAAAACGATACCATAAAAGGAAGGAATAAAGAAAATGTACAAATTGAATTAATAATAACAAGAAATAGCTTGGTATTCGCATGGATTAATTCTATTGTTGACAAAGTTATAAATTTTTTGGGATAAATAAAGGGGTGAATTCAAAAAGTTACTACCTCATAGATTCTAGCAATTCCCGTTAGCATCATTGTTTCGCCAGGAAACCTATCAATGCCCTGAATGGAAAAAAATTATATTAGCTGAAAACAACTGCATGTGATAAAAGATTAGGGCACGTTAAAATCAGAACACAAGAAGTGATTATAATCACACACCATTATTTGTCCAATCGAGTACATTTCACTATGTGCATTAATGTTATACGGTCTCATTAAAATGATTTGCATGAAAGTTGAAGAGAAAAAACGCAAGTCTGTACCTTTAGGAGAACTTCAATTCCAGTGAGAGGCTGGTCTAGTCTTACGTAGACTTTGCATAGATACAAAAATGCGTCCACGGTTTCTTGATCTCGCAAAGCTGATTTTAATTGCCTCTCCGCATCTCTGTATAAACCAAGTCTATAATCAAGAAAGATTGGTAATCATGTCCACTATTCACTGTGTATGCGCTAAACACAAAAGTTCAAGCCAGCCTTCAGCTGGTACTTCTACGTCCAACTCAGCTAGACAATTGAGGTCAGAACTCAAACTCTTTGTAGAAGTAACGGGGAAGAAGCGACAAGGTTAAAGATGATAGATATAGCCATCCAATGTTGGGAAACTTTTATGACCAGCAAGTAGATAACAGATAATATGAGTCAGTTAGCACTGGTTGATTTCTTCTACTACAATTAAGAGCAAAACTTCTTATTTCTAGAATTTTCAGATTCTCTAAAGCTCTTGTCCCTCTACAAAGTTTTCAAATGCACTTTGAATTCCGCAACTCAACTAGCACTTAGTGCAATAACACTAAGTAACTTTAACGAATAAGTGAATATTTCCATCCAATCGTTATCCTATAGTTATCCGATTGTAAACTGAACAAAGGAACGACTAGGCTCTGTTACCCTAACATCAGAATAGTCCAAAATGTCACTATACCTAAAATAACATTTTCCGAGCTGAACTTTCCACCACCAGTCCTTGAACTCTGATGCTTCAGTTGCAAGAGCAGCTAACTGTAGAGCCTGTGATCAGAATCAAGAGCGAAGGACTGTGAGGCGACGGGAGGCAAGAAAAGAGGCATACAACCGTAAACCATACCAGCAAAAAGCATTCTCAAATCGTATATTTTAAGGGTATAACGCTTAAAATGAAGCAATCCAAGAAAATTTTGATACTTCATTTAATACATGAAAAATCTTAAGTAACCAATGAAGATCCTGATATCATCATTATGAACAGTTTCTCTGTCTAGGGGTGTCGATAACGGAGGGGAAAAGGGGACGCATTGTCGGTCTAAACATAAATGATTTTTGCCGTACAAAAGAATAAATTTTTCACATCCTGGAGCCTTTTTTCAACAACTGTAATGTATCGCCATTTCTGTAGTTGAACTTTCAAAGTATTGCAGCTAAAGTATGAATTTTGAAAAAGAACTGAATAAAAGCAGCACGCCCTTTTTGTCGGCAAGAATCGTTTCTGTACCCCTCTCTTTGACAGTTTTTTTGGCTTCGCCTTTGTCTCTGTCTAATTGTAGTTAAAAAAAGGAAGAAAAAACTCAGACAAGGAAAACTTACATTTCTGACGTCATTTTCGTGGTGGAAGATGTACTCAAATAAGGCCTTCAAACAAAATGAAATCATTAACAATCGAAAGGGTATATTGTTGTAAAGTATATTTGAAAGGTTATGTCCATTATGCTATTTGCATTCTGAAAACAAAAACACCTTGATGGAGATCAATCCATTGAGCTTTATGTTTTGGCAAGAAACATAAATGTTTTAGGGTTATTGTTTTTGCAGTTGATATTTTCCTGCTGTCAGGATTAGGCCTAAAACTCAAAGTAGCAACTATCCTGGAAATAAGAGTAAACCAACAAAACTTGGTTATTTTACGTCTTTTGTATAATTTTTATTCAGTAACTTCGTTGAAAAAGCAGTTGATAAGATATCTTCAAAATGGCAAATGAAAAACTAATCAAAGCTGCTTACTATTGCTGTATTTCCTTACAAGCTCATTCAAAAAATAATACAGAAATGTAATAACCTTTGCCAAGTTTGGTCTTTGTGCATATTTTCCAAAATTTATTTTTGAGAGGTTTATGAATGGACCATCAGGCTGAGACAACATGGAGGCCTAAATTGGAAAAGATTGAGAATAAAAACATAAATTCAATATCATGCAAAGTGCTTACTAAATGTGTCGCACTAAAGTCATCTCTAAAGGGATTTTAAAATAATTGAAACAATGAAAGGAATATAACTTTAACACGATAATAATGCTGATGAAAAGGTTTAACTTACAGTGCCAAGTCTGACAAATCTTCCTGATGCACTGGTTACAGGTCTAAAATATTATAAAAACTGAAAATCAAGCATGGAACATAGATGAAAGTTATGATCCTTTTTCAACTGTAGTCATCATAGATTATCATAGCTCATATTATGTGTTATGGTTCAACTGGTGTTGAAAGCCTCATTCATGACACAGGGATGTATGAAACAAAGAGTGTTCAGCTGGCATAGGGGCTTTTGTAGGACTAGGCTATGCAAGGTCTAAGCATAGTTATTCCAACAATTGTCTCTATATTTTACTTGAAGAACACAAATTCAAATTATACAGCTCTATTTTATATAGCCCTGAACTTAAAAATATATGTACCTTGCTGTGCTTGCAGTCCTAGGAGTTCTAATTGCTTGCTCCATTGTACCTGGTCTTCCGGATTGAGTCCCAGGCCTGACAAATCCACTTAATGGTCTGCCTGCTGATGAAACAGGTCTGGGAAAATGCAATAGACAAATCAATCATTAGCTGTAAGTTCAGATATCAGAGATCAGAACAGCATATGCTAAAGGAACATAAGAAATATTGGCTTGGATGTGATTCAAGAATAAATGCTCCACCTTACGAGTTCAAGCCAATGTGTAGATTCTATGATTTGACATGTATACTACTTTAGCTTTTTGGTTAGCAAGGGCAAGACATAAAAACATATCAAAGTTAAAAGTTTTATTGAAACCTTTATCTATTACCTCACTGATTGACTTGGTCCTCCTTGACTAGTTCCTGGCTTCTTCATTGATGTACCAGGTCCTGCAAAATGCATTTACAGCAGATTAGAATTAAATCAAAATCTCAATAAACATCTTTTTAAAGCTTATGTTCCTTTTGATTTGTCAAAGTTAATTTTGCTTTAGAAAAAAACTAAAACATAGCATGGGTTAAAGTTAAATAATAGCATTGTTTTGTAATTTTACAACTATATATTCTCCAACTAGTGTTTAAAAGCCCTGCACAATTTTGTTTTTCCAAGCAATCAAAGATTGTCACAAGTTTTTAGGATTATGATAGGTGCTTACATTCTAAGATTTAAGGCTTGTTGCCTAGTAACAACAGGTACTGCCCCCATTGTGCTGGTTGATATAACAGCAAAAAGTGCCTGGTAAAGTCATTGCTTACTTGCAACTTGTGCAATTGCAGTGTCATCCATCAAAACCTCTGCAATACCCTCTTCATCCACTTCAACTTCATCCACATAAGTCTGTTCTGTCAGAGCTCTAGTCTTTAGAAACCATGCTGCCTATGGATTGGTTAAAAAACAAACAGTAGAACTTCATCAACCAGGAAAATATCAGTCCTTGTAATATTAGGCATTCAAACACACAACATGTCTCTATGCACACCAAAAACTCCCCAGGTATGCTTTACTGCATCCCAGCATTCATTTCAGATTATCCCGTTTTTTATCTATTTTCTTGAACTGTTCTCCTTACTCCAGTTTTGGTAAAAAACAAAGGTGTTCCCATTACTCTGTTTATATCCGCTTTTGCATCCTTTGTTGGAGCTAATTTTGAAACTAAGAAAGAATAACTCTTCATGATTTATTTTTTTCGCTTCCCAAAAAAAGCAAGTTTTGAAATGACTCTGTTTTCAAATGACCCAATTTTGAGCAGCTTTTGGAATGAGTCCAGTTTGGTATCAAATGACTCCTCTTTTGAGTATATTCACAGGACAAAAAAGCAAACAGGTCTTTATAAAAACTGTGAGGTCTCCATTCTAAGGATCCCGTGCCATCGCACACCTAAACTTTTCAAATGTGCCATTACCAGCATGCCAACGAAATTCATATTACCTGGACTGAAATATGCATCATGTTAGCAGTTAACTGATAACAGGGCCGTGGCAATAGCTGAACCATTGCTGCCAACTTTTTTATCTATCATAAATTTTCCAGAGCCAAGTAATTGACATTTTGTATAGTGTTTGTTAGTTTGTTAGCATATAATTGCAAAATGAAGTTATAGTAAATTTTCTAAATATGTTTAAGTGAGACTCAGGATATACACCCTGTAAAAATATTACATTTGGTTTTTCCATTTGCCTTACATTAAAGCAGAGATTCTAGGGTATAAATGTATGTGCTTATTACATTAATATAGAAATATAGCTTTGGTGCTTATCACTGGAAATGTAAGATTAATCTTACATAGAAAAGGGAAACACTAGGAACTGCTAAGAAGGCACCTTCACGTTACAGTTTACCCAACATCAGATCCATTTAGAAAGTCTAGCTAGAATGAAAATTTGAAAGTCAAGCCGGAATTACTTTAGGTGCTTAGCTTGACAAAGATGACTGTTATGGATTACTTTCATGAAATTCAATATTCATGGTATTAGTAACAAACATGGCATGTAAGATAACTTAGCATAAAACAAAATTGTGTTAAGTTTAATTGTTTATGAGTGCAGTGGTATATGAAATACAAATCTGCTGTGCCATGTATTCTAACAGCTTTTAATATTCGTGATATAAAGATCAATATACAGGAGCATTGCATTTTCCCTCGTTATATGGCTTTACTATAGAAAATGTAGAACATGTACAATTCCACACACGAAATATGATTGTATACCTGATCATAAGGATTTTTTATCAGTAATTTCGTACAAACTTCAACACATTCGTCAAATTTGCGTCTTCTGAAAAAGCTTGTTGCAAGAAACATTGGATCCATCGCCATGTTTGCAACAGTGCTCGTTTATTTGAGGAAATCTTCAAGCTTCAGCGTTCTGGAGTGCAGCCATGTTTGGTTGTCAAAAACAAGTGGACACAGGGGACCATTGATTATGCATTTGTATGTCGGCCTACGATCAAGGTGCATTGTGGGGGAAATGTCTCCCTCAAAGGTCTAAAATCGCTGAATGCACGAAAATCCAAGAAGGAGAAAGTTTTCAGCAGGGGTAGGGGTAGGAGACATGGGGGCTGGGAGGGCTTCAATCATTATGAAGAGATGATATTCCTATTATTTTTACCTGACGAAGAGTTATGCTCGAAACGTAGAAATTATATCTAACTTTCTATTGTACAAAGTGCAAGTCGTCATTTATTTGTATTAATTTTTGCCCTAACTTTCAAGTTAGGGGTCTGGAGCAGAGGCTTACAAAGTGCAAGCTGGCAAATCTTATGCCAGTGACGTAATACGGTCGAGAAAGGTGTTGGAGCATCCTGTTTAGATCATTGCTAGTCAGTTATGGTTAGCCTAGGATAGATAAGACTTGCGGGTTGTAATTAAGTGGGGGGGGTCAACGTTCAAAGTCTGACTACTTGCTAAATCGCATTTTGGAAGTGATCGCAAAGATATCTGAAATTCAAATGTATAGTCGAACGTTTTTCGTGAAACAGGGGTGGCTTGTAATAAGGACCAGGGCTTTAAAAAAAATCGAAAAATGTAAACGAGAGGGGATGTTTTTCTCGATCTCAAAGTATTTTGTTTTCTACGTTTGCAAAGTAATGAAGCTACTTGCGCATCACAACACATGGGGTCGATGGTGGTATTTGGCAACTACTGCAGTATTTGTCTAAAATCTTCATTCATTTACAATAATTAGAGGTTGTCTGGTCGCATGTTACTATGTGTAGCCTGTCTTTTCTTATGTTTGTCTGTCCTCACACGAGACACCAATGTAAAACTTGAGTCCAATGTTAAGTGAGTAAGTGTCTTTTCTGTTCCTATTTTCCCAAAAAATGAGTTGTGAAAATGTTTAATAATCCGCTTAATTTTTCAATTAATTTAGAATTGCAATTTTTTGCTGTAACTATTAAAAAATTTTGATGGAAACAGAGCAAGATGTCACGCAAGAATGTCATTCTTTGCACAAGTTTTCGCCGTCCACTTTTTGCATCAAGATCGAGGAACTAGCATTCTTGGCATCAGACTCAGAACCAACGGTCAAAAATTTTAAGTTTGCTTGATTAACAACATAATATTTCCTTAATTTTGACAATTTCTTTACTTCCACAAAGCTGCTGGTAGTAGGACCTTGGTTAGTTATTTGGAAAAAACCCTTAATCGAGATGAAAGAGGAGAGGGTGAAATCAAACTTTCACTCTGACTACAAAGCCAAATGCAGCACTATTTCAACATGACCTTAAAGGAAATGCTACTGTAGTTAACACAAGATGTCGCTAACAACTGCTTCAAAATGTCAATTTTAACAAATGATGGAAACAAGGAGCATCTTTAAGACTGAAGATACTTGCAGGTAACATCAAGAAAATGTTGGTTTTCCTAATCCTATTGTGGACAGGGACGACTTCTTGCAGCCGTAAGTGATCAAATTCAAATTTTCCATGCTTAGATCTTGCGTTGATATTTCTTGAGATTCTGTTGAACTGAAAACTCCAGCCGTACGGCAAGTTCAATTTTTTTCACACCTGGCAAGTCACACCAGCATGGGGTACCTTAAGCAACAACAACGAGAGCTTTTCTTGATGTCTTCAAATCACCTGCGTCAACCAATACCATACTTAACGGTTAGCATTCAGAAGACATTAGTCAAAACACTAGAACCAGCAACTCATGCAGACAATGGCTCGAGAAGTTATTTTTTTGATCTGGCTTATCGGATTTATAGTTTGCTGTTCATTCTATGCCGATGGCCATTCTTCTCCATTTACGCCAGTCCCAAGTTGCTTCAAGGCGAAAGGACAAGCAAGTGTTATGCCTGAGCCTGAACCAACGGCTGTGCCTCAACCAGAACAAGCCAAGTCGACAGTGGCTGCTTCCACCAACAACACGGCAACTGGAAAAGCCAATTCACTTTCAACTAATTCTCAGATGAAGAGCTTCCTGTTTTTCGGAAGTTTGATGGCCATGCTCCTCAAAGTATTGTACGTTTAAAAACTTTCTTAAAAGAGCAAGAACACATTGGTTGATCTCGGCACTCAACTATAACAACTTTATATTTTTTTAATTTGTTATGTCAATTAAACTGCATGTAAAATCGTAGACGATTACCGTATAATTTACTGGTCCATGTACAAGGTGATTCGTATTAAATATAATTTTTTTGTGGATAGTTTGGAGGACCTACTGTCTCTCGCAACCAGAACTGGATTACAGGTCAAAACTGAACAAACTGGTTTTCAAAAAAGGAAAGTTTATCATTAGTTGTCTATCGGTAGAACTGAGCAGCGACTAAGATTTCAGATAATCGAAATGCTTGTAATGAAAGTTTAAAGTCTAAGTTTTCATGAAGTGGGTATGGAACATTGATCACAAATCATATTGAATACATTCATTCCTTCGGCCAATCCAATACAGGCACCCCGAGAGATCAGTATTCAGTAAACAACAAACCCAATTATGAAATCTTCCATTTTTCCAGTTTCTTATTAAAATCCTGGTTCATCTTGAAACCTTTAGTACAAACAGCTGGGCTCTAAAGATTCACGTTATTTTTGAGTTGACTACAGTAAGGTGATAAAGTTCCAAACAGTTCCACTGATTTAACAACCTCTGACGACGTTTTTCCTTTCCAGTCTACAAATTCTTCAATATCTCCTTCACCTGCAAACTCAAAATTTTAGCTAAACATACCTTCCTACCCTTAAACAAGCCATTTAGTTTTGCAAAAATAGTTCTCGACCAATAAACGCATTTCAGCCTACCAAGCAACAACAACTTTAAGTATAATATAGGGAGCGATAAAATTAAAACGAAGTTGTTTTTAAATATTGCACTCTTTGAAATTTTGAATAATATTTAAAAGAAAAGAAATGAATTCGACCAAGAAAGGTAAATGCACTTATTCGTGAAATTACAAACACCAGTATCTTACAAATCGTGATTATCTTCCTTCGCACGAATTAAGGCTGGGGATAAAGTTGACATTCTATATTTCACATTTATCTTCAAGCAAATTGTGAATGCTTACAGTAACGACTCAGTCTTACAGAACCAGCCTCTTCTTACTGGAAAACCTAGATAATGTATTATCAGAAACTTTCAGTATTCAAGATATTATGAATAAGTCATTAAATTAATAATGGTCTTTCGGAGGGACTGAGGTGAGGGAGGTGTCGTAGCCTTTGGAGCATCAAGATATATCCAAGGTTATCTGAGAGACCCTCAAAAAACTGTAAAGACATTTGCTTATTCATTTCGAAATAAAAATTTGCAGGCAAAAACTCTTACAATTTATAAGACAGTGTACCGAATCTTAATTGCTCAAAACTTACTGGTACTACATTCTTAAACAATGCCTGTAATAACGATGTAGTCAAGTGAAAATATTTGTTCATTATTGAAAACTGTCATAAATTTTGTGACGAGATTTATAGCCTTAACAATATAGAGCCTTTTTCAGACAAAATTGTTCTCTATATACTTCCCTTACCAAAAATCAATGCAAAACACAACAAAAAGATTCACATCAACAGAGAGCAAGGTTTTGTTTAAATCGTCGCTATTGCTGTGTAGCCAGTGTGTTGTCTATGACGTAATAGGTAAGGGCAACACTTATTAACGGTCTCCCAGAAAAAAACATTTTCAATCTTTCATAATTTCATTGTTCTGTATTGCACATACTGCTACACATAAAGATAATAATTTTTTGAAATCTAAAGCACTTCATCCCTTCATTTAATAGCATATCAAAAGGATATCATGCGTACTGATCTAATTGTTATACTACGAAATATTTGTCAGTTAGGTATTATTTGAAGCCCTGCAACCAAAACATAGAAAGGATAATAGGCTTACTAATGTACCTCATCGAAACAAATAAATTCATAAATAATTCATTACATACTAGGTATTAGTACCTAATCCTGCTTTGCCCGTCTCCGACGCATCTGTATCTTTGGCGTCGAGATTTTCACTGTTCTGTGAGGAAAATCTTTCTAGTCGTCGTCTTCTCAGTTCAGAACTATTATCAACGTCCGCGTCACTTTTAGGTTGGTTCGATGCCTCTGTGTCGATGTTTTCAAGCAAATCATTCATCGCATCAGAATTATTAGATTGTCGATCTTCTTCCTTTCTAGCAACATTAGAATCTGGTTCTTCTGGTTTCGAAAGTAAGCTGAAAAAGCAAAGTAATTTGATTTTGAAAACAATCAGTAAACATTACAGCCAGGATTTTCTCAGAAGGGGTTGTTTCCTCCACAAAAGATGGGCACTTCTATTGTAGAGTGTCAATGTTGTTATATAATAACATGAAGTACTTGATATTTGAGTCTAAAGATGGGTGTACGCACCCAGAATCACTTTCTCGCTACGAGTAAGCTATGCAATTAAAAATTAAAAAGGGAACATTATATAGAATGATTTTATCACAAAGCAACATGAATGTGCACTTTGTTACAACATCTGATATTTTTATTGATAGTCCTTAGACGCAGACAGAAAGGGTTTTCAGTAAGAAGTTGATAGGGGAATATATCAAATTCGAGGAAGGGGGAAGTTTTGCCCTGAGGTGTGTCAAAGACACAGACTAGTTTCTGAAGAGGATGGGCCAGTCTTGCATTATATGATTACAAAGTATCTACAAATATTAAACTTACTTAAGTGTTGTAATAACTTGGGAGTATTGGTTCAATTGGACAATAGCAGCATCTAGCAATGAATGCACGTTTCTTAAGACTTTGATCCTGGCTTCGACATTGGCTCTTTCTTGACCCTCCATGTTACGGAGCTCTTCTTCTGAAAGCGTTGAAAGATTTTCTAGGGGGCTCATGAAAAGTTGTGGTGGCAACGGTGAAGGCATACCTAGGAAAAAACAAGCGCATTATTATTAACCAAAATACAACTTTGGCGCGTCACGTTGGCGTGAATCGAAACACAAAACGGCTTCATTCGAAAGAGCCGACAAAGAAGGTGACCCATCCCTGAAGCCTAAAATACAGAAGGTGAAAAAACAAAAGCATTTTTTCATGGGCAAAAACAGCTATGAATTAACTTCACTCTTCCTCAAACCAAAGTCAAAATTCGAAAAATCTCCTACTAAGAAGAACCACAAGTAGCTTTCCCAGCAGAAATACGAGTCATTTTTCTTTCATAGAATTTTAGGGATGATCAGGCTTAATTCAGATAAATTTCTAACAGACCACACTCACCTGGCATTGCCATAAAAGGTGGCATGAAAGGTGCCCCAGCCATAAAAGGCGGGGGAGGTAAAAATCCAGGTATTTCTTGAGCCTAGGAATAAATTAAATAGAAAATGAGGAAAATAATTTCATAACTTGGTTTTAAAATCTATTTTTAGCAATTCAGTAAATATATGACATAAAACCAAAACACTTTAAGCCAATTCTAACACATGGTTAGAGGAACTTCCTTAATGTGTTAAAGTCTTATCCAAAGATAGAGGTATCTTTCATAGAGCACAAAGCTTAACCATTTTCCTTAATGACGTCCTTTATACAGAGCTTGAATTTGCCTCACTATATCGAAGCTATCTATTAGAGTTACTTACAATAATACGCTTTCCAATAAGTGACAATGACAGAGACAGCTTTTAAATGAATGTATCACTAAGCAAATGCAATATATTTTCTTAAAAGACTCGCGTTTCTGGTAAAATCAATTTGTATACTTTTTTTTGAAAGTTGGCGAGCGTTTCTCCCTTCACCAGACTGTCCGGGTACCAGATTTGTTAAAAAGGAATATTTGCCAAAAATAATTCGTTCTTACCTGAGCAGCTGTTGCCGATGGTCCTTGAGATGTGGTAGTTGCTGAGGCAGGCGTTGAACCCGCCGTAGTCGGTGGAGGAGCTGGAGGCTGGTTTGGTGCTTGTGGCATAGCAGGATTCCACATGGGAAATGGCGGAGGCGGCGGCATTCCGACGAAACCTGGGACTGAAAAGGCAATGAAATCCATTGAAAATACCGACAGAGCATTAATATGAGATTTATTCTAAAAATTGGTCGCCTGTTCATCAGCCATAAAATAAAGGTCACTTGCCTACAGGCTCAAGAAATCTTGTTTTCGTAAAGTCGTATCAGTCGTAAGTGTCGTATCAGTTGTGTTCTAGCGGCCCGTCCGACTTTAAGGAAACACATACACGAGTACGATAGATAAGAGTTATGCAACCGATCGCGTCATTGTCGTATGTGAAAGATCGAATCTGTTCCATATCACTGATAAGACTAGAAATCACATTGATCGGATAAAACCTATAAGGCTGATACAACAATGAAGAAGCCAGGAGTAGAGATGATAAAAGCAAATATAGAACAGTTCCTTACCGTTTGGATGGAACCCAGGTTGCGGTGGAGGCGGCTGTGCAGCTTGCGCTTCAGCCTGCCTTCTTTGCTGTTGTTGCTGCTGTTGCTGCTGCTCTATAGGTCTAAGAACATCCATTCTGCACGTGGGACAAGATTGTTGTCTTTGGAACCATGATCGCAGGCAGTGAGCGTGGAAGATGTGATTGCACGGAAGTTTTTTGCCAGAGGTCATTTCCTCGCGACAAATGATGCAAACGTTGTCATGTTGAGATAACAACTCTTCTGTGGCATCGGGATAGCTAATAAAATCGAATAGAAAATTTTATTATTTGAATTTTCTTTAAGTTATCAATCATTAACAAGACTTCTCGTTTTCTATAACTGGGAGTTGACGAATTTGCCAAATAGATTTATTTTAAACTGCTTTTGGATAGTCTTTTCTTAATTTGGGGACTTTTACTTGCAGAAAATCTATTGCAGTGTTCTGATTTTTGTTTCTTCTTCGAGGACATTTACCTGGCGATTGGACAATTTCTTTGCTTATGAGAACCACTCCCTAAGGGGTTTTTCTTTACAGTCGCGAAATCCTCATTTTTTCAAAGCTTTTTGAGAAATCTTACCGCAGTTTTCCCAGTTGCAGATACATGCAAACATAATCCATTTCCACAACCAGAAAAGAAGAATTATTTTTACCAAATAATGAGAATTTCAGAAAAAACTGATGGTTTGACAGAATCCAAATAAATCCCTGCTTACGTGGGATTCCAAAACCTAAAGATTATGGGAGAATTTGATAAGCAATAGAATGCTTGATTTTATGGTCGATAGAAACAATGATTCTTAACATATAGGTACTACTCTATGTGAAATTAACGGATATTTTCTATCAATACAATTCGACAATTGTAAATGGGTAATTGCCACAACTTACTAATTGTTCATGTATGCAATTGCTCTTCGAGACAAAACAACATCTGAAACTGACTTCTTGAACGCCCTTCAAAGATATACAGATAAAAATATTAATGAGGCCAAGCTTCTTGCATAAGAAAAATTTATAAAGTAAATTAGATTGATATCACAAAAACAAAAATACCAGAAATAGCAAAAAAGGGGTCTTATTTCTAGCTGATAAATTCTAGAAATTTTTTTTTGGCGATTTCTGTTACACCAAAACAAACTCTCGGAAGGGGCAGTGGCAAAAATAAGGTGGAAAAGAAGAAACGTCCGATTCACAGTGCCTTACAAGATGGCGAGTAAGCAAAAATGGCCAACTGCTTAAAATTTGAGGAATACAAAAGTAGATGACAGAAGCAACAACTTACTGAAATAGATAAGTGATCTTATAGTAAAGCTCCAGTATAGTAAGGCTCCACTTAAAGATTTGGCAAACAAATTATGATACATACCTTAAAGTTAAGTACATTGGCCGTATTGCAAAAAGAGGGAAAGTGTGGATCTTGATCATGATGATGACAAAAACTACGTAAAGAAGTGTTTTGAAGAAACCTAAAAAATAACCATAGATATTAGCTTCACATATCCTAAAAAATTGTAGAGTTGAATCCCGAAATAATAATTCTTGAAGAAAAATTGAATAAATAGAACAGTTATACCCCGTTCAAATAGTTTATGCTAAACCAGTACTATAAAAACTGTATCAACATATTGGGTTTAATATTCATGGCAATTTGATGAAACTTAACAAATTTTAGGAAAACACAAGTGAGTTTCTATTCTATTCCTCGTTCAAAACTATCTATGATGAAAATAGTCAAATATGGTAAAAAAACGTTCTCTGTTCTGTTACAGCGCAAAAAGAAAGCCAAACAAGGCAAATGTCTCAACATCACAGCAAGAGTTTGGAGCTTTGAGCATGAGATAGACAGATTAAAGGAAATCTAACCTGTAATTAGCTCTGTGTATAGAAGATATACAGTCTTGTTTTCCCAAGGGTTCTCCCTGTTCAGGTCAATTGTATGCAGGACATACTTCATAATGGTGGTAACAACCATTGTCAACAGAATGGCATACTACAAAACAATTAATTATCTTAGCAGCCTGCCTTCAAAAGGTGGTGTATAGGAAGGGAATGAATACATAAATGCTGTAAATTACATTTTTTTATACAACAAAAATAACAAGTTTATACTGCCAGTTCTTGGAGAATGTATTGCTTGATTTCAATGATTTAATCTGATTTAAAGGCCTAAATTAATGGTAATTTTTGAGCTATGTGATTACTATCTACAGGATTTTTAGGTTCTTTATAGTAGCCAAAAAATTCAATAAATGCTAAGGCCATATCACCAATTTTAGCAACACTGGCTATCTACATAAAATCTGCAAGCAATTATATGGACACAAATTGTGGTGAAAATGGATACAAATATAAGGTATAATATTTACCTCAAAGCCAAACACAAGCTGAACAGTTGCACCATTTTGTACTGTACTCCTGAAGGCATGGTGAATCAACACTGCATCAGCAAGACCAAGGAAAAACAGCAGAGCTTCAAAGAAACATTTTGTTAATTATTGTTGACAACATAAGAAATCTATCAAATAAGGGCCCAAAGGATAAAATTCCATACAAAATTTAATCAAACTATGATGCAAAGGATAGAAATAGTCGGCATGAGAGTGAGTTCAAGGTCACACTAGGTATGGTAGTTTGGCTCAACTAGCCACATATATTGTTCTAATGGCACAAGGACTTGTTTGTGTAACTGTTGCAAAGTTATTGCAGGGTTTTCAAAATTTCTATGGAATGAGCAAGAAGTCTTTTTGTGTTTTCAAAGAGAATAATCAAGCAAAATCAATGGTTTATATCTTTTTGCTGCTAACACTAGGGTACAGAAAAGAATTTCCTGGAACTGAGCATTGTCGCAGTTAAGAACATCCATGAAAATAAAATACATAATGACCTTCCCAAAAGCAAGTGTTAAACCACTTACCTATAGCTCTGATGTGAAACTTGAATGTGATAACTGGACTTCTTTCCATCTGAAAATTGCAATATCTCATTGTTAAACAATGAAATTTGACCAGATTTTATCTAATGAAGAGGCTATGTCACAGTTTTGTAACTGTGCCAGCAGCATAGGACATTGTATGATCTTTTAATATAGAAAGGAGTTTGGAGAAATTATATATTATTAACTGAGCCTATTTATTGAACTAGAAATTTTCAAACTGTCTGTTTAAAAACCAGGTCTACCAAACAGTTTAACAAAATGAGCTGCTTGGCTTAAAATTGCTCGTCCTGTTCATTGTTAGACAAAGATTGTTTTTCAACTCTCAATTTGCTAATACAATGTCCTGTGTCACATCTCTTTAAGAATTAAATCATTAGTAATGTTTTCTCTCTCTTTCATATCTCCTTCTTTCTACCTCCTTTTCAGAGAGGGGCTTCCTAGCTAAGAGTATCAGAGCCCAGTTATATCCTCAAACTATCAGATGTGACATAAACATTACTGTCTCTATGAAGATGGAAAAGGGATAAATCCTAGACGAATGCAACATTGATTATAAATTGTTTCTACAGAAATATAAGGCAAATGTGAAACTTACATAATCAATTCTATCCTCAGCCAACCAATGAAATCCTTTTAAAAATAATAAGAGTGTGAAAAGGGAGACAAATTTTGGACTAAAATCATCCCTGAACACAGTAAAAGCCAAGCAGGTTTCTGTGACTGCATACCATGATCTTTCCATCAGATGCTGTCAAAAAGAAAAAGCTATATATACATTTCTACACATGAAATGGGCAAAATTTTAAATTTTCAAAAATTGGTGGAAATCACACATTTAGAAAATCAAAGATTAGGCACAGGTGGGCAGGTAATACCCTATTGCCACCTCAGGCCCTGGACATCTTTTCTTTAAAGAATATTACTAGACAAGATTAGGGCATTCACCCTCATAAGCTGATCCATGCAGTTAGTTTGTCTGCCCTTGTTAAAATTTATTTGCCAAAAGGCCTGATACCTGTAGCTGGGATGTAAAGACAGCCCTATAAATAATGAGAAGTGCTATATTGGGTTTGGTACAATCTGAGTTGCACAAATCTTGAAGGTTGTTGCATAAAACGTGTCTATGTATAGCAGGTTGATTCTCCTCTCGATTATTTCTCAACTACTTAAACTAATAGACTGCCAATCATTAGAATTCCACAATGCCATGCAAGTTCAGGTATGTTACTTAGCACCCTTAACCAGTTGATGCCAAAAGCTCTGTGAACGTTTTTCTTTAGTATAAGTACAGTAAGGCAAATATTTACCTCCATTTCTGCAGCTCTCAGTTGTCCAAAGAACACTTTCCGCATCATTTTTCCCAAAAGCATTACCACAACAAATGCTTGAATATACAAAACCTACAAAAAGGTTCAGTTCAGTTCAGTTTCATTTTTAAAATTCCGCTACATACTTCAAATAAAACTACAATACATATGCAAAAAAGAAATACAGAAAGGAAACTAAATATCAAATACAGGACACAAGAAAAAACTGAATGGAAATTAAAAATTGAATTTCTAACTCTGCGATGGTTGGGTCAGCTATATCAGGGGGGCATTCATTTATGAACTGAACCAGTGTGGAATGAGTGTAAGTAAGACCGAAGATATCCAGCATGGACTAAAAATTTCCAGTTGTATTTCTATTTTTTATTGGTGTATAACTGTATATCTGGCTTGAGTGCTACATCGACTTTTCCCTGAATTGTATACAAGTTCTATACACCAGGATAAGATATTTTAACAGTGTAAAAAATGTTGAAAATTGATCGCAAGACAGCATTGGTCAGAGACATTTATATGTGATGTGATACGCAAGTTCGAAATACCGATTGAAAAGTTAAAAACTAAATATTAGGTTTGTTGCAAGCAATCAATCCAAAATCAATCAATTTTCACAATAAAACGCAAATAAAAGTCCACAATACACATTATTCTTACCGCCATGCTTGGGTTTGACTTTGTAATATAAACAACAGCTGGATAGAATTGCCTTTTCTGGACAAATGCATTGGCAATGGCTGCTGAAGTGAGTAAAGCACTCCCCATCGTTATCAATAATAACCTCATTTTTTCTTTTTTGACAAGCAAAGTCACGTCACCTGAAGCCTTGTCTTTAACTTTTTAGATACGTACGAGTTTCCAGCTATGCTTTTGATGATATGGCGATGATAATATCCAAAAACTAGAAAACTACAGATTGATTTAATTTCTTCCTCCTGGATAGGCCAAGATGGCTGCCACAAAAACACAAGTCATAAGTCTCGCAATCCAGTTAGGCACGACAGTAACCCATCTCATGGGCATTTGAATCTAGTTAAAGATTGAAAAGTAAAAAGATCCGTCTTCAAGAAGCAATAGATAGGCAATATAACTCTCCTATTTATCGGCAACGTAGCAGCCTCTTCAAAGTCCAGAAAACTTTTCAGCTTTCAAAGAAACCATCACGAGGCTGGATGATGTGGACGGGAGACAGGTAGTAACAACAAGGTAAATAACAAAGGCGATAAGAGACAGGTAACTTCTGAAATTTCTGCTTTGAAGATATTGCATCCAACTGTGTGATAAACTGCATTAGTATGAAACATAAAGTTAAGCTTTGGGGATTAAATATAACTATGACTTATCAGTTTACCACACCATGTTTCTAGGTCTTGACACGTAAGGAAACAAATAACCTCCTTTTGAAAATACTTGAAAACTCAGTGGATTTTACAGCATGGTATATTCAAAACCAGAAAAGAAAATTGCGAGAAATTAAACCACTTTCAAAGAGTAATATGCAGCAAGGAACGAGATACCGGGGGCCGGGGGAGGCTTGGCCTCCCACAAAAACTTAAATAGCACAAGTAAAATACTATTATTCTTTAAAATATGGCTATCTTTACATTAATTTGTAAGGGCTGCCCCCCCCCCCTAAACAAAAGTTATATCTCAGTCATGCAGATCTTTTTGCTCGTCTGATAAGAGTTCCGTAGCCGCAAAATGGAATGAGCCTTCACGGCTTACAAGGTGCAACCGTTTACACTTAATTAATTGGAAATACTTTCTTTAAAACCAAACCAGCAATAAAATTCGAATGCATATCCTTACAGAGCGCTTATTTCTATAATGATATGCTAAATATTTCCCTTACCCCTTTCTTGTTTCACTTTGAGTCTTTCAATAAATATGTTTGTGAGATTCATAACACATTTCCTTTTCAAGTTAAAAATTCCAAATTTGAAAACAAAGTTCACTTATGTGAGTAAATTCTTCTAGTGCCTTTTCCTTATTCAAATTTTGTTCCTAAAGGAAATTCTTGTTTCTTTTCATTCTCAGTCTCCCTCTTTAAAGTTTTTGGGTTTTCAGAAATGTGAGCCTAAGGTATCTTTCTCGTGTGCTCCTTACACAAAAGCGAGTATTTAGCCCAGAAGTATCAAGTCTGCTCTATTTGTCTTCCTACTTTCGGAAGATGAAAGTCACATTTGGAAGAATGTGCCTGTCAGCAGATTGTTGCGTAACTTCTCTAGAACAAAAATATATAGCCAGAAAGAAGAAACTGCAGCCATCTGTTGGCAGCAATGTAGCCAGGAAGGCTATTACTATTATGAGGGGGGCGTCCTACGCTAGGGAATGTCTCTTCGCTTATCGTGGAAATTGGTGACATGATAAAAACAACGCTGCCTAAAAATTTTCATGGTAAATCATGATAACAAAGATTATGCCCCCTCCAGCTTTTGTTTCTCCAGAGCCTGGAAAAAATGACGGCCATATACGGTCAATAACCGTGGGGAAGGCCAATGCTACCACGCCCAAACATTGCCTTTCTTTAGTATTTGGGGAAGGATTTCTAAGTTTGTGGGAATTGCAAAAAGGAAGAACTAAACACTTTCAGGACTCTGTGTTCCTTTTTGTTTGTTCATTTCCATGGCAATATTTCAACCAACTATGAACAATGAAAGATTTCAAGCACAGGAAACGCATTTTTCTCTCATTTAACTATAATATTCTCATCTAAAAATTTTCACGATATAAGAAGATTTAACTCAGATTCGTAAAACAATTCAAATTAGAAGTTCCTATACCATTAAAAAGTCCCCAATGCAATACCGAATAATATTAATCTTTGAAATTTCAATTAAAAACGGTAACAACGTGTGTGGTTATTTCTAAAAAAAATTGTACAGATTGAGTACACATTTCGTTAGAAAACTGCAAGAATACTGAAGTTTCCATCAAGGAATATCCATTGTCAATTCTTCAGATCTTTGAAAATTTCGAGGGTTTTTCACTCTCCACAAATCCACTTTGCAGTTTGTAGATGGCTGACAAGTGCGTAATTTTCTATTGTATATCCTTCTGAAAGGAGCAAGTCAATTTTTCTACACAGAGTACAAAAATCCTTTTTTGTTTGTAAAAATGCTGCATCTGTATCAAGCGCCAACAAAATGCAAAACCCCATGATAATTTGACACGATGTTTTCATCTCAGATCTTGCCAAAAACAAATTTGGAATATTGATGTATTTGTTGATTGCCAGTTTTATGTATTTTGCATACCCTCTGCTGATCAATTTTGGGCCTAAATTCTTCAAGCAAATCATGTTTTGAATTTCCTCAAACACAATATGCCCAAGCGTCAAGTCCTCTTTGTAAGAATTGGCTTCGCCTTCTTCAAAAACGACCACGCCATTTTCTTTATCTTTTTCACCTAAGGCGTGGATTTTAGGATGTTCCTCTGACGGCGGCATATCAGCAATTAGCGAGATAAAATCAGCAGACTTGCCAAGTATAAGCGACATGAAGAAGTTGCAAACTTTTTCTGGCAGATCAGAGTACAATCCAGATAAAGACTTGATGATGACTTGCAGCATGTAGCTTGGTTGAACACAAAATCCAGGTGGCAAAGCTTAGTATAAAGTACAGAAATAAATAAATTATTACAATCCCATTGATGTTATGCGAAATATCATATAGAATCAATCAGCAAAAGGCATAAAAAGCTATTTTGTCGAATAAGCGAGGGTTTGGAACTAGCGCGGGGTTGAATTCAGAGGTGCATTTGTAGTTTGGAAACTATTTGTATTTTAAAAGATAAAAAAATAATACAGCAAGTAACCCAGTGTTTCTAAAAAATCAATAATTTTCCATTTCCTTAAAACAAGATATTATTTCCTGAACTCTCTTCTTTGAAAACATTTTCGTGCATAGTTTCATAAAGAGTGCAAATGCACGTGGTGAGGAGGGAAAAGAACACTCGTCTCATTGTTGTCTAAGATTTGTTTCATAGCTTTAAAAATTTTGCCTTGTGTATAGCCTCATGGTGGCACATTTTTGGGCAAGAATCAGAGAAAAAAGCGAGGAGGGAGACGCTGGAATGACGACATCCTTGGCGGAATTCTTGCTGCAGAAAGCAAGCATCCCGGACGATTTTGGAGGTTTTTAAGGGTATCACAGATCACGTTGAACAAAATTTAAACAAAAAAAAACGATAACTCACTTGTACATCGTGCAAAAGCTGCAGAATCTTGCTGAGGGTAGAATTTACATATGAGTGGGAAAATACTAGCAGAAACTGAGCAGCGAATATCTGCATCTTCGTCTTGAATCAAGTCTATAATGCATTTCCAGTATTTGAATGCCAATTCGGCTGAAAGAACGAAAAAATAACCTTAAATATATAGCCTAAAATAAAAACAATTCATTGTTGACTGCTTGAAATACTGAAGATCTGAATATACTAACATCGAGCTTGAAATACCGAAATACTGACGGTGAATTGCTTTAGATACTGAAAATGCTTGAAAAGAGATCCTCCTGAAAAAGGATCTTTTTTAATAAAAAGATATTGCATAAGTACGTAGTATTCTGGCAGCCAAAAATAAAAGCATGTACCGTTTTTCGAACTGTACGTTTAAGGAAAATATAACGAAAATAATCAATACCGCAAAATACTTTGGTTTAGATTTTCTTAACGAAATATCAGAAAACAGCAAATAGAATCAAAAAGTTTAAAATCAATGGATGAAAAACAAGTTGGAATCTTTATCACATTTTAAAATTTTCAAGAGGGTGTTCATTTGAGGGCATCAAAAAGAAGAGGGGCTTTACTAAGAAGTACTCACATAACCATAAACTTAACACTGACTTCCTTTTTAAAGAGTTGACAACTTTCTAAATTCACTCACAACTTTCAGAATCAATAAGTTCCACATCTGTCATGAAATTAATGTAATTTACACTGGCAATAACTTTTGCAGATTCCATACGAGTAAGGAGACTCTCCTCTGGCCGGCAGAAACTGCTTACGAAGTCAAACATTTCAGCCACACAACTAAAAGCTGTAGATTTTACCACATCTCCCATCTACGGTTCAAGCAAATAAACTAAACATAAACAAGAAAATGACTTGAGAAATCTTAGCAATAGATTTTGAGCGTGAAACAGATAATTTTCAACGTCTCGCCAACTTTTCTTCTAGTTATCATATTTAATTTTGTAATAGTATTTCCACACTGACAAATCTTTAACACAAAATTCCTTGATAAAGCAAAATGTTTTCTGCTACGTAAAGAAATCAAATATCAATTAAAGTTGTCTACACGGCTGTCAAAGACTTGCTGGATTTGTAAAGTCAAATTTGAAAATCTGCGAATTTATTGTTGCAATAAGATTGATGAAACTCAATATGTGTAGAAACATGTCTGGTAGAAGAGGCATTCTATTTGTAAGGCCGCTGGTCAAATTCTTCAAAAAATTTTCTTGGTTTCAAAGATCATCAAACTCACCTGTTTCATTGAATTATGTAAACCACAAATCAAGACTGTAGTGAACATTTGAACAGCAGCATTCAACGACTCGCTGTAATGCAAAACATCAACGATTATAACAGTTCTCCTTATAGCTCTATATTTCTCTGATTAATATAACTTAGCGAAAGAGTCTTGGACATCTTAACGAACCCCGACCGCCCAACCTCCCCCCCCCCACCCAACACCACCCCCCAACACTAAGCTTACCATTTTTAGATATCTATATTTCAGTATTAGCCAAAATCAATCTGGTCTGCGAATTAAGTCATTCAAATATCAATACCAATCATTCATTGCAACCGACTATAAATAATATCTAAACACTGCGTTTTGTATGGAAAATTTTATAAAGTGAATTTTGAACTTCTCAATAAAAGACAGACAGTTACACTTGAATAGCCTTTGTTAAACCATATTTAGCTATAATATCATAACAGTGCTTTCAGTGGATTTTGTTGATTGCCAGCTGTATTTTGATCAATGGGATTCGCCGTCAACCATTCGCAGTGATCTTAGCCATTTTAATCCGTGACCAGAACCAGCAACTGGTTTTATAAACTTAAGTGGAATTATTTACTTCTTTCATCTAAATTCCTACGCAAGCGGTCGATGCATTCAGTTAAAGACAGCCAAACTGAGGTTAGAACACACATCTAAAAGGTGAATAAACACTATAAAAGGAAACTTACCTCTTTTTACTTGGCTGAAAGTTTGCTTGGAGACACTTCCACACCTGAACAATGATGAAATCGTTGAAAGAATAAACATCAGGGGAAATCTATGACAGCTTTATTTTTAAGTGAATATAATATACTCAAAGAGTTCGCAGCTTACGTTTAGGTCGTTATCCGATTCTAAGGATTGTCAGGAGAAAAGTGCTTGATATGGTAGGTGATCGATAGGTGATGAGCTTATCGAAACTGTTTTCACACTAACAGAATCAAAAGAAGAGCAAGAGTAATTTAAAAGAAATCCTCTACAAAGTAAATGAGCAAGAGCAAAACACAGACCAGAAATAACGTAAATGCCCAAATAATTCTAGGTGTCAAGTGATGGGCTTCTTAGCTTACATAAATGATTTACAGTATAATTCAATGAATATTTTGACATTCTTTTTAGCTTTAACTCTGTTTTATAGATGTGGCCAAGTATAAAATCGATGCAGACTTAGGTGGTGAACTAAATAAAAAAGGTTGCTACAAATCATATCGGTTAATTTCATTTATCAGAATGCTTAATAGCTAAGTATATGAACTGCTATATAAAAATATTGCTAGTTTCTCATCAGGAATGTGTAAGTTTTTAAATAGCCACGTAAAAAACGGAAAAGGAGACTACAATCATTTTTGGTAGAAAATATGTTTTTACCTGCATACAGTCGAAAGATTTCCCACTTTCCATGATCCAGGGAAAGTTTTTTGAATGGGACGATGCTAGAAGTGCATTGCAAATCTGCAGCAAAAAAAGGATTCAAAATGAATTGTTTTCATCAATGGTTTTTCAAAATTGGTGGGGGTACATACAGATAGTAGTGGAAGGTGGGGGTACATACAGATAGTAAAATATTACGAGGTCGGGGCAGCAAAACTGTATAGATATTTGTTTGTACTATTACGTGTTTCACAATAAATATTACAGAAAAGCTTATTTCCAATTATGAGAATGATGTCAAATGTGCACTACGACTACCAATCTCATTAATCATTTAAGGAGAAAAATATGGAACTGCACACTCAAAGCAATAAATACTTTAACGAAAGTGAACTTGCAGGGTTTGTCCCATACCAGGCAACAGGTTACTTTTATGATGAAACTCAGAAAAATGATTTCATCTTTGCTGATTTCATCAAGTTGAAAAACATATTTGTATCAGTATAACGATTTTGCCCGACAGTTCTGAGTGTGTGAACAAATTTCCGAGCAAATTCATGGAAAAAGGGCGCACTAACCTCAGCCAGACATTCAACCTCCGTCTCACTCTTGAGTAGCCTCTCTTGAAGACATAAGGTTACAGCCTCTTTTTGAATTTCAGATTTTCCATCCTTGCAAAGCCAGTGCAAAACTAACTCCCGAACGTCATAAAAATCAGATTTCAACAACTTTAAAACAATTTCCAATTTTACTACCTCTGCGTCACGGCCATCGGTTACAAGATGCTTGAAATTATGATATTTCAAGCACTTTTGGAGGAAAATGGAACAATTTTTCCTGAGCAGTTCGTACCCAACGCTCCTTTTCAGTGACTGAAGTGAGACTGCTTGTATACTTGACAACCCTGATAAATGCAACTCATCGAGTGCTGCTTGAAAAGAAGCTTCAATGATGTTTAGGAAGGAATCGCGCACATAAGGGGACAAGGAATGCCAATCTGAAATGTAACAGAAATACGTAGTCATACATTTACCGGAAAAACGTTTATAACTAATCACTACTGTAAACAAAAAATGCCAAGATAAACGGCAAACTTCAACACTTCCATAATTTGAAACACTTCCACGACAGTTCTTCTTCATTCTTTAAGGCTCTTGCGCAACTGGCATGCATTGCGACTTTATTTTCAAAACTGGCCTAATTTTGTACAGCATGAAAATGCAAAACACAATCAATTTCAAACAAAAGACAGGCGTGCCGGTTGCGCAAAAGCCTTTAACTTAGACAGAACAAAAAAATAAATATATCAATTAAAATCGAAAACTTCGGGAACATTCCAAGGTGTGCTAGAAAGCGAAAACTTCAATAGCAAGCAGTAACCATAAGCATAGTTGATAAGAGACCAAGATAAAACTTTTCACAAAGTCTGCCACAAAAGCTGTGTATTATGCTCTCTGCCGAAATATTTATCGCAAAATTCAACCGAGCTTGCATGGTCGACGCCAACTCTAATCGTCTGATTTATCCAGTAAGACAAGTAAGACAACCCCTTTCCTGATTACAAGCAAGCCACTTAATTTGATTGCATAGATCCTTATTACCTTCTCCGTTAAGCTCCACGATTGTTGCATTTATTAATTCAAAGAAAAGAGCTTTGTTGAAGCTGCAGAGGTTGTCGCTAAAATACAAAAATTTCATTAGTTGAAATTGACACTTTGGTATGTAGTACAGGAGCGCTTTAAATTGCAACTATGGGTTCACGCTCTACTATAAAACAGACAATTTCACAGTAATATTTATCTATTTGAAAAGCCATGATTTCGTGGACCAAACTATCTGATAAGAAATTTTTTATAAGATTGAGGTTTCTCATTCCTTGCAAACAAAAACATAACAAGAGATAATAGATACGAACATTTTTTCAAATATCATAATCTATGATTGTCTTTACAAGTTTTAACATGAATCTATTCTGAAGCATTCTTCAGTATTCACAGACGTCAGGGTTTATGTGACCCCTGGATAAATGATGGATATCGAGCACATGACCAAAACCATTTCCACCTGAACATAGCAACCTTAATTGCATTAAGGGAGCTTTTATTTCAAAAGTATAAAATTTCTAAAAAACAACATTTGAAGATGGCACGAAATAAAGGAAGCCTTCCATACTGAAGCATTTTTCGTCCGACACTCTTCAGAGTATACTGAAGAGACAATTTGTGTACTTAATTTATATGCTCATATATTGTCGTTATTTGGACAAAGTACCACAGACGAGCAAAATATTTTGTTGAACGTTTACTCAAACTCTAGCTTGAAACACTTGTTAGAATAACATAATTTCGTTTCGTCCTTTTAATATGTAGTGTTCACACAAAAAACCAATGAAACCATTTGAACCGTACCTTGATACCAGCCATAAGTGATCTCTAAAGGATAACAAAGGCCCATCAATTATTTGCTTTTTTAATGACGATGACACGGTCCTGTCTGCCATTTTGCCACGCAATAATTCTTGTATCTTGAAATAACGGAGTAGCAATCAAAATTGATCAAATGACCTTTAATGAATCAATTCAAATAAGCTTGTTCATAGCATTCTAAAATATATTTCTTCAAGCCCTTTAGATCAGACCTTGAAGATGGTTGCTAATGCCAGCTATTATAAGACAAATAAGATGGAGAAAATCAACCTAGAAAGTCATTTTACAGAGCCGGAATAGCATAGCCAACACGATATGGAAAACCTCTACCCGGACAGCCAATCTTTCACCTGGCAGACGGTAATACAGGCAGATTCTTACAATAAGACCGATAATCTTATCTATGTACAATTGGATGTCAATGCTGCTATTAAAAGGAAACATAAACAACAATTACTCCTGCCTCCAATGCTAGCTGCAAAAGTCAATAAGTAGCTTCATAAAGATTTAAACTTTGTATGCTATGTTCCTGTTTTTCCGTCCTCCTTTTTGCAGTACCTAAGCTATTTGGCAAAGAACAACTTTAAGAGGCGAGGCACTATACTATTCCTGGCTTTCCAACAGACATGATAATTAGCCTTCCTTACTAAACGTCAAAGATATGTTTTATTATGCATTAAGGCTATATGAAGTTCCATACAATATCCTGGTAATTTCAAACTCTAAGTAAATAAAAAGACACAAACCTGTAACAAACAGCCGTTTATATGATTATGACAGATCTCTTTGCTAAAGAGGAAACAACACGCTAAGTTAATATTAAATTTCTAGTTAGCAACAAACAAAGAGACAATGCACTTCTACGCAAAATAAGCATATAACATAATATGAAGAGATAGGGGTCATCAAAAATCATATCTCAAAAATTGCTCTCACTTTATTCCATCAGTTGGCAAATTACTGATTAATGATTGGACAGTCTCTACGAGTTCTCCTGGCGTCACAATTGAAGCTAATGCCCTGGCGGCCATTGTTCTGGTTTTATAGACCCCGCTTCTTCCACACCTATGAAAGAATAAATAGAAACTTCTAGACGATTATTTTGATATACATACATGTATGTATAGAAGTTACTAATTACATATAAACCAATCAAGTAGACTATCGAAATATGGATATCATTATATGAATATTACCATATAATGGAAAATTAATATTTTTGACAGATTTATTGACTATAGCTGCAAGGATTAAATATCCATATAAGCTTTGATCTATCAAGGAAACGTATCATGAAGAATAACTCATCTAAATGTATGTGATCTTGGTGTCAAAAAATCCAAACAGGAGTTTACAGTGCCTTAACACAAGGTTCAATTCCGTAACATCATATAAACAAAAAAATGACCAAATAGTATGATTGTAAAAGTGGACCTAAAGCATAGTTAAGAACTTTTTAAACGACAGCCCTCGACAGTATACAGACGAAAAATGATTAAAGATAAGCAGAAAACTAAATCCACGTGCAGATCGAAAGAAACGTGAGAGGAACAATAACGCTTGTCGTGACGGCTTTCCGTCATATTCCGAGAGAACAATACAACTCCAAACTCTAAAAAACATTGCATTTTAGGTTGATTGAATGTCTTTTACCGCTGGATATGTGGTGCGAAGGCACGTAACTTCATCTTTGAATCGTTTCCATCCATTGAAGAAGGATAAAGATGCGAAAGCAACAACAGCAACGGAAAGACACTTGGGTGCAGATGGATCCTATTGCTATAACGATAAAAGACAGAGGTAGAAAACAAGAGTTAGTTCATTTTGAACTTTTGACTGAGTGCTAAAATGCTGGAATCTTCGGTAGATCGAATTTTCAAAGTTAAGAAAATTTAAAGTCAAATTTTCTTGTATAAACATACAGTACAGAAATATGATTATAAATGCAGCCTTTGATTTAGTGACAAAGCTTAAAGCTAAATTGATAAAGTTCAATAAACAACCTATTGCTGATATGTCTCAAACGATTTTCTTTCTTGTGCAAAGATTCTGTTGTCAGTAATGAGATCTGCTTTAGCTAGAGCTTAATTCCTTTCACCTTCTATAAACTATAGCAATAATTTTTTTTATTTCAGCTGACTATCAACTGATTTCTACTGTATGTTACAAACAAAAACAGGTCGTCAGAAAAATATTAAGAGCGAATAAGAAACAGAGGAATGACGAATTACAGACAGCATACCTCTGAGAAGAAAACTGTTCTGCAACAACTTCAATTTCAGTTTTCATAAAAGAGTACATGGCTGGAAATCTTGAGAAGAATTCATTTCCACTCATTCTGTAAAAACAAACTAGTGTCTTATGTTTGGAAGTCCGCAATGGATTAACTTCTAAATAAAAGGTCTTGCAATAATATCATCGTTAGTAAATCTACACAACTAAAGCATACTGGACATTGTGATATGAGTGTATTAGTTATATGCTTACAGAATTTATAGGTATCTGCATCTAAAAAATATTAAAGATTCAAAAAATTGAATGGTGGTATAAAAGTGGTCAAGAGATATCAATAGCTGATATCAATCGCTCAGTCACTATAAAATAACTATAAAATACATCGTCTTCTCCATAATTATTCATTCAATACAAACAAAACAATTACGTTTTGTGACAGGTCATCTTTGACAAGAAAAAGGACAACTCAGGAGATAACAGCATGTTGGAAACAATTCAAAAATCTTTTGACAATATGAATATAAAAACTTGGATGACGGCCATAAAATTATTACGCACTATTAACACAGAAGAAGACTAAAATGAGACAAAAATAGAGAATCACAATCGATTAGCTCTTTCGTCTTTGTTCCTCCTGTTTGCATGGGGTCAGGTCTGCTGACTTCAATGTTCCAATAAAATGTTTCATATCACTTTTTATAAACGTTCAGCTTCCTCATTCACATTTTGGAGACCAGGTGGTCTCAACTAGCAATCAACTTAGATAGAGAAGATCGACGTTCGCAGGCATATCAAGAAGTTGGAATTGAAAGCCATTTTGAGTGCAAATAAAAATATGCTCAATTATGCAATCAGCTTGTAGTTTTTGAAATAGTGTACGAAACTTGTTGCTAGGCTAAATATTAAGTACCGAAATCCGAATCTGGTTTCCGTAATATAGTTTGAAATTGGGCAGATCTCATTTGTCAATAAAATACACACGAGAAATCAAAAGTAAAAACGTTTTTACGGGAACTTCCTCACGCCAAACACCCTGGACATCAATGCACTGAACAGCAAAGTACAAGCATTTCTTATCTAAAAATAAAAACTTTCGTTTAAAAGCAAACTCCATAACTAATTATAGCACTTCAAATAAACTGAGTGCCTTCCTCTAGCTATTGCTCTAGTATTAGTTTTAGTTAAAAAATAATATTCTTCATTAATCTTTAGCTACCTTTTTGGCCGTTTATACTACAATATCATCATAGAGGGAATTTGTGTAGCTGTAGTTTGAAAAAATTAAAAAAAATGATAATAAAAATGATTATCGAGATCGTGGTCAGCTATCTAAAAATCCTGAAATTTTATTCGTTGTTTCACCGTCTTATCGTACGAACAGCGAGACAAGTTCGAAATTACACACAACAGCCTGGTTAAATATTCTTCCAAAACCTACTTGACAGCATTAAGAAAAAACAAGAAAAATCTCAATCCTGATCTTTGAAGTTTACAAAAGAGGACACCTGACATGAAAGAGCACTCACCGCCCAAATACTGGAGGAAAATCCTTTGACAGCGATCATCAAACCATCACTCGCGTAAGGAAAAACATCTTCGCCAAACTTAGAGTCTCGAAACATCGCTCGTAGAATATTGAGGGTGATTACCTTTGAAAAGAAAGAGAACAGTAGTTTGAAATGTCAATATCAGTGGCAGGAAAATAAATGAAACAGCAAAAATATACCAATATCACATACCTTTTGTGAAATGACATCATCATTTGTCAAATCTAGTTTGCTTGCGACGGAGCGACTTAATTCAACCAAAACTATGGAAGAGTATTTAGAAAATTGTTACCTCAAAACATCTAATGGAAACCCGAGGAATTGTTAAACTCCAAAATTCATGGGCTAGGCTATCATTAAGGTCGTCTTTGCTATACAAAATATGAATAGAAATATAATGTTTTTCTTTATAACAGGAAAGTTGATGGTAATCAATGTTTTCTTAACGATACTTCCTGAATGCTTATATATCGGGAAAAATAGGAGCTGAACACTTACAATTTGCCTGAAAAAAACCCTAAGAAATGCTACTGTCAAAAAACGTATTAATGTAAATATACCACTTTTTAATGTTCATAAGCTTGTTACCAGTCATCAGCTTGCATTGAATACTAGCCAGCGAGAGGCAAAAATAGTCTAACAAAAAACGTGTTGTTAATCCTCTTGAAGCCCATGGACAAACACTTTCTAAATAAGATTAGATTTTGGTACAAGCGCGTGTAAGACCATCAACAGAACGCATACACAGCTATGGCTTCACCAACACAATGAACAAACGGAAGGAAAATATGAATTAGTTCGACATGGAACTTTATAACAGTTCGAATAAAATATTTTTAGCAGTAGCTACTCAACTTGGAGAATCTGAGAAGAACAGAGTAGAGCACGAATAAGGTGCTTTGTTTTGGGAAGTTTATACTCACCTTTCATTACAAGGTGAAAAGTCTTCCTCTTGTTGATAATTGGTTCTGTGCTGCAAATTGCCTGAAAAAGGCCAGAAATGCAAAAATATCACACAAATGCACTGAAAGATATAAATTGCAAAATGGAGTACAGTGAAATGAAAGGCATGTTTGAAAATAGGAATTTGAAAAGTCAAAGTTGGCAAGGTAAACAAAGAGAACTACGATAGTAGAACTAAGAGAACAAAGTAGCCAGTTTAGCTTCCATCACGCCATGCTCATTGTACGTTTTACAGCAATATTTCATAAAAGTTACTGCATTATCCATCGGCTAATATGTATGCTGTCATCTAGCATGCATTAATCCGAGGCAAAAACAAGAGTTTGCATTTTTGCAACACACAGCAATACAAGACTGTTCGATTTTGAAACAGAACACCGCCTTACTCCTGTTTTACTTCACAAATATTAATACTGGGCATCAATATAACTTAATGAATCTTTCTGACACGAATATGATCCTTAGCAAAGGACTTACTGGGTAAGCTCTTAGGTGGAATAAAATGTGAAATGATGTCATAGGGATAATCTGGTTAGGGAACCAAAAATGATTCTTAATAGCAGAAATTCACCTGTAAATCTTAGATAACATATGACAAAACTTCACTTACGCTTATATAAAATGGGATCCCTGCGCTCCTTCGAGTTGAACAAAGAGCTGACGACGATGAGACTGACCTCAAGGTTTCCAGTAAGTCATTTATCCATTTTGTTGGTAGAACTTTCAAGGACTCGAACTGGCTTCGCCAAAAAGAGTCACAGACTTTTACAAAGCCTAAATAAGCCAATTCAAATGCACCAACATGACGGGATGACAACAGAATATCTATGAAAACATTGCCTATTTCAACGGCAATTTTTGACGAAAGAAGCCCTGTCGTAAGGTCCCTTTTGACATTATGTCTGCTCTCTGTTCTGCTGTTTTCAATTCCCACACTACTCTCCACCCTTGATGACTGAAAGTTGTCTGCTGGCTGCGAGACGTCAATTGACTCATCACTATTTTTCATCACAACGTCCACAAACATCAAACTCTCCTCGTCCCTTCCAAATGGTTTGATCTTTTCTTTCATATCCGTCGTGATACTTGGTGGCAGGAGGGGTTCACCTCGTTCCTTTTTGTCCTTGTTTGAATCCTCATAAATCGGAACAGAGTGAACAATGTCACCTAGCAACAATACTGCCTCTTTCATGGACCGCCAGCAACAAACAAGAAGCATTTGCGAGAGATGGGCCTGGGCCTCGACTTCCCTTATACTCGACTCTCTTTCTCCCAAAACCTCGGCGACCATGACATTGTGATCTCCTGCTTCATCGAGGCTACCTTCTGGCGCATTGCTTTGTATAACAGGCCCTACAACATCGGTTACTCTTAACGACATTGTAATTAGTTCTGCAATTAATGATTGCCAAATAATTTTGCTTCTAACCTTCTGTATTTTAACAGTCCTTAACAACTGCCTAATGCATTGTATGGTCCCATGCAATGGTCCCTCCAATGCTGCCTTCGAGAGTCCAGACTCAGCTATGCGCAACTGTTCATTTAGCTTTTCAGTCAAGAGTCTCAAAATTATTAGGTGTGCATGATAGAAACATTCTTTAGGGCCGCTATTATCGTAAAGCAGCTTGTACTTGCTGTTCAATGCAGTAACCGTCATTTTTTTTATACTTCCATTGGCTAAGAACTTCATGATCTCAGGAGCCGAGTTCGCCTCATCAGGTTGGGGGCTGTATGCCAATTGGAGCCCTTCTTCAAAAAGATTCAACAACTCATCTTGTGTAAAGGAAAAAATATCACATGGTAGCATCATAAGAATCTCATTGGCTAGAGATCTGTTTACATCAAATGTATCGTGCAGGCAACTAATAAGTGTTCGTATGCGATCCTTGGAGAAAACGTCTTCTGTAAAAACTTGAAAAATATCACAAGCATCAGAACCAAGTGTATTCAATGCATCAGCATTGTTTAGATCTATTTCTGAAATTACCTTTAAGATAGTCGCCATAATCTCCAGTGCTGTGACAATCCGCGGGAAACACGCAGCTGTATGTAAACCAGAAAACAGAAAATCCAAAAGCCACTTAACAAAGGCCTTACAATCGAGCAGTTCTTTGCTCAACATACTATCTCTGCTGCTGCTTTCGTCATTCAAAACAAGTGTTTCTGATGCCTTTCTTATTTGCTTGCATCGATCGGTTATGCGCGAGACAGCTTTCTTTATGCAACAAACAAATCGACTTCTGAACTTGGGGCTTTGACTCGTCATGTTAAGTGGAATAAAGAACTTCAGCAACTGAAAGTCTTGCTGCTGCAGGACCTCTGTGCTTTTGTTTGATTCGCAGATCAATGCCAAACAATCTAACCTTACCTTAAACGAAAAAATAGCAAAAATAAAAACGAAAACTACATTTAAAACTACATTTAAACTAGACTTAACAAAAATAAGAACAAATATTGTTCATTCAAAATAAATACTCAAAAAATCCATAAAGCATATATCGAGTCAACACATAGAGCATATTAAGAATTGATGACTTGCAAGGTACGATTAAACTGGTTATTCACTCATATGTCTAAACTCAACATTCCACAATATGGCAAACCGACTAAGTAGTGGTCACTGGGAATTTGATGTAAAGTTCTCAGCAAGCCCGATCAAAATAACAAACTATCTTCTTTTAAAATATCTAAAATCAAGCTGAAAAAACAAGTCTTTGCTAAAAAACGATGAAAATAACAGTAAACAGGATACAGAAAAAGCAAGTCAATGAAGAATGATAGAATAAAACGAAGAATGATTTGTAGTGTTGAAGTATTTATCACAACAAATGAATGTCTTGCCAACATTTGCTCTAACCTGTTCATCAATATGGCACAAGCAAAGCTCCATGAATTCCATTCGTGCCAAGCCATGCCAATAACTGACACAATCCACCCGTTTTGCAGCGAGATCCAACTTGGCACAATCTCTAAGACCCCTGGCACATGAGAGGAAAACGATCGTTGTTATGACGTAATCCCGAGTATTCTCAAGGTCCCTGCTTTTCTCTAAAATCACGTTAATCAGGCCAGGGAAAGCCTTAAGCAACCCAGGAACTATATAGTCAGTAATATAGGTCCTTCGTATGCGATCACTTAAAGAGATAGCTTTGAAAACCGGCTCACACCAGATACGGAGCCAGCTGTCTCTTTGCGACTCACCTTCGCGGATTTCTGAAAAATGGCACGTTGCCGATTTCACGTACAAATCACAAATACACGAAGAAAGATTACAATCATTGAGGCAATCCAGCAAATCAAAGGGCAACGACTTTCGGATTTCTAAGAATTTTGTAGCGCTTATATGGTCTAAAACACAGATCAATGACAAGCATTTGCTTCTGATTTTCAGATTTCCATGTAGCCAATTACCCAACAGCATGTTAATATGAGCTTCGGAATCCGGAAAAAGATTAATAATCTTGATAACCTTCTCCAGAGAATGTCTAACCTGGTGCCTTACTGCGTCAACGGGGTGATCCAAATAGCCATTCAATGTACGAAGCAGCTTGGGTGTTGTATCACAACTTGGCGAGTAAAACCCTAGATCTGTTGTTTCGCTTTCAACTCCAAGAAGTGCTTTACAATGGTTATATGCTTCTGTTGTCCAACAGTTCAACGACCTGAACGCATAAACGGTTAAGCCTTTCTCATTTACTGTCGAACAGATATCCAGTAAACAATCCAAGATCGAATCTGTAAAGAGAGTCCTCCTTCTTATTTCACTGTCACATTTGTCAGCCGAACCAATGGCCTCTTCGTCCAAACCTCCGTCTTCTATTTCAGATGGCCCACTACGCAAAGCTGAAGAAATTTCCAGGTTCGTCATTCTATGCCGCAAATCAATACCAGAATCGTGCTCATTTTTGGTCAGATATTCACCTTCAGAGTCTGCACAATTATGACTCGTGCTTCTTAGCCCTGGTAGATGCTCTTCAGTTGCTTGACCTAACTCTGACGAGACTTGTTCCCCATCATGTAGAATACTAGAATCGAGTTTGGTAATGAGACCATGACAAAGAATCAGTCTGGAAGAACGGAAACTTTGTGCCTGAACCAGCTTCTCTAGAAGAATATCCACAATCTGCTCTTCAAGATACGCATTTTCACCATGCAGTATTTTCCCTTTAGGCAACAACTGCTTTCTCATTCCGTCTAATGATAAATTTTTCCATTCTATCAACAAAATCTCAATAAGGTTCTTTAAGCTCTCTATTGGCAGCAAGAACTGTAAGGTAGCAACAACAGCCACTCCTGCCGCACTTCTACAATCCAACATAAAGTCATCGTTTTGTAGTATATCCAGGCAATACTTGAGAATCTCGTACAACGTGCTAGTATTTACTTTATTGCCGGGCGAGCTTATGTTTTTTCGCTTCTCCTCCAGCAATATGTTGCAATGTAAGATCGCAATTGTGGTTTTTATTGCACTTAGGCAGTTTGACATTGCATTTGACTGGATTTCCAACGACTTTGACAATCTAAAATAGAGGCCTGCTTTGTCACTAAGGAATGGGGTAAACATGTTTCAATTTACTACACTCCTCTCAGGAGCAATTACAAAAATATAAGATAAAACAGAACGAAAAAGTAGGAGTGGTCTTCAATACAGCAAACAAAAGGCATTCAGCCAAAACATAATGAAATGTGACTGCTTCCGAACAACACGTTATATGCTACTACCTCACTGCTCATTAATCCTGTAAACAGGCAGGAACTGATGGCAAGCAAGCAGGTTAATTTGAAGCACGCTTAGAGGAAACTAAACAATTTGGAATCATCATACCTGGCATTAGGAATTTCTTGCGAAAGCAGCATCGTCAAAAATTGAAAGGCTGAAGAAAAAAACAGCTTAATGAACATTTTTTTAGGTGTATATGAATTTTTTAGATTTTGCAACAGAAAACCAAAAAATAAATATTTCACTGCATACACAAAACAAAACGCGTTTTTGCATAATGGTCAAGAAGAAAGTTAAGTTAGCAATAACTGGGTTTTGGAAGAATAGTGTTCGGAGTTCAGGATTGAAATTGTAGAATTGAAATTGCAGATTCCTTTGTAACTTTATGGTACTAAGAGGAATGAATTCATGATTAAGCTTGAGACATGATGAAAATTCTAAAGGATAGTCATCAGCCCTTTCTTCGCCAATCTGGTAAATGTTTATGCAATTTATAAAAACAAAATAATTTGGAGGTATAAAAACAACAAACCTTCATGGCTACAATTGTTGATCACTTGCCTGCCTAAAAATGAAAGATTTTAATTTCAATATAAAGAAAATTGTTACGTCATATAAACATTTTGAAACAAAATGAATTCCAATTCATTTCACATCTTGACCTGTTTTCAAGGTTTAGTCAAAATAACCATCTGATCTTGCTACACAAAATTTGCCTTAAAAACAGGGAAAACCTTTCTAGCTAACATGCTTAAATGCATGAGCATTGGTTTGTAGAGCAGCATGGATCTAAGTTGCTTCTGAAAAAATTAATGCAATATGTCCTACACATCAAAGTTGTACAACTTTGACATGAAATCTCAACTTTTACATTGTCTGTATTGCAGTAAGTCTCAACCAAAGATCAGTACACAATAATTTTATTTCCCTCTCCCACCTTTATTCTGACCCTACTTCTCATCACTGGCAGAAGATTTGAAACTCTAAAGATGAACTGAATGATCCCTCAGATCTGTACTAATTGTACTAATTGGACAAATGAGGAATAGTAAATCAAATCATGTGTTTACTTTCTGACATTACCTAATGGAAAGTTTTCTGTGAATGCCATCAAGGTCTCAACAATTCTTCTGCCTTCAATTTGAAAGTTAAGACCATCCTTGTTAAAAGAAAAGTAAAAAAAATTATTGCGAAGATATTAAAATTGCTTGAACAACTGTAGGACATCTTATTGCTGTTTAACATTAGGTCTATTTCACACCAAGGTACCCATGTCTTTCAGAGGTTTCTAAGTTAACAGAACACTTCGCTTTCCAAACAGTCAACTCTATGGGTTGCAAAGTAGGAAAGAAAATGCTATGAAAACTTAAAAAAAAGCGAAAATATATATCTAACACAAAATAAAGTCCATATTTAATGCACTGTGTGTTAAACATTTGACAAATATACCAATGTCTTAAAATATTAAATACTACCAGAAGGTAAATGATGACTTAAATGTCAGAAAACTTTTAAAAGAATGACTAAATCTTACCTTGAACTCGTGTGAATTTCTTAATTCTTCTAACAAATTTTTTGTCAAATATTGAATTACTTGTTGAGTAGACCATTCCGGAAGCGTATGAAGAATGCTAAAATACATTAGGTTTGGCACATTTTAGAGATTAAAAAAAATACTTTGATTGCTATCAAAATGAAATATCTATGATCTGCAATTGGCATGTGTTGGAAACGGACAAAACAAATCAAAAACTTACAAACTTATGAAAATCAAGAAACATGTTAGTCTTAATTACAATGTATCATATCACACTCAACTGTGGTAGATATTTGTCAAAATATTGTGCACAAGGGTGGACAATATTTTCAAAAAGAATTATATATTATTTATTGCTATAAGATAAAAAACAAAAATAAATTTCCAAACTCTATGGGGGTATTTCTGTGCTATCTGCTGTAATTGTATCAAACACTGTTATTAAATTTTATTAAACATTAAATTGTGACTGTGAGCACTGAATTACCTTGTAATTGCTCTCCTTGCTGGGTGTTTTGACTTGCATTTGATGAATAAATAAGCAAATGAATCAAACAGGACTTTAATCAATGTGTCATTACAGCAAGTGGCAAGCAACTCTTTCAACTGATTCCCAACCTAAGAAATAAATGTTTGTGCTGCAAGGTTGGGATGGTCTTTGGAATTACACTGGCAAATCTCAGTTAAATCTAGCAAAATACCTATTGGTTTTGACATTTCAGAGATCTTTTTCAAATTGATACACTTTTACATATATAAATATGGGGTGATGTTGGCCAAGGAGTCTGGCTCCTAATAATTTTTTAGAAATTAATAAAATGCATTTTGTTCTAAAAAGGTCAGAAGTAGTTCCCTTCTTCAGGATTAAGTGCTCATTTTCTAAAGGGCGGGGTGACTGCTGCTTGAAGATCTTTCTCAACAAAGAAAAAGATTAAGACTGAGTGACTGGGATAGAACAGATTTCCTTACTTCGTGAACGGGTGGGCATCGCATGCAAATATGTGTCTAACTCTATATGTGTTTGCATTCATCTGCCCCCTGCACGTTTGATATGCTTCCTACATCATTGCTTTTGCATTTAAATTCTAGTTAGCCTCAGTTCAACCTGGGCTAATTTGAATAATTTGAATACTTGCTGGTAACACTATTTTGGTGACTTTGGTCCTTAGTCCCGCAAAGTAACCACTTCTTCCCTGTTGTTCTACCAAACAAACTAACTGGATTCTTGGTCAGTAAGACATCATTTACTCCAAGAACACTATACTTGCAATTTTCACAGGCTAGCAATTCCCAAAACAAGCTTCAAATAAAGGTACGCAATAGGTGCTATAATATAGTACCTCTTTTAAAATAGCAATTTGTTCAAGACCATTTTGTTCCGCATCTTTATTCATACAAATCTTCAAGAGTGGTGCCAGACTGCTATCATCACTGTCTTCTAGAAATAATAGCAAATAGATAAGGAAATGCCAAAAACAAAAAAAGAGGTTTTACTCTGTGGAAGCTCTATGTGGGCAAAATACCACATGAAAAGTAGTTTGTTTAATTGCTTTTTTATTTTATCTAAATGATTTGTAAAGTTTGACTACTGTCAGTCAAAGTAAATTTCAAGCATGAAAAATTTTATTAAAAGGCAAAGCAAATGATAATAAAAACATTTTTGTAGCTACGCTTTTTGTAAACAAAAGTTTTAGAAGGGTCAAGAACTCTCCATGTTGTCAACTTTAATGAAACTCTTAAGGTTCTAGACAGCAAATAAAGCTAAGCTTAAACTGTTCTTGTCTAACAAGAATGAAGAAGAATTGTTTTGTCTGCCAAGGTCAGACCTTTCCTGGAGACCCAGACTATAGCCTTCGCCCAATTCTCATTTAATTCAATGTTCTCATTCTCAAAGCAATGTTCTCATTCAATCCAGACAAAAAGAAGATGTCCGTTTCTTTTGACAATAAATGTTAATAAACTTAAATATTCTCTGCTAAAACTAGCAATTGAATAGGAAATGAGTGTGCAGGCAAGGAATAACAGGGCGGTGTAAAATAATAAGAATGAGACACAACACTGTCTAAGACGAAACTTTTCTTTTTGAAGTCACAAAATATGAACTGGGCATTCCCAACAATGATTTATTTCACCTGCAAACAAGCAAAAGCAGAAACAGCATTGTATTAATAATATCCTCATTATTTTATAAGAAACTCCCTATAAGAAACCAGTACCGGGCAAATGGAAAAAATTAAGAAACTTCAGTATCTGGAGCAAGAAAATTAAGAAACAATTGAATTTTGAAAAAGGTAAGACCTCAGAAATTTCCTTCAAATCCACCAATATGGTGGGCTGGGTGGCAGAAACATTAGACCTAAAGAATGAAAATATACTTCCCCCATCTAATTACACCACAAGAAGGAAGCAAATACTGTGTTAAGAAACTGGAGTACACAGCGCAACATTGATCTTCATTTATTACAAAAAGGAGCATAGTTCAGTTGTCTATTTTTGAATTTTTTATAAAAATCAACTTTATCTTAAGATAGCCCATTAATAATATCATATTGCTCTTTTTAAAAAAAAGATGGTTCTCATTGGACCCTATTAAGAAAATCTGTGTTCCAACAAAAAACGTTGCCATTATACACAAAAAATTAGATTTTGTCAATTTAAGGAGTAGTAATGCATTAGAAATTGTCTTTATAAAGTTAACAATGTTTACAAGTAGGCAAGGCAATATATTTATTGCCATGTATATACTGAAATATAAATAGATAAACAATAAATTCTGCAAGGGCTAAATAGTCCAAGCAGCAGGGGTCGTTTAAAGCTTCTGGGCTTTTTCCAGGAAAAGCCTGACCCAAGTGGGTCCGGGAGCAGAAAATAGGAATGAGAGGGCCAAACAGTGGTGGACACTTATCAAGGGCAAATATTAGGGGGAAGGGGCAAATACAAGCCTGTTGCTTTGATAATATGAGGTCACATTGGTCCATAGTTTTGGAAGAAAAGACCATTGTCTTCCAAAATATTGGGGGATGGCCATCCCCCTTTATCTCAAACCCCCAGGTGTTCGCCACTGGGGCTAAATATCAAGAAATGTCATTGCTTGTACCCAAAATGAGTAACAAATTTTAAATTGATACTTATTTAAGTCTACAGAGATGTCAAAATTTAAGTTGGGATCAATTCAGCCAAACACGTACAATAACAAAATTCAATTAAAAAAAGTGATGGGATAATTACTAATTGTTGCTAACTAACATAGTTCTTTTCAACCAATTTGCACACTTCCGTGCCTCAAGGAGACAAAATAATGCCTGTCTGAATCAATTGTAGGGCCACCCTGGCATGGGCGAGATCTAAGCAAAAAAATGCCACAGAAAGTTACAGTACATACAGGTCACCATCTATCGATGTCATCTTTAGGAGATGCAAATTACCTTGTTTAAGCTTTGATTCCAGAACATACAAGGCTTTATTTGTAAAAGCACTGTGTAAGTGCCTATCTCCTTCTTTCTTTGACCGTTTCATTTTCTTAAAAACATTTTATTTACCAGATCGGGTCTTAATCATGCAAATACACGTGAGTTAATATGGCGGCAATTCTTGAATGTTGGCGTTTCTACCCAGGAGATCTCCTTCGCAATAACCCTTCGACTTGTTGGCAAATCGCGTATGCCGATAATGGCTGCAAAAGAGAGACGATGTTGAGGAAGTACCTGAAATAACATTGAAAAGAAAAGCGTTGTACGCCCAAAATCATGTAATTCTGGAGTTTGAGTATAATATTCAAGTTCAACGGTTACACTCTTTGTTTCCATTTTGTTATGGCATTCAGAAAAAAACATTTATGATTGCTCACATGGATATTCATCAAATACACAAAGGAGAGTGATTTAGGCCAATAATGTCAGCAGTAGGATTCAGAATATCCCTCTTGTGATGAATGCGTGAAACATGTATATGAATACTTTTTCGATAAATCTTAAAGATAAGCTAGAAATTAGCTATAGACTCATTCCGGTCTGGCCTTAAGCATCTTTATTAAATGGAGCCTTCGAATCAAAACAAACATGGATTGTATGGGGAATCAGCATATCCCCCAATATTTGATAATGAACCACCGCCCCTAGACGATTATGAAGACGATTTTGGCGATTTCGGAAATTTTGCAACTTTCGAAAATACGGAAAATATAAATGCAGATGAAAAATGGAGCTCTTGGTCAAACTTGTCAGTGCCAATTGAAGACACAAAGAAAACCAACAAGTCCACCGATGACACCAAACATAATGAGACATATCAAAATGGAGTTAACAAGAATGTATCAGATATAGAAAATTTCGCCTCCCAAAAGAAATCTAAAGGCAATGACGAAATTGAGGATAGAAACAATGCAGGTGAAGAAGGCAAGGTCAAGTTAACATCCAATTGTGATGAAAGTAAGTCATTTGAAATACATCAGTTGAAAGCAGAAAATGGAAAGGATTCTAATGATATCTCAATCCAAAAGAGTATATTTGAAGTGCAAAATGAAAGTGATGACAACTACCAAGGTAATGAGAAGGTTTCTAAAGGAATTTCCAATGACACAGTAACTACTGTTCATAAAAATGTTATTCAAACATCTGGTCAGTGTCTTGAAAGTCAAGGTTTTGACCAGTTAGATGAAGATGCTAACTGCCAATCTGGAAATGACCATATTGAGAAAAAAACTTTAGGTGTGAGTAAAAATTATGAACAATGTGACAATCAAAAAGAAACTAGATCATTAAATGTAAGTGACAACTTTGGTGATTTTGCAGAGTTTCAGTCCAATTCAATGTACGAAGAAACTTTTGGAGAAGCCATTGAAGTTAATTCCAAGGCTGAAGGGAATCAAGATGCAACTAATGTTTTAAAGGTATTTGAGAAATCTGTGTTTATGGAAAATGAAGAAGAAAGCAAAGATGAAATTTCAGAAAGGACTATAAAGAGTAACACCAGCAATTTCAGTGAAAGAAATAATGACAATAGTATATTTGATTTCAAAAATGCAGATGTAGATTTACATGTAGAGAAAAACAAGTTAACAAGTGCGAATGCACCAGAGAACTCTGCCACTCAAACTTCATCATCACAAGGCAACATAGCGTCCAGTTTGGATGGAAAGAACAAAGTAGACACACTGGATTTTGATACTGATGAGTTTGATCAATTTCAGAAAAGCTCTGAGAAGCAAGAACATTTTGATGTTGATAGGCAATTAAAAGATATGCATTCTGACTTTGAGGATAATTCTGTTTGTGAAGTAGTAGACAGTAGCAAGCATCTAAATACCAATAAAGAGGAACAAGATGTTGTGATGAATTTTCCAAAAAAGGCTCCAACCACCAATGAGATAAGTGAAATCAGTCTTGCCAATAGCCTGTCCAATAAAAGCAATGATGAAGAAATTGAGCAGTTTGATACTGATTTTGATGAGGATTTTGACACTTTTCAAGAATACTCTCATAAACCAGTAGATGGGCAAGATCAATCTTGTGATCATATTAGCAGCATGATAGAGCCAACTGGAAGTAGCCAAAGGGATGAATGGGCATCATTTCAAACCCAAACAGCATCAAAGAAAAATAATGTAAAGAAGGAGATTGTCAATTTAGAATTTAATGAATCTGTAGATAAAGATACTGATAATCAAGATAGCAAATATGCAGAACTTGTTTCGGAAGAAATGAAGAAAAATAAGGATGAAGAGTTTCATGATTTTCAAGATTTTGAGGCTAATAGAGAAAATGGTGGCTTCAGTAAGGAAGGATCTTTAGAAATTGGTTTTAAAGAAAACTCTTTTGCAGAAGACTCAAGTGAAGGTCTAAATACAAACATGTTAGAGAATGAGCCTAAATCAAATATGTTTCAAACAACATCATCTGGGTACAACAAAGATGATTTTGATGATTTTCAAAGCAATAATGCACATTCTTCAGTTTCTTCTAAGAAGAAAGAAGATGAGTTTAAACTATCATCTGGTTGTGATGAAGAAGGCTTTGATGATTTTCAAAATTTTAGTGCTCAAACTGCTATCAGTTTGAAGGAAGAAGAGAAAGTATTTCAGTCATCATCTGGTGCAAATGAGGAAGATTTTAGTGATTTTCAAAATTTAGATGCACATACCGCTATCAGTTCTATCGAAGATAAAAATGAGTTTAAACCATTCTCTGGTACAAATGAGGAAGACATTGATGATATTCAAAATTTCAATGCTCAAACTGCTATTAGTTCTAAGGAGGAAGAAAATGATTTTCAGCAATCATCTGGTGCAAAAGATTTTGATGATTTTCAAAATTTCAATGCACAATCTTCTATCAGTTTTAAGGAAGAAAACAATGAATTTAAACCATCTTCAGGTACAAATGAGGAAGATTTTGATGATTTTCAAAATTTCAATGCACAATCTTCTATCAGTTTTAAGGGAGAAAACAATGAATTTAAACCATCTTCAGGTACAAATGAGGAAGATTTCGATGATTTTCAGAAAATCAGTACACAAACTGCTATCAGTTCTAAGGCAGAAGATAATAATTTTCAACCATCCTCTAAATGTAATCAGGAAGATTTTGATGATTTTCAAGATTTCAATGTACATACCCCAGTCTTCTCCAAGACAAAAGATGTTAACCATGAAAATCAAGCTGATGGCTGGGCAGCTTTTAGTTCATCAACGGACCAAAATAAATCTGTAAATATCCAAGGAAAATTGGATTCCTTTTCATCATGGCCGGCTGAGCAAAATCAAACTGATGTCAGCTTAAAAGATGACTGGGCTGCATTTGGCTCATCAAGTGACAGTTCTCTCGAGACAAAAAAAGCCCCTGAGGAATCTTACAGCTTTGGATCATTTGAAAAACCAGAAAATATTTCAAAGGCAAGGAGAGAAGACAAAGCTTTCAATCAGGTACATGTTCTAGTCGTTTTTCTTAAATGCCTGTTTGTTTCTTTCTTACAATTTGTTTATATTAAAAAGTATCAAGTATGTTTAGTATTGAATTTATTTTCTTCTTGTTGATCAAGAACAACTTCAAGAAAGTCAACTATCTTCTATTGTAAATCCCTTTTACTGATTTTCCAGCATGATCCATTATTGCTCAACAAATAGTTTGTTTTTCTTGTTCGAAGTGCCTTGTGATGCAGAGAAATTAAAATTTTAATAAGAAAGTTATGATATTTTTTTGTGAATTCTTCGTTACATACTTGTTTGGTATTGTTTTAGACAAAAACGGCCAACTCATCTGTCTTGCTGTCACCTTGTTTCCCAAGGCCAGGTGAAACTTTATTGTCACAAACTGAGCACTCAAATTTAGAAACATCTCTGATAGATATAGAAAATCAGAGGTAAGATTTTGAACATTTTCTTTTCACAGTTTGAGAGCATGATGCATTACATACAATTATTAAGTGACTATTGAGTGGATAGATATTAAGCAGATTAAAGTTTCTATAAAGTTTTTAAAGATATTTTAGTCTGCTGGTGCTTCTTTATCCTCTTTATTTATATTTATTTGTCAAAGCAACCAATTAGTCTTTTTAAAATGGTTTTTAACAGATCTGGTGGTGTTTGGGGAGCGCTTACCTTGGGTAAGGAAGAAGAGGTAAACTGGAATGTCAGCTTCAATTCATCAACAAACTTCAAATCAATGCTTGTCTCTATGAATCTGACATTTGAGGGTATTAAGGTATGTTTTAGTTTATTTCTATGCTATCAGGGAATTATGACTACAGAAGGAGAATTTAAACTGGTAAGCCGGCTGTGCCTTGATATGCATATCATGATTATTTGGTAGAGGTTCTTCGGATAGAAATAATACAGAAAGCCTTGCTTAATAAAATTAAAGTTTTGTAATTATGTACTTTATATAATTTACTTAAATTATATGATATTTTAATATGATATGATACAATTTTATGTAACTGTTTATTTGAATGCAATCAGATTCTGACAATTTGATACATTAATGATTATGATGTGAACAAAACTCAAGCTTTTCCCCAGTTTGAAAATCTAACCCCAGTTTGCTTTACTTTTAATTTTGAATTATAGAAACTTTGACTACATATTTTAATATATTTCTGATTTACAGTTGACTACTTTGCCAGGCAACCAATGAGCTGTTATGTGTTATTCCGATATTTTGAATCAATCTCTAAGTAGCATTACAAATCTCCATATTAGCCCATTGAAATATGTATGCTAGTATTCTATGTATTCTTATTTCGTGCTTTTCATCAATATCTAATGAATATGCTTTGCAGTTTTCTCTCCCTTTTTTAATTTCAGAAAAAATTGAAAAAATCAAGTTTTTCATCATTGTCACCCACATCATCAATAGCAAGCTTTGTGAGTTTTATTGTTTGTGTTGATTTTAGAATTTAGAGAGTGGTACTTCTGTGAAGGATTGACATTTAGCATTTTAAGTTAGTCTAAGACTTTTTCAATTATGTTTTTTATGGTTATTGGTTATTGATTGCGTGTATGCAGTTTGAGGTGATATTTGAGGCTATTAACTATCATAGCATGCAGCAGGTTTGAAAGTTGGTAGTATAATAAACTTGAAGAATTTTGTTGAAACTTAAGTTTCTGCATCAAATTTTGAATAATATGTCATTGTTACTGGTTGTCAATTAGTGTATATCATATGTATATTTAGGTTTTAGCCCTATCTTATTTCTTGGCAATGTCTTGACATTTGATTGTAGATGCATAGATAAGTTTTCTACCCAAGAGAATAATCAATCAATTTTCTATCCAATGTCTTACGTCAATAAATTCATACAATATTGAGAAAATATTTTATACCTTACCACTACCAAATTAGATGAAGGTTTTTTTATATATTTCAAAATATTAAAATTTTCAGGATGCTGAGAATTCCAGTGACCAGTTTCAGATCCTTATGCCGGAGCCAGCTGTCAAAATGACATCACTTCTTAAACCAACACTCTTAGCACAGAGCCAGCAAAAAGAGGTAAGGTTTTTAAATAAAAACTTACAAACAATTTAAATGTAGACCTGATAGCATTAGAGACATTTGACATGCAGAAGTGCAACAAATCCAAGAATAACTTTTAGGCGAAATTTATCAGAGCATTTGGCATGAATGGAATTGGAAACTGCTCACATGAAACCACTGTGAGTTGCTCTAGGATTTCGTAGATTTGCAGAAAGTCAGAAACTGTCAAATGTTTTTCTCTGTGCACAATTTTATTGGTCAACCGCTGGTGGTCAAGTGGCTGTCAGATTTACCTGTGTCAGGTGCCTTTTATAATCTACCTTTTTTATAACTACAATGTGCTTTTTGTGTTGAATACTTAATTTTATATATTAATTCCTTTCAATGACAGACATCTACGTGATTCCTGATAAGTGGAAGAAAATTGAATGTCCTACTGCCTTGTGGCCCGGGTACATTTGCAGATGTAGTCCCGATAGTGGTTTTTATGCCTGAGCCTGTCATAAGCTTTAGAGTAGTTTAAGTATCTTTTAGGTGTATCTTTAAGTGTCTTGTTTTAGTGTTCAGGGGCGGCAATCATAAACACAACAATCTGAAGTACTGGAACAAAACAAATTAAATTTTAGTGTGAATGGTTGAGAACTTCTTAGTTTCAGGCGAAATGTTTAAAGACACAGGCCTAATTAAGTCCACTCCTTGTATCATTTTAAATGACCTTAAATTTTCAAAAATTTTCCTAAAGCCAAGCCCAAGATAACTTGCTAATCTGAACATTTCTAGGCATCTCAGTACAAAAATTGATATGTTTATCATTATAGCCAATTTTTTGTATTTCTTTTCAGCTAAAACTCCAAAGAGTACCTTCTATCTCAAGTCTCAAGAAAGGTAGATATAAGCTGTTTCTCACTTCTTAGATTTATGACCTTGTTGTTCACATTGAACCCTCAATTTGAAGAGCTAAGATTTTTGCTGTTTTGTGGCCCAGGATATGTCTTTTCAATCAAAAGAGGTAGTATCATTATGATTCATGTGGCTACATTGGGCTTGGATATATCTTCAAAGGCAAAATGCTCTATAATATTTTTGTGTAAAGACCTCAAGCACGCTTTAAGACTTAAGAGCAGAGATCTTATTTTTCCTCAGTTAAATAGAACTTTGAAAAGGTTCCGCTTTGTTAACAACAGAACTATGATCTTGGTCACCAGAGCTTATGTATTTGGATCTGAGGATTAACGCAGTTGTTCAAGTTAAAAATAGCTACATGTTAACATCAGTGCTTTGTTTCGCTTGAATAATGCAATCACGAATGGCTCTGCAGCTACATGAGCGGTCGTTGATTGGTTAAAGCCAGGAACAAGCCTAGAGATAGGATAATCTCGCATCTCTATGGGAATAAGTCACTATTCTCGCGTGTTATTCTCGATCCGCATCAGGAAATGAAGGTCCGCCCATTATCTTCTGACGTTTACAATTCTCAGGATGCATAGTGTTGGATTCAAAGTACTTTTTACCATGTGCTATGTATCCCCTTTTATCGTTGACTGTCCTTGTTCACATAGACATCGATGACAAGGACCGTTCATCATCGGCAAATTATTAGTATATCGGTGTTCAGTATTAGCAACCTTGCCGGCCAAAATGAAAACAGTCCGCTCTTGGACATATTTTTTAAGGTTCCTCGCGTGAATGGCTCTAGAAAAAAATTTCAGAAAAGATAGGCGCCATACAGAATATCGTCTAACTGAATTAGAAAAGAAGGAAGTGCCAAAGCAATTTTTCTTTGAATTTTTTGGTATTATATATATATAAATTGTACATTTTACGAGCATATCCGCAATGACTCTTTGTTAGGTAATTGATAACTATTGTGTCCTCCAAACGTTGCTAATTTTTGGTAAAAAAATTTCAAAGTCAACTTGAAAAATGTCACGGTTTGGTGCAATCGCAAAGATCACCACACATACACATCTTTTTCCCACACACTCATACCTATGGAGTAAGCCGTCTTTTATTATAAACTCTCTGTTTTGTTTTTAAACATTTAATTTCCCTAGGTTGATTTTATCTTTAAGGAGATTGTTGCATCGCCTGCATTCTTCAGGTTTAGGCAGCGGATTGTTCATCTTGCGTCTGGTTTTCGGAAGTTGATAAGCTTCATAGTAACTGCCATTGTAAACTCATGAATGCCAATCGTGAATAGTGTGAAGATTATAGGGCCTAATAGTCTTCGCAGGAGGCCTCTCCCATAATTGGTGTGAATGAAGATATTTTTACCGTTTTGAATAAATTTGATGTTTCAAATCTCCAAAGATGCTTGATTGATGCAGAATACTCTAGTTGTAAAGAGGTTTTGACGTTAGCCAATAAGCTGTTGAACTTGGCTTTTAGTTCATGATGACTTTGACAATTTTTTAGGTGACAGTGGCTCTGAAACAACTTCAGAAACCGCATCCTTAGACCTGGATTTCTTCTCGAGTGGCGTTGCTGCAGGTTCCGCATCACTGCCAAATAAAGGTAAAATCGTGTTTTGGCCCCCAGTGCCTGATTTCCAACCGTTTATTACAGAATTCGAAGGTCTCTTTAAAATTGGATGTTCGTTTAATCAATCTCGATTTTTGAAGATATGCATACAGAGCTGTTACAAGTTTGAGCACTTCTTTGAAAGAAAAAAACTTAACTATGCAGAATTAATTCACATTTCTCACAATCTTTGGAACCGGTAGATATAGGAATCCTACTCCTATGACATGGGGTATCGGAATCCTACTTTCTCAAGTGTAACTGCTGTCGAGTATGGAATCTGTGTTATTCAGTTTTCCATAATTTCAAAGCTAACTCAGTATATTGATAGCGTGTTATCAATAGCTGATTCAACATCGCTGGCTACTGAATCATGTGAATCTTTTGGGACAAGCTCTATGTGCATATCTAATGTGCATGTTATGTAAAGAATTCTTTTGTATAACGTATAATATTCTCAAACATTGTCGTTTTTAAGTAAAGTTATAATCTAGTTATGTTAGAATTATTGTTAAACAAGCCCTGTTTAAGTAAGCCCTTTTTAAGTAAGTCCTTTTTAAGTAAGTCCTTTTTCCCATTTTCCCTTGCTACCTCACTCATTTTGTAAGCTCGCTGGTTCCGCGTTCCAGGTTCCACACATCAGTGACGAATAAAGCATTTCCCTGCTGTATCAAATCTTTAGTCTCTAAGATGCCTGATTTCCAGTTCCCAATAAAGTCTCTTTGCTATAGCCAGTGCACCCTTTCCTTTCTGTAACTTTTTTACAGCTGTTGCTACATTTTCAATATTAATTGCAGATTCGTCAACATCTCTGAATAAGAATGATTTGTTTGGTGTCAATTGGGGCGGCGAAGAGGAAACACTAGCCTCGACTGAATCATCAACCGCAGACTTTTCGTCGTCAACATACGCGGCACAGCAACAGAACCTAGCAACCAGAAGTGATTCAAACCCCTCTTCGCTACCTTTCAATTTAGAAGCTTTAAATGAGATGCGCAGTGAAGATGAAATTAGTTCTGAAGCCAAAAAATTTCTAGATTCATTGGAAAGCCTGAAATTTATGACTTCCACAGTCCTCATGTTTCCGAGTCAATTTTCAGGCGGCGATTAGCCAGCTGAATATGAATATTTTTAAAATGATATTGAAATTTATTACACTATAATTTTCCAGGGTAGTGTTGTAGTATTGTAAAGATTTAGAAGTCGACGAGCATCTTGCCGTCTCTTGTCGTATTATTTTGAGTTATTTCAATCAATCTTTGAATCTCTTTGGTAAATTGTGTAGTGCTGTAGCTTTTCTTCTGCTTGAGTTTTTTGGTAGGTTTTGTAAAACTTTACATTTATTGTTGGCGGACACGGTACGGTGATGGACACGTTGAAAAAATGTAATTGTTCTCCAACTTATGAGGCCCTATAAGGGGTATTTTAGATGTGAAAAAATTGAGATTTTCTGGGGAAATATTAATATTTAGGTTTTTTAGTTTTGAAAATGAAACAACTTTGGTTCCCAGTGTTAAATAACAAAATAACCGAATACCCCTTTTCAATGTTGTGTGCGAATTATCCATTTGATGAAAACATTGACTCAAGCGACTATTATCCATATTACACTTGGATTGTTCTTTTGAATTTTTCAATCTTTTTAGAGGCGTTTATAAGAAGGGGCTTCTTTTTTTACTTCACGTTTACCATGCTTCAGGAAAGTACCAATAGCACGAATCTACCGCAAATACCAGAAATATAGGCTCTCGGGTTGAAATGGAGAAGCGGGTCGGCTCTCACGGGTAAAATAGAGAAATGTGACGCATATTTAAACTATTAGTCAACACAAAGGTAACAATTATTCGGTAATTAGTGTTGACAATAGGATCAAACAGCGTTCAATCCGATTTCTCTATTTTACCTCTGACCGGAAATATTTCTCTATTTACGCTCTTCTCTATTTTACCCGGTTCGCGACCAATATGGGTGAATAATTTTGGCTTGTACTATTTCAACGAAATAGAAGAGACAGAACATCAAATGACATCATAAAAATGTTGTTATCTGCCTTGATTGTTCCACATTACCGCAAAAATTTAACAGTGGCAAAAAATAATGAGAGCTGCGGAGACCGACCCAGCGTACTTCCACAAATACATGCTAGGAATTCTTTCCAGGAACACTAAACAACAGTTTTGTAAACCATTGAATTTGCAGGATTGATTAGCTGATAATATCTGTTCTGTTTTGTTAACGTGAGAGAAAATCTCTAAAAAATATTGTTGATTCTTCAAATTTTTCTATGAGGCTGGACATGTTACCCCCTTAGTCTTCTAGCAGCTCAAAAAGCCCGGTCTAGATAGGGTTAAAAAAAGAAAACGCATTGTCGACACTTCGAAACTGTGGAATGTGAAACGAACTTTTTCTATAAGAACAACTTAATTTAATTTGAAGATCAGGGTGGCTTTTACCAACAGTGAAACCATTAAAACCACTGAAACTTTGAGGCTGGATTGTTCGTAATTTGTGTTTAAACCCTAAGGATATTGGCAATGCAATTGCTAAATATTCAGGCCTCAGGCCCCATTTGAAAAAAAGTTTGAAAACCCAGCTTCCATGCTCCCCTTGATAGGAAAAACTTCTTGTTTGAAAGGAAATATTTTAGGAGGTTTCACAACTTTGTTCAAAGTACATTTAAAAGTACTTCAGTCCAGCTTGTTCTTAATTTGTTCTTAGCTCTTGACAAACCTGATATAAGTAAAATTAACCAGTTTAGAGGCTTGTGTTGTGTTCTTAAAAAATTGTTCTTAGGAGAAGCGAATTTATCAAAAACTGTCATCCAACTTCATGACTAGGAATCTTAGAGGCATTAAATAACCAGGACCACCGAGAGTGGGTCAAAGGGACATATTTCCCCAGGGCTTCAAGGCTCCTTGGAGCCTTATAAAGTAGAGAATATGCCAAAGAATAGTAAATGGCTCCAAGAAATGCCTTTTTGTGTACGGAGAATTGAGTACACTATGAATTCGCTCAACGAGGAAGTATTTGGAAATGTTTTGTAAATTTTTTGTAAAAAATTTGCCGTTCCTCATTAAGTAGGGGGCAAGTTAAGAGGAAATGTACTTCATCCTCAACTTTGAAAATATCCAAAGTCTTACACAGGTGCGTCGCGACCGGGGGGTGTGGGGGTGTCACACCCCCCCCCCAATAGTATCGCAATAGGAAATTTCAGGCAAAATCCGCCCAGTGGAAGAAACGATTTAGGTATTTCAGCGACCTTCATGTAGTAACATCAAAAATGGATCAAGCAAAGATAGTTGCTCCTTTGGCTAAATATGATATTTCTTGATATGAAGGAAGATAAAAAAACTAATGACTTGAAGATTTGAAGATTTCTTGATGGCACAAATCTAAAAATCCAGGCACTCTTTAGGTAAAATTGTGTCTTGTGTCCATTTCCCCTAAAAAGGCATGCTAAGATGGAAAGAGGGATCTAAATTGGCAACCAGTACTGCTTGTAACCTAGCTTTAGAAGTAACTGACAACATGGAATTTTTCAAGACCACAGCGAAATTGTACCAGTTGTTTTTATCTGCCGTTCATTTTGTTTGCAGAAATAAAAGAATTTTCGGTAAGATTAGGAGAATTGCTTCAGTAAAATTTACTTAAAAGAGTGCATTTTCTAGGGAACTGGAAGCATCAAAATTCGAAAATTTTCTGCCCCTTCGGCGGCAACCTACCCTGGGTACCAGACTCACTATATATGAAATAAAATAGAGAGTCTGGTCTAGTGCGCCCCGTTCTCGTTCTGGTGTGCTGATATTAACCAATCAGGAGCGAGTGTACAGATTTCTGTACGTTCAAAGGTCACAGCGAAACAATAAACTTAGCTCTGGTATAAAACATTGAACAGAACAGAACACAGAACAGCATTGAAAGCCTTGTTTGCAGAGGGAAGAGACACCTTCGCCATATTGCCAACTGGCTTTGGAAAGTCTCTGATATTCCAGGCTGTGCCTCTCGTTGCAAAGAAATTAGGCCTTGTAGTGAAATGCAGTAGAAAAGAAACACTGCAAGGCGCCGAGAACAAACAACAACAAACACAGTAAATCAGTTATAGCTAATATTTCGCCCGGCATACGGGGCTTCGCTTGTCATATTGCCCATATTTGCTGTGGTGACCTTCCAACGTGATGATTCTAACCGCCGCGGTGTCCAAGCGCGCTGCCTTCACAGTTAGGAAGTAGACGTTGAAAGTACACACAATTTATGAGGAAAATTACAAGAGACTTATTTTAAGTTGTATACGAAATTTGATAATGATCAACATTTAATAACTGCATTGTGCTAACTTTAATTTCATGCTTCGCACATGTTTTTTGCTGCCAAATGGCGCTTTAAACCTGATTTGATTGTTATCTTGAGGCAGAAAAGTCTATTACCACTGTATTAAAAATGTCGACGTTAAAGAAAAAAATAAAACACATTTGCTTTAAGATTTCCCAAAACTCCTCTGACTACTGAGTTTCATTGTTATTTATCTGACAGTCTTATTTCACAGGCCTAGTCTGTTAAATAGACTTCAGTTCTTTCAAGTAAGTTCACCAGAACGAGAATGGGGCGCACTAGACCAGACTCTCTATTATTTTATATAGTGAGTCTGGTACCCAGGGTAGCGGCAACCATGGTGCCGCCTCGGATGGTTGCTCGTCCCGGTATACAGATTTGGCAAAACTATTAGGAAAGTCCGTTATTATCATTTTAAAATGAATGTTGTGAATTATATGCCACACAGTTAAATTGAAAAAATGTATTGCAGAGGTTTCTGACAGCAACTTAAGAATTTCAGGTAATTATTTCTTAATCAGGTAAATTTGTAGTCAACACCCCCCCCCCCCCAACAAGGCTTGCCTCGCGACGCCCCTGGTCTTACAATACGGATAAAATATTTCATATCTTGGAGTTTTGTTTTTACTAAATCGCCCTGTTTCAATTTGAAGATTGTGAGCGCTGATCCTTAGTTTTGCTAATATGCATCTTTTATGTAATCAAGATAAGACTCAAATTTGTAAATTGTTTTAAATGAGGCGTATAAATTCAGTTGTTTGTTCTCAGTTATGTGTTCATTTAATCTTCCCAGTACCTCTGACTCGAAATAGCTTATAACCTTAGTTTTAGTAACTGAACGATTATACGATTCCTGTATTCCATAGCGTACCCTTAGGTCGCAGGCATGAGATACCCAGTTAGAGTGGCCATAGTCTGCATCCTTTATAAGCATTGCAAAAGCTTTGCTAGCGTAACGTTGTGAATCTAGAGATGATAATCGAGCGAAGAAACTTAGAATACGTATATGTCTATGGGTTTGAAGACTAATTGTTCCCAGTTCAGCGTAAATGGCATCGGTAGTGGTACTAGGTCGAGCCCCCAAAGCATATTTACAGGCTTTTAGATGAAGAATTTCTAGCTTAGACCATTCTTCAAAACCCCATATTTCTGATGCATAATTTAGAATAGGAACAATCGTATGGTCGAAACGATAGAGAAAAAGACGTGGCTGGAAACCGCCCCATTCTTTGCTTTTAGCAATTATAAGGGAAAAATAGGCCTTATGAGCTTTCTCTTTAATTCTAACGATGCGTCAAAACTTGCTTAGCCAGTAAATCCAGATGTACCAGTGATATCAAAACATTTCAAATTTGAATACTTTTACGCACTAGAGTTATCGCATCGCGCGGTGACCTACAGTAGGTCTCCGATTTCATGCTCAATTGGACGGTTCATTGTGCTGGACTCCTTTATTCATGAATCCATTTTCTCGATGTCTTCTGTTCTCAAGCCCGCAAAGTAATCTCGGTGTTCACAACCACGGTGTTTGAAGTTTCTTCAAATGAGATGGTATTTCCATGTAAGTTCATTTCATTTTCATGTGCTTATTCTATTCATATTCCTATGCCTATTATTGATTTTATATGCTTCTTTAATAGGAGGCAATCCTTACAGAGATCTTAGCCGGTTTACAAACACCCGATTCGCGAAATCAAAAATAAACAATCAGTAGTGACGGAGGCCCAGTGAGAAGTAAATCTTGTATATACAGTGAGCAAGGATAACCTGGCTAACAAAAATAATAACAAAGAAGACTATGACCCTGCAAATTTCAATCCTGAACTACACGTTGCCTTTTCTTTGATCAAATGCAAATTGATCAAATTTATTTGAGTTTCTATCTACACATATTGAATGTAGAGACGAATGTGTTTGAAAACCCTCCCGTTTCGCATAGATTCTTGCAGACATTGAAACGATGAAAGAGAAGTCGCAACAGTAGAGTTTATAATGTAAACTATTTTCGAATAAAATTTTGTGAAACTCAATAGCACAAAGGATGAAAAATGTTTTACGGCTTTTATCAGTTTTTTCCGTCTACACTGTTAACTCACACTGGACGCGTCGCGGCGCTTCATCGAGCGTCGCGTCATGTACTTTTTCATGCTATTCACACACGATGCGTCATCGAGCGGCGTGTTTTCTGTTTTCCAATGCTGTTCACAGCAAACTTGCAAATTTTTTGACAAGTTGTACTGTATTCCTTGCATTGCAAAATCTAGCCGGACATTTAGGTTTGCTACAGAAACGGATGAAACGGTAATCTGAAGCTAATATATCAAAAACAGCATCTTGGCCAAAAAATGAGGTATTCTATGTACTTCAATTAGTCTCGTGCGGTTTCTTCGACATTTCGGTTCGAGAGGTTGGTCAATGTTTTGACAGGAAGACGATTCTCTTCAAGCATTCATTGGAGAACTGAAATTTTTATTGATATAAAAGATTTGGAAGGTCTACTACAATTAGCAAAATGTTTGGCTTTACGGATACATGGGGTTTCCCTTCCTGCCAAAATTCGAGGGAAAATTAAACAGCTTATTTTTATCAACACTCCCCAAAATTTCCATGAATTAAATCCCTCGGAAGTAAACTTTTGGAAGGTATTGAAAGCTTAACGGGGAGTGATTGAAATATTTTTTTAACAAAACGGAACATACAACGAAAAAAACTCGGACACTACAATTTCGAAAAAATTCTGGACCCTAGTCATATAAATCTCAACGTATGGTTTCCTTTTCAACCATCTTTTGTCCACTACGGCTTGCCATAGGTTTTCTATTGTTCTGAAGCGTCACCGAGCGTCAAAGTTAAATTTATTGGTAGAAGGAAGAACCGCAGGATAGGCTTCCCGCCGGATTCTGTGAATATTCCAGTAAGTGTTGTTATGAAAGATGTACAGGAACAAAGCAATACGACGACGAGAATCTAATGTCACGAGATAAAATTTCCAAATAATTTAAATCTAAAGGATATACTAATATTTCGCCCCGGCATACAGGGCTTCAACAGAGTGAATGAAACGAACGAGTGAATGGATTTGAAATATGAGATGGTGATGCCGGATTGGTGGATGTTGAATGGTGCGAATGCAGCGCAGTCGAGACGCGTGGCTGAAAAAACGCGCTGCTTGCGTATAGCTGCCGAAAATGCTAACCATATTTGGTCAGCGTCATGACGCGCCGCGCCGTGACGGGTCCAGTGTGAGTTCAGCTCTAAGCGGGTCGATCTTCTGGCGGGGAAGAAAACTATAAGAGCTTGACAGGGCTTGTACCATTTTCTGAAACTCGAGAAAAACAATGGGTGAAAGTGCATATTTTGGACGGGCGGGCCACACTGGTTTTTGATTGTTACGCAGAGGCTATCCTGGGTAATCCACATCATTTCACATGATCAGAAAAAATCTTATACTCCATCATTATCAAATGAGAAAAATTTATAAAATATATATTCAATGACATAATCTTTTATGGGAAATGAAAAGTATTTGTGAACAGTTTTTTCTTATAATATCCGATGAACGGAATCTACAATGCTGTTAGTTCTTGCATTGTTGATTGGTGACTCGTACAGCTATTTCGTTTTAAAGAAGATTATTTGACCAAGCATTTTCACGATAAAGGTCAATTGTTCTCTTCCTTTTTTGTGTTGGTAAACTCCTTAGCAACAGTACTATTATACAACTCTTCTGCACTCAACCTCCTAGATCAAATTTCATAATTTTGGTAAGCTCCGACCAGCTATCATAATATTTTGACAAGCGCTCCGACCAGCGCTCCGACCAGGCACCTTTCCATCTCCCCCGACATCCTCCAAATTACTGCAGATAGTTGAAACAGAAACACAGAATAGAGATTACACTGTAGACAAACACCTAGTTTGTTGGGGGTAAATTGCTTAGCTTTCGAATCGAAGGCAATCCATCTTTCATTTTACGTTTAGATTTTGGTACTACTGGTTCCAGGTCAGGGTTTCATCAACACATATCCCTAGCTACTTAATACCATTGACCCTGTTTAGTGCCCCCCCCCCCCAGCTATAAACCTGTAACTCCACAGGCCCGCAGGCTCTCCAAGTCATCGAAAACTTGGTGCCGGGGCCGTCGCTCGCTCAGATCCAATTTGCTTATAATACAGTGTGGCTGAGCCATCCTTTATGTGCCTCTATTTGTGAAATCTGAAATTTTGCCGATGAAGCATCCCAAGATGGCAAAAATCCCCTTGATCTTGCAATGAAACTTTTCCGAAGTGGTGTCATACAAGTGTTTATTTTGCTTTTTACAGTAATTAAAAATAAATGCACTCGTTAACTTTTACTTTTAAAAATATAAAAAATTATCAGACTTGGGTGTTTCAGTTCTAATAGAAACAGTTTTACCAGAATAGGTGATACCTTGATTCATATATGTCTGCCGTGTCACACAACACTCTTAAGATAGCATAACAACATAACATAACATAAGGTAACATAACATAACATAACATAACATAACATAACATAAAATAACATAACATAACATAACATAACATAACATAACATAACATAACATAACATAACATAACATAAGGTAGCATAAAATAACATAAGGTAACATAACATAACATAAGGTAACATAACATAACATAAAATAACATAACATAACATAACATAACATAACATAACATAACATAACATAACATAACATAACATAACATAACATAACATAACATAACATAACATAACATAACATAACATAACATAACATAACATAACAAACATAACATAACATAACATAACATAACATAACATAACATAACATAACATAACATAACATAACATAACATAACATAACATAACATAACATAACATAACATAACATACATAACATACATAACATAACATAACATTACATAACATAACATAACATAACATAACATAACATAACATAACATAACATAACATAACATAACATCACATAACATAACATAACATAACATAACATAACATAACATAACATAACATAACATAACATAACATAACATAACATAACATAACATAACATAACATAACAAACATAGGTGGAGAATTGACCATGCTAACTGATCCTGAAAAAATATAATTCTGCTGTGATAAGAAACTAAACAGAACTTTGGGCAATAAAATTCTGTTCATAAATAGCAAAGCACATGATTCAAATACGTCTACATCAAAAGAAACAAAATATCAAAGCAACTGAAGCATAAAAGGAAACGTTTTGATAATGTTTGTTCCATAATAGCTTACCTCCCAAGAAAAAAGTTTGTTCTCGGTTCAAAATAGAACTTTTAACCAGGTAGATCTAGTTGCGATACTTTAGCTACAGAGATAGGGGCAAGCTTTTCAGGACATCCTTTTCCCTTCTCAGTTTTTTCCCTGTCTATAAAAAATCGCGAAATAGGAGTGAAATGAGGCTGTTAACCCTGCGGCATTCTGCGGCACCTCAAGCTGCCAAATAACCCTACGCTGAGCCCTCGCCACAAATTTTTCATATACAAACAATTCTCATACATCTCATCGATGCTGCATGGAGAACAATAAAAATTATGTAGGGTCTCAAAATCGATTGTTTGAAACTGCGCGGGCATCTAAAATTAATATGCGAAATGCCGCAATATGATTTAGGTCAAATCACCTGAGGCAGGGAAGAGGATCACATAATCGCAGGCATATAATCAGTTATTCGCTCAATATAAGGCAAAACGAAATATGAGGCAAAACAAAGATGCAAAGTAAGGTCCCATGCAGGATATGGAATAAGAAAAAACACTTTCACGAATGACTGCACGCACTCAATCAATGGAGGTATTTGGGGGTAGAGCGTGAGCCATTTCAAAGAATTCCAAGGGCAAGTTTAGACTGTGGTTTAGAGAACTTCATATGTTTCAGTCTTTGTCAACAGCAGCTGACTGCCTTGCGTAAGGCAGTTGCGGCACCCTAGATCCGCCCCTGGCTGATATGAGTCAGACCAATGCAAGGGTACAAAATAGCTTTTGAAGGTGATTTAACCAATAAACTTACATAGAAAGTATCATTTTGCAATATTTGCCAATTATCGACATAGGTAGAATCACCACATTCTTGTGCATCAAATGATGTACAGTTTAATCAGATTCGTCGTTTTAAAGTTTAAAGGAACCGTCGTTTGTTATGGTACCCGTTTTGGAAACCTTGGAATGCTTACAAGATAAAAAAGCAGGCAATGATAAGTCCAGCAACCTGCCAATAAATCGTGATTTGAAAAATTTTATTTTTTAATTCAAAAAGTCCCTTCTATTTGCAGCACAATTATCGAAGAGAGAAGTAAATGTCCTTTTTCTTCTCTAAGATATCGCAAATCTTCTTGCTGACACTTTTTTAAGCACTGCTTTTGTTTTCTTTTAGGGTACGCAATCGTTATTGCTGGCCTTGCGGGGACCCTAGTTATAGCTATTGTGTTCATTATAGTTTTGCGTCTCATTCTTTCATTTGTTCGGAAAAGGGCGCAACACGAAAATGCGTATTCCAAATTGGATACTGCAGAGGAGGTTTGCGGAGACCCCGATGATTCAATGCAAGACAAAGACGATAACATGCCTGTAAGAACACAAATAGATATTTTCCAAGAAAAAATAGGCAAGAAGCAAGATCGCAGTTACTTAGATATTGCAGAAACCCGCTCAATCAGAAGTGAGGTGGCAGTAGTGAAACACGTTTATGCAGAAGTGTCTCAGTCTGACTATGATGCTTCTAGTGATAGGGAATCTCTTTCCGCTTATGGTGACTTGGGCTGGCGCAAGAGCGATGCCGGTTTGAGTAGAGCTGATACCTTGAAAACAGACATTCTTGGAGGTGTTGATTCTTCTCGCGTTCAACTTTCTTTGATACTCAACGAAGAGAAGGGATATTTAGCGGGTAAAATAATAAAGATAGAAGGTATTCCGCTTCCTGCTTCAAACGGACCTCACCAGGTTAAATTGCACGTAGTTTTTCTGCCCTCTAGAAAGTATATTGTTAAGAGTAGATATTACAATGTAACAACAACAACAACAACAGTAAACAAATATTTCAAATTGAAATTCAGAGAGCTTCCAGATCCTGAGAAGTCGGCAGTTAGGTACAGATTATACGGAAGGAGGGTCAAGCTTGGGATTTCTGGACCAGACAAATGCATAGGAGAAGCTTGTGTTGAATTACCAGAGATACTTTCTTCAAGAGGTGGTGTGACTATGTGGAAAACCATTGTCCCAAAGGGAATGTCGAAAGCTATTGAATACGAACGCAGTTAGAATTAACCCGTGAATATCCCAAAGATTTTACCGGAGGGTAGGACGAAAAGATATACTGATATATAATACTGATATAAAAGACATATCAACACTGTCGAACCTTATTATGGCTAACGAATTTCTGAAAATGTTGACTGTAATGTACTTGCCAATGGGTCTAGCAAGTACTGGCTTGTTGAATCCCTCTAGTACTTTCATTTAATTGTTGATGTTTGTTGAGCACTGTTGGGTTGTGGTTAGGATGTTTGAAACCTCTCGATTTATCGCTCTCTCTCTCGCACAAATTAAAAAAGAGAAGAAGAGGACTCCTTCACAATGTCAAGACTCCGTTGTTTAGTTTGCAAAATATGCAGGAAATCAAGTATCTGTCATTATACTTCCCCTCCAATTCAATATCAAATACTTTCCCTTGACAAGAAAGTCCTTGACCAGCTTTGATTTGATTCCCATAAGATCTCCCAATGACGATTTCCTCCAAATAAATATACAAATGGCTAAGGCCACACTGAGGAAGTCAGTTTTACGTTTCTGACAGTAAAGAAAACAAAATATTCCTGCATACTCTAAGGTCCTTAATAGAAGGGGGGTCTTGATAGTTGGGGGTCAGAAATTTTTCAGAAAATAAATAAGCGGGGGGGGGGTGGTCTTAGTAAGTGGGGGGGTCGGAAATGTGAAAAATCTGAAAAATCACGCTATGATTCTTTTTTGGAGTCAAAGAGATTTTCTTCTGAATACAATCGATAGCAAAATGACAATTATCACCATGTAATAATGTATTATTGTATTACTAAAATGAGCAGACTAATTATCATTGTGTACATCAGTCAGGCCTATGAAATTTTTTTTAGGATATCACTACTTTTCTATGTTAAAACTTTTGTACAATGCAACCTCTTCATTTAAGAAAAATTTTACAGAAACTTCACACCTGCAAGATCAAAGGACAAATGAACTTAGGGATATGAATGACTGCATATAAAAATTGATAAACGGGGGGGGGGCATCTAAGCTAAGGGGGGGGTCAGAAAAAATCAAAAAATTTATAAGCGTCCCCCCTTCTATTAAGGACCTTGGAGTACAAATTTAAGAATCGTTATCAGTTTATTATTGTTCTTGTTTGCTATTCCATGCTTGAAATTTACTGATTTTTTTTCAACAAGCAATAAGTTAACAGTAAAGAAAAATTTAACAGTGTTTGCTGTCAAAACTTGGAGAAGGTGGACTGAATGGTAGCTTACTGGCTGAAAAATAAACTTTGAAAATTTTAACTGAAACTGAAAAAAGGCTTCTACCTTCATACCCTATTCTAGACTATGTCAAAAGCTTGGTTTTTTAAGGAGTCGCTCTTTAGTTAAAGGGGTGTATTTTTATGTTGTCTAGCACAATAATATATCATTGTATACTTATAGCTAAGTTATGTCATTGTCAATCGTTGAAAAGAACAAAGAATGCTATAATTTTAAACTTACATATTTCTGTTTGCTGTTACCGTAATAGTTTTATGAAATTTTTGCTTCTAACTTGTAACTGATATTGACATTCCTTTAGAACTGGCCTAATTCATACCCAACCCGAAAGTAGCGCTAAATTTTTCCGGGAAGGTTTAATTTACTTGTTAACTTTTTGGCCATTTGAATTCAGTGGCATCGAATATGACTCAGCATTATATTGCGTTTCTGTCAGCACGCTTTTCGCTCTGTTATATTGTAATCTCTGCAAGCCCAAACTACATACATTAACCTATCAATTTTTGTTTAAAACGGCTTGGATGCCTCCGTAAGCAATTTTTTCCGCAAATTCTAAATCATGTAGGTTCCAGTCATTTTCATAAGCCATTTTCATCTATCCTCACTTACTCAAAAGTTTTGAAAGCAATATTATATTTCATTGACCAGCAGATCTCTTAAAGTATTTCTATTCATCCTTTGACAGCTTTTAAACCTTTTAAATTTCCTGTGAACATTTCGCTAAAAAATTGGGGGCTAGATTGTTGATAGACTTTTAATGCTATTGTCCTACAATACATATTTTTTGTTTATTAACTGAACAGTGGCGGCTCTTGCTAATGGGCATCTGGGGCAATGCCCCTTCAAAAAGATTCAAAGGAAATCTATGATATTCATATTTAATTTTGAAGATAGTCTTACTGTGGTTAATTATATAAGTTTGTATCTCTTCTAGAAAAAGCTCCTTGCCATCCCGTCTCATCCTTAGCCTCGCTTCTGGCCCGCTAGTGCCTTGAGCGATGATGTCATTTTACGGGCAAAGTTTTTTTTGCCCCTAGCCGACATGCGTACAAGCTAATTTTCGACCTCGAGCATTGCGAAACGTGGCCTGTGATTGGCTTATTTGGAGGAATTCGGGGCAAGAAAAATTTTGCCCATAAAATGACATCATCGCTAAACAACAACCACATCTATATATGCTTTTTCTTCTGCGCTCCATGACGATCAACATCGAATCATGAATACAGTGAAAAATTTGCAAACTCGACCTTTCTATCGATTATCGCAATATTGATGGTCTGCCCTCCCAACTGTGAAAGTCACGAGCCGCCACTGCAACTGAAGCTAAATAATTATCTCTAATTTTCAACTGCAAAATGGCAACAAACCCTCAAGTGTCTTGTGCTCATTGTTTGTGAAAATAAGCATTCCCTGTGTATTTGCTACATTTTGAGATAATTTGTTACCACTTAGCCACGAAGCCAAATCCAAGTCCACTATTGATAGCCTAAACCAGGCCTTTTATGATTTTTATTATCCAAGAACTGAATCGCGTCGTAAGCATACATTGATGTAGCCTGCGCGCAGACTCACTATTCTCCAGAATACAGGGTCTGCACGCAGGCAAACATTGATGTGACTGAATTTATGACTGCACAGGGAATATCGCTAATAATGATCAAGAAAAGGAGAATTCAAAGTCACGAGGACAGTGAAGCACCAACCCCTTTTCCCTCCATTTTGAAGTTTATACCGTTAATTCTTCAAAACTCTTTTTCTATTTCAATAAATGTCTAAAGGCTGACTGTCCACTCAGAAGTATAGATATATTCGAGTATTGATATTTGTATACATGAAAATAAAAAAGTTGGGTCGAAATCTACGGTCCTACGACTAATTTTAGTAGACCTTGTTTTGGAAAATGATTTTTGTATTTTTGAAATTTGCTCTACAAAATGAGCCTGGGTAAATTTTAATTTTCAAGTAGCCGATGCTTTAGTTATGAAAAGGGAATAGAAACATAACACACTTAACGAGCAAGTGGAGCAATGGGAAAGGCAAGTAGAACACTAAAAAAGCAATTGGCATAATGAAACAAGCATCTCAGACAAGCATGTGGAAGAATATAGTACAAGGAGTTCCACAGAGATCATTTCTTGCTCCACTATTAATCAACATTTTGCTCAACGATATTTTCTACTTCATGGCTACAAAAACCTCTGCAACGGTAGGTAATAATACAAAATATTCCTTTGCTTTGCTGAACCCCCCCCCCCCCTGTTTGACATAACTGATTTATACCCTTTGATTCTATAATACATACGAAACCCAATATTAATCACTCTTGATCCACAGAATGAAAAATCTTAGATCAGAAAAGTCGTTTCCTTTTAGACACGTATGACTACGATGTGACTAGTTCTTTGAAAAAAACTTGCGTTCTTTTGATTGCTCGAGCCTCCAAGATCATTGTGTTCTTCTTTGATCTATTACATTACCCTCTGGATGTCATTCTATTCTTATTTTGCTAAAATCTCCAATTGCAACCAGAATGAAGGCTTTGTATCATAAGCTTACAAATGCTGGTATTAAGATTTGGTACTAAAATGTGGTACAAAAATCGAAGCTGCTGGAGAAGGTAACGAAAATTGGTGTATGGAAAAAGAACTGGAATATAGTCTGAAACAAACCTACTCCATACACAAAATGTCTCGTAAGTGATGACATGGTGATTAAGTGGCATGTGATTTTCAGGCATTCGACGTTTCTTTGCATAGTGTTAATGGTACTCCAATGTAATCGATGTTATGAACAGGGATAGTAAACGTTTCCTTTGAAATGCCTTTGACAAAAGCAAGCACTTCGAAGCGTATTTTATTGGAAACTCTTGTAATACTGCTATTTGTCTCGTGTTAAGACTTTCATCTATTTCATTCATTCTATTTTCTCATGTTAGTCATAGTTTTTTTTCAGTATTTCCTTGTAAGATTGCCCCACACATGTAACCGCATCTTGGATAATTAGACACACCCTGTATTCATGTTAAGATTCGAACACTGTCATTGACATAACCTTATGTATTTGTATAACCGTTATATGCATTGATGTATTGGCTTACTTCCCGTTATCGTATTAAATTGCGTTACCATAAGAAGTCGCTATGGCAACAACAGGATGTAGATAAACGTATATACAGGCACGGCGCTACTGGGGGGCTGAAGCCCCCCCCCCCCAGTTTTTTCGGAGATAAAAATTTTTTGACCGTCTTTTTTATTATTTTTGGAAACAGAGTATGAAATAAAAAGGAAACAAACTGTTTATATACTGATTGCTTTTATTCGATTTATTTACTAACTTACTTCGATTTATTTCTATTATTTATTTCTATTATTTATCGATTAGGATTCAGTAGATAACATTCTATATCTTTGCAATGTCTCCATTTTGGATGTGTAAACATGGCCTACTGAAAGTACTCGAGACAAAGAAGATGCACATTTCTGTTCAGGAAGTAAAGTTTTCTCTTAATCCATGATGGATTTCATGTCAACTGTACGCAACACCACCCCAACTCCCCCCCCCCTCGAAGGTCATGTCAAAAATGTTTTTATTAGTTTGCACTGGGAACGCCAAAAAAACCTGAGTGTCCGAAGATCTTCGGACTTAAGTACATGGAATGCACCCTGGCAATCAATATAACAGCGTCTTGCTATTTGCATGGATGTGCACTCTGAACAAAGGTCACCATTTCTTTCTTTCATTCCCCAACGCATGAATTCCCCCTTCCTAATTTTTTCTAAAAATCAATAATGTTATTCTGAGAATCGTCGAATGGTCTATTCTGAGCGGTATAGTAATTTGTTAAATTTTAATCTGGCAGATGCGTTCTTAGCAATTCTAGAAGGCCTGATTTCAAAAATTTCCTTTCCCGTTGCACCCAACCATGGTGGGTCCTCCTATGTCACTAAATTTTATTCTTAGGCCCCCCCCCCCCAGGTTCAATTTCGTGCCACCGTCTCTGATATATGTAAGTTGGCAAGTGAGCTTTGGAGAGATACATAGAGGTACGAGCAGACACAGATATAGAGAAATATGTGAAGATGCACTTGTAAGAATTTAGGCTATGACAATTTAAAGATGCTAACTGCTCAGCTCAAGAGGCTTGAGAAAACTCTTGTAGCTCGTCGATATTATATTGTAACTTAGGTTTATTCGGGAATGGCAGTGCTTGTAAAAGACTGCGCTGGGCCTCGTCGTTGTACGTTAAGGACAGACAGAACTTGAGAAAGACTGTGCTGTGCCTCGTCAATAAATTTGGGTTCGCGGACAACCGAGGATGTGTATTATAGATTTAGCTGAAAAGTAAAGTTTAGCTTGAAAAGACTGCACGGATGATAAAAGAAAGAATATGATCAGCTGCTCGCCAAATGTCGTCATTTCTTGTAATTCTCTTCACGGACTTGGGCACAAAATGTGCCCACAATTTTCCATATCACACCCTTGCGCAAATCCAAAGATTGGCTGCCACTTTGATCATCATGCACTTGGACCAAGATGAATGCTCTAATTTTTTATCAGTTGAGATATTAAGCCTGTTAGTCAAAAAGTGAAGTAAACTGATCATGTATGGACGACATCGGTTTTTGAAAAACTGAAAACTGTCAGTCAAAAACTGATAACAACTTTGCTTCATGTTTTAGAAGTTTTCTTTAACAAACTTTGCAATAAAGTTTTTGTGCAACAAAATAACAAATGCTATAATTTAGATGCTGAGCAAATGAAATTTTATCAGAGTTAAAATTTCTTGAGGATGTTGTAGAATTTGATTCCTCTATAGTGTTCTTACTTTGCTTGATTGAATTGTATTATTCGCATTTTGGCAATAAGGTTCATGTTTTCATTCTTGCATCAAGAGTTTATGCGCTGCTTTTCATGCCTTGGGAATAATAGGAGTGCTGTAGTTTGGGCTTTTTGCACAAAAGTTTGTCCCTTGACTCAGATGAGGTTGTTTGTATGATCTATCGTGCCTGTTGGGAATGCTATTTCCATGCATTACTCTCTTCCCATTCCTCCCTCCCCCTTTGGTATAAAGCATACTGCGCTTCTTCGAATCCTTGTTTAACCCGCTTTAAGTGTGCTATGCATCCATCAGGCGCTTCATTGAGTAATTTCTGTCTTTGCTGTCTCTCTTTCTAATACATTTTTTACTGTTTGTAAGAATATTCAGGCTTGGCATCATCCTTTTCTTAAGAACATCATGATAAAATTGTAATTCATATTCTTCCAGTAATTAGGAACTTCAAGATCTTTATTTTTTTTTATTAAAAAGGTATCTAGGCCAAGATGGCCTCTAACCTAATTACAACATAAAAATAGCAATAAAAGTTAATAGAACTACTTCTACAACAACTTGTCAAACGTTAATATCAACTCAATTTTAAATAGTACAATTTTTTTATTACGAAAGCACGAAAAAATTAAATAAACGCAATATCAAAAAGCTATTTTACAGCGAAAAATCTATATAATCAACTAATAATTAGAATGATTATAGAAAAACGTGTAGTGAAAGTGAATATTCGTGTAATGCGGATGTTTGTATACTTTCTGCTATCTTTCTAGATTATCAATTTAACACTGAGAATAATATTCAACTCTCGAGAAACTTTAATCTAAGACCTTTAGCTTTGGATTTACAGATATGAGTCCAAGCCCTTTTCTTCGGACGGATATTATTCCTTCACCATGGGTTTATCTAGCTTTAGTACGAAGAGGGAGCAAAAATTCAACACAGCTAACAGTTAAGAGGGGCAGAGCCCACGATCGACGCAATATCCCTTTATGTTTTTCTATCTAAGACGATTTCAGTTCTTTGTTTTCTTTTAGAACTTTGCACCTTTTCCTTAATCTAAAACCTCATTTATCGGACATGTTTTTTTAATCAAGTTCTGCCTTGCTTAAGTAGCTTTATTAAAAAACTTTGCAGGACCACTTAGATTTTGGATGCCCCTTAGATTCAAGGACTTTTATCACTGCACATTTTTAAAATAACTTATGCTAATTGATGCACAGCAGGAATTTTGTGGAAAAAAATGATCCATAACATTAGGGAGTAACAATAAAACTAAAATTTTCAGAAAAGGTTTTGTTTCTGGTAAAAATCAGCGATGTAAAACTGCCTTTGTTAAACATTTTCTGCACCTATTTTTATTAATGGATACATTTTACAATATTGTACACATCAAATCACATGGGATTTGTATGGTTAATTTTCAGTCATCCATCCTGGAGACTCATTGAAAACAATATTTGAATGACAGTAGTGAAAAACAAGAGTTGTAAGTTAAATAAATTTTTAACAGTAGGAACCACTAAGAGGCGATCTCTCACACAGTGTGATCTCACCTAACCAGGTTGGCTCGTTTGGTATACAGACGCAAGACGAAAAATACAAAAGATTCTATAGGAGGGTGGGATTTTTTCTCTAAGCTCGCAGACTGGAAGATGGGATGATTTTCTCAATATAAACAGACCTTAATAAAGTCTTAATGCCCTACAATATGAATTTGAAAGTAAACAGCGTAAACGCTGCTTTTAAGTAATACGATTTTATTATGAGAACTAGCAAAGATATTTTAATCATTTCAGTGTGGTTTGTCTTTTCTGTTTCGAATTCTGAAATAACAATGTGTGGTTGTTTTCACTGTTAAGTTTAATTGTCACTGCGCATTATAGATTTATCGCAGCGTAGGTTTGTTATCACTGCATATTAAAGTAGGGCCTGGTTCATAATATCAACTTGTTATAGCAGCTAATATCAAATTAATAAACATATAGAGTAGAAATAAGAAACACCGCAAGGCATCGAGAACAAACATCAATAAACACAAGCAAATTGAAATTAACTAAACATATTTGCATCCTAAAAAAGCCACGGAAATCATATTAATGAAGTGTGGAGTGATTGAAAATAAAACAGAAATTGAGAGGGTTAAGCAACATCACAAAATGGGATAGTGGAATGATAAAGTTTCACGAAGCATGTTTCATAACACGCTTTAATGCTGAGATAGTGTGGCGAAACAGAAGAAAAAGAGCGGAACCGCATACGTGCAATGCATAGAAACATTTAATTGGGTGTTAGGTTCGCATGCAATGATAGAAATCAAGCAACCATAATATGTCACGCATTTTTTAAGGTGCATTTTCAATCAATCGCGGCATTCAATAATCCAATATCCTAGGATTTCTTGTTTTCTTGACTAAAAACAGATTTTTGACCGCCATTGATGTTCATTTGCAATTCCCTTTTACTTTTATGTTATTGAAAAGAAGACATGATACGCTTGTATGAATGTGAATCTTTTTCCTTTCATTCTACAAGCGAATAGACATCCAGGATTTTCAATCTAACGATATCCAGAACCTTAAAATAAAAGGTGGTTTTCTAGAAGTTATACCTGCCCCCCCCCCCTAAACTTTAAAAACCCTCCATTTCCAACGAGAAATCTTTTGTTCCTATTGTTTTCAATACAGCGCCGTCAATGATTCTACTTTTTCTAATGTACAGGGATCTTAAACGATTGCAAGAAATGCCTGCAAGAAATTTTCTGAGATTCATTCTGAAGGGTGTGGTCACAAATATTTTTGCACGCAAGTCTTATAAATGCTCATAGATTAGAGGAAAGTTTTCAAAACTGAAATTATTGTTATGAGGAGCAAAAGTAAGCTGTAGTTCATTTTTGCAAACTAACCTATAATTGGTTTTTTTGCAAAAGATGCTCATGGGCTCACCAACAAATCTAGAAATACTTTTGTTTCAAACTTAATTTCCCTCTACTTTCATGTCATTATTTGCTCTTACTTTGTTATTATTAAGTGTCTATATGATAGTTCATTTCATGGCTAATACACTTTCAGTTGGTTAAAAGGTTTAGTTGGAGAAATGCTCGGCCAAAAAAGCAAAGTTGGTTAATTTTTTTGAACGGTTAGTGCTGCTAAGTATCACTGCTAAGTATTGTGGAATATGTAGACAATTCTTATGTAAATGTTCATAACAATTTCTGGGCACTTGGCAAAGTTTCTTGAAAGAAAGCCGCAAGTCTCTTTTTTTTTGTCAAGCCATTTGGTTTTTCGTAAATAGAAACTTTTGAGGATGTTTCGTAAAGTGGTGTGTCTGGCCTAGGTATAGCTAACAATACCTTTTAAGCAAAAGCGCATGCAATGATGTTGTCTCGTACAGCAAAACCCCGTAACCTTTGCAAAATAGTAATACTTTTTGAAATGATATCCACTATTAAAAAATTTGCATTATAAAGTTACATTATTAAAAAAATTTTGAACGGTAAAAAAATACTTACATTTGGTCTTTTTTAGGGAATAGGAAAAATTTATGTATAAAAGGTTTAAGCTAAAAAGATTCAGTCGTCTAAAGTAAAAGGATCTCTGGGACTTGGGAACTGCTCTGCTATGGGTGAAATTGCTTGTTTAGTGGCAGCTTCTTTGCCTTTTTCAAGCTCACTAAGATATTTGGCTAGAACGATGTTTGTCTCACCAAGGCACTTCTCTTTTGTGACTGGCACTCCGAGCTCAAAGTGTCTGCCGTATAAACGCAAACGGAGTGTACTAACTTTCAATATTTCGAGATTCACATTGTTTATTCCAACAACAAGCTGTATCGCAAGCTCTTCCAGTGAACGATATGCAGTGCGAGATTTTAATTTTTTTGATGGTAGTATAGTGGCATGGAATCGGAACTTGTTGGTGTTTCTATTTTTGAGATTGGATATGCCAACAATGTTTTGTATGCGACAAGAAAGGTGATTTTTTTCTTTGATATACGTCATTAAAACCTCCATTGAATAAAGATCGATTATTTCAAATCCTTCTTTTGCCTGCTTCTCGACAGAGGAATCCTCTGTTTTAATTGACGCAATTTCTCTCATCTTTGTACTTGGTTTCATCTGTTCTATTTCGTCAATTTCTTCATCCGATTCCTGAATGTCTACATCCGATTCCATTTGTTCTCTTTGATTGTTTCGCAGAAAAACATTTGCTTTCCAATACATCAAGACAAGGAATACCAAACTAACTAGTATGAAGACAAGGAACATTGTCCCTGGAAAATACCCTAAGAAGAAAATAAAACAGTAGTTAGGAGAGCTTCATTTACATAGTAGCTAAGCTTTCTACTGAGTGCCGGAACTAGAGATACAATTGAAACCTAAAAAGGTTACTTAGTACAAAAACTAAATAACAAGGCTACTTATTACAAAAACTAACTAACAAGGCTACTTAGTACAAAAACGAAACTTTAGTTCATTCTTGAAGATCACCTCTAAAATTGTGTTGCATGCAAAAAAGAAATGCTTTGTTTTTTAACTTTTTTTCTTATCACATTTCATCCAGATGAAACAGTTCTACTGTGTTGATGATGAAAACTATGCCGATCAGCTGAGTGGCAGATTCAACTTCGTGTTATAGAATATAATAGCTATATAGAAGCTTTGGAATATAATAGCATAAAGCAATAAATTATATTTTAAAAATTGGATTAATCAAGCGTAACAAGTATGCTTAAAAAATAGTAAAATGTTCTAAAGAATTAAAATAAAAAGAGAGCAAGAAATATCCTGAAATCTATCTAAAGCTAATCTAAAGGGCGTGGTCGCAAATATTTTCTGTTCGCTTCGCTTGCAGGGGCCTCCGCTTTTGGCTCTGCCCAGGGGTCTCCGAAACTTTCGGCGATCCTGCCTACACCTGTTACAATTTGATAAAAATATTGAGTGGATTGGCTTGTGTTGGTGAATAACGCTTGAAACTATAATGATGATATGTGGAGCTGAAAATTTTCCTAAGAATGAGCTCTGCGCAACTCGTACTTTTTCTAGCCCGACATATCCTGCTAACGATTAGCGACCAATGATCGTCTTTGTGGCTCGGCTTGAACGCCACGGTATTTTGAAGTATCGCAGAGCATTGTGTACAAATTTCTATCCATTTTATCTAAAGTGATCAATAGCGCCACGGAGGGACTGGGGGGATACGTTTCCCAAGATCTCGGCAGGATCAGTTTGGTAATTCGTCTGAATTCGACCAGAAAATATTGGTGTTGTGGGAAATTCTCTACAACCTCATTTTTATTTTCTCTACAGCCTCAATTTGCAAAGATTTAATTAGGGAGTGACTTTCAGTTGCGGATTTAAGGGGGGGGGCAACTAGGGGCAGTTGGCCCTCCCTGGACGAGTTGAAGCAAGTATGGCTCCCCTTTTTTGGAAATTGTGCGCCCCTTTTGAAGAATGAGAATCAAGTGAAAAAGTTTCTGAGACCAATAGATTAATTTGCTTCAAGGATTACTTCAAAGTTATGTTGTTTATTCCGAAAATGGATCTGAAATTGTTGTATAGAGCGTTCTCTCGTCATCAATTTTTGAAAATTTTTCAGCGCCCCCACTACCAACTGCCCCTCCTTCAAGTTTGCTCTGGATCCGCCTCTGGTGACTTTAAGGGCTTACGCGGCCGCTGCCAGACCTTTTTAATTTTATAAAAGGCAAAACTTCCTGTCAAATTTCTCCAAGGAAGAAATTACTTTTTATCACCAAATAAAGCTAACATTTACAGATAATTGCTTCAAGTCTACTTTAATCAAAATGAAGACTTATGAATTACATGCCAATGTCAAATAATGAGTCATTGTCAAAAATATTATTTCAGCTCTTTTTTTGTGTCAGAGCCAGCCTTGCTTTGGGGGCCAGGGCCATAACATTGAAATTAAATTTGTTATACAGAGCTCTACAATTAAGAAATTCGTGACTTGAGCCCTTAATGTGAGATTCGTCTCTCCCGTCCGTTTCAGCGTCTCATTAGAGCATTCGTTTACATCCAATACGAAATCTGTAAGGCATGTTAGTTGTTTGGCTCAAACTCATCGCAGTGCTTGAATTATATAAAATATAATTCAAGCTATAGCTGTTCCAAGTCCTTGAAATATAGCTGTTCCAAGGCCAGATCAACATTCTCGCTCACAACTTCACTCATACTTGTAGCAACAAGATTCAGATAGATTGATCACACTTTTACTTGGTTTGAGAACTAACAGTCAATCTGTGACTGTCTATATAATTCATACTTACAAGGAATCGTCATGTCAGATACAAAGCGCACACATTCAGAAACTGTTCAATCTTCTCCACTGATTGCTGCTGTGTATTTAGCCAGTCGATTGACATGAGCGCACATCGTAATTTGATAAGGGTAGAATGTTCCACATGGTTTCATGTTATGTTTGAAAAAATGATTCACTCCAATAGTTGCATTAAAACCGCACACAAAGAACAACTGTATCGCAAATATTGTTTAAGGACTTAGAAAAAGAGGACAGTTAAAAGAGGCAGGGTTTGTGGGGGTGGTGCCCCTAAATAGGGCACGCGAATCAAAATTGATTGTGGACGGGCCATAATGACAAGACTTTGACTTTGGTTCAATTTTCATGGCTGTATAGCTAGACAGTACTGTAATGAATGCACCTAAAATTCGGTGGTACTTCATTATTGCAAAAGGTAAGAGTGATTATTCTGGGTTTGATGAAGGCGACCCAGTATGATAAGCAGCAGAAAAAGTTTTGCAAATATGACGTTCTAGAGATAGCCAGAAAATGGGTCTAGGAAACAACATTGACTGAGAACCACGGATCCTAGACACAACAGAAAAATATTCTATCATAATTATGCTCCATAGTTCTTTTTGGTTTGATAATGTTATGAAGAGGACAATTTATAAGCGCAAGAAATTGTTTGAATAATGGCATAAATTAAAGAAAACTTTATAGATATCTCCTGTTGTCTTTCAACACATGACTTTACTAGAAAAACATTATCCAGTTTCGAAATAAGCAAGTCAACTTTAAGGTAATCCTTGAAGTAAATTAACCTATGGGCTTCAGAAACTTTTTCACCTGACTGTCATTCTTCTAAAAGGGCAGACAATTTCCCAAAAAGGGGCGCGAGACTTGCCTCAAAGTGAAATATAAAAGAAATAACCAATGTGGAATGAAGAATGAACCAGTGTGAAATTTATAATTTTCTGGTCGCAAAAAGTTTATTCACATCACTAACTAAGCTGGTAGCTTGGACATGCTTAGCTTCATAAGAGAAAACGTCTACTTTCAGACCAAATAAGTATGCCTATGATTAGAATGCGTCTTGTTGAGTGGGAATGGCACACCATATACACATAGCTCATGGGCTAAATTTTCAGAAATCGCCACAGAAAATGCCATCGCTGGCCACATTTTGCTTGCGGACGGTAATTGGATACCTTTGTAAGCCAAGCATGCATTCAGAAGATTGTATAATGGTTTGTAATAAGCAATCTCATTTTGAAAAGCTGTTATTCGTGCAGTGCAATGTGAAACGCACAACTTAGACAATGACTTGGTCTCTTTGATCAAAATTCTATGTTATAGATTCTCTATTTCTCCTAAAAATCTTGATAGTAAAGACAAACCAAAGAAACGAAAGCTAAGGCCATATTTGAAGGAATATTAAGAGCATTAAAATTCTTTCTACATTCCCCTAAAAAGTTTCGCTTGCTCTGCAAAAAAGTGGAGGTCATGGCCCCTCGCCCTGCCAATCTTGCATGTCCACCATCTTGGAGATTACACAGTGCAGGTCGAGTCATTCTTTACTTTGCACCCAAGCAGTACCGCTGAAGCTGCCCCCCCTCCCCTCCCCCGGTGAAAAATTTGAGACAAAGTCATTTTCACACATTTCAAAATGTGCTGCTTTCACCTTTCACCACCTAGCTTTTCGGCGTAGTTACTTCACAAGAAGAGTGAAAATTAGGTAGTGATTGCTGTCCAAAGAAAAATAAATTGACAAAGGCTAATTTCTAATTGGGAAAATCCTTCGATTTTCAACCACCTCCTTTGGAAGATAAGTTCCCGGCAACAGCCACCTAACTAACAGGCCGGGGTTGACTATTGGGTAGGGATGGCCAACTGGAGTGAAACATCAGCTTTTAAATAGAAAAGCCACTGCCAAATGCATTTTCATATTACAGAACAGCATATTATCATATAGAAAGAAGCTGGGAAGGCCTAGAAAGTGACCGAAACATTCGGGCTGCCGTTTTCCCGTACCGGCCGGCAAGTCCGTTCCTGTGCCTTTGGCTAACGGCTGGGCAGATATCACTGTAGTACAAGCACAAATCGGAACGAGTGTTCATCAAATGACAATATCAACTACTTTATGTTTTACTATACGAAATAACAAAAGTTCCACAAAACACAAAACAAAGAAACATTGAAAGTGAGACAAATAACGGGACAACCAAACACCTGGGGATTTTCTCGTCTTCCTTGCTAGGATATAAGCCTGCAATGATAGTTCGATTAATTGATTACTTGATAAAAACAAATTTTGTCGATAAATACAACGTCATACAAACTTCAAAGTGCAAAATAACACTGAAATTCGCAATATTCTAAACAAAACGAATATACACACTTGCATATCCAGATTAACATATGATACATTCCAGAAAGTGCGATTCCGGGGAGAACATGGGTCCAGAGTAATTTACCACAGTGCTGTCCACTTACTCAGTTTACTCATTTTGTTTTTTTGCCCATCAAAAATTTGTTGGGACTTTTATGATACTAGACGAATAATGACTAGGTGAGAAATTTTTTTAGATGTACCTATGGACCGAGGAAGGCCATAAAAATCGAGGCGCAAATCACTCTGTGAAAATCCCCAACACCTTTGGTAGAAATCCTGTTGTTTATAGAAAATCCGTATAAATCCTTTTGTTTTGGTGGAAATCTCGTATGCCATTTGCAAAAGTGAATTGATGAAAAATGATACAATACCTTATACAAAATATAAATTATCAAACAGCATTAGTTACAATCCAGTGAAAAACCACCATTGGGTTAGTTGTTGAAGGTTATGGTGAAACCTATTTGATCATGAAAAACATCGAAAAAAGTCTTCAAGGGCTGTTGGTGGCCTATGTACGGCAACAATTATTATTATGAGTAAGGGTAATGATAAATTAAGATGTTTTCAAGACATTCGATATCAACCTGAAGATCATGATGATATTTTCATGTCGATGATAATGATTATTATAGTCGTAGCATTCAATTATGACTATATATTTGATACATATGATGATGACCACGATGTATGTCAACTTTTGTCTACAAGATAACTGGTAGAACGGTCCCTCTTCTCGTCTTTGGCCGAGTCGTTGTCTCCATCATTGAAGAATATATTTATTTCCTCTGGGGCAACTTCAATCTGCTGATTCGCAAACTGCTTTGTTCTTATCTTGGGTGCAGAAACACGAATGTTCAGCGATTCCCTATGAAACGGCTTACTACCAAGCGGAATTATTTCTTGCACAACGTTTATTTCATCTACACCCGAAGCAAGGTCCTTGAGTGAAACAAATGCTTCTCCAAAACAATGCTCCGGTCCAATTGGAAGACCGAATTTCTCTTTTTTACCAAAAAGTCGAAGATGGATAACGGACGTTTGCAGTTCAGTTTTGGGAATAAGCAAAAATTGGAATGGAATAATTAGGCTTGAATCTAAAGGAATGTGGAAGGGAGTCTTAAAAAACTTTTTGGTTGATGACGGCTGCAGCTCCAATTTAAATCGAATTTTATCTGGTCCACCGTGATTAGGAAACTGCAGACCAATAACGCCCTTTATCATTCCAGATAAACGCATATTTACAGTTGAATGTTTCATACATAAACTGACAGCAAGTCTCTTTTTGCTTCGAATTTTGACACTTTTGTCTGACACTGATGACGTTTCACTCGCTGCTTTGATTATGTCGATTTTCGGAATGCTGCCACGCTTAATTTCTTCATGGTTCGCTCTCATAAACTTTCTTTTCTTCTTTACTTTGTTTTTTTTAATCATCAAATGCTTTTCATATGGCGACTCAAATTCACTGTTATCTGATTCTATAATGTCGTCCGGGTTCTCTTTCTCTTGATTATCCAGCCAGAACTGCACTAGCCAGTGTAGGAATACCAAAACAGACAACACTATCATCAGAGCCCCGAGGAATATGATAGGACCATAATACCCTGTAAAAAACAAAAAAATAAAGTATGAGTAAGCCAAAAACAAAATTGACATACTACTCAGGGGTGGGAAAATATTTTCTAGCTGGGAATGCAGTTAAAGAAATAGGACTTCTGTGCTACAAACAAATCCCGCAGTGCCATATATAATTTGAGCCTATGAGCATTTGACTACTGTAGACAATGAATACATGGATACCCTAATCATGCAGCAACTAGTTGATAACACTTTCTCCTTGATACCTCTACATTATTGATATTACGATTGATTAGTCATTGCTGGCTAGGGTATTGCTGACTAATTTATCAATATTCTTTTCTCATACTCTTTCTTGACTTTGTGTAGATTCTTTTTTTCTGGTTTTTAGTATCTCTCTGCATAAAACTATTTTTTTTATTTGTAACGATAAGGGTTCTTGTCATGACGGTGAAGAACCAGTTAATAACCGAGCTCGTGGGTGGAGCGATGGGCTAGGCCAAAGGGCCTAAGCCCCGAATAGGTAACGCACAAAAGATACTCGTTCTCTGATGTTTTCTCTAATGCTTCAATCAGAAGACTAACTTATAACGTGACGTGACCAACACATACTAATAACCTAATAACATAAACGGAGCTAATTAACAGGACAATACGAGCGTCACATTACATGTTGAAAGACAAACACATTGTCATAAAGAGACGTTCACTAACACAACAGAACTTAACAGGACATGTGACTTGAACACGCGACGGGAACATTACTAAATTTGTTAAATACGAAAGCCAAACCGTACCAAAACTTTTTCAGGGACCATTGGCCCCATGGCTCGATATTTAACCTCTCGTCCCATCGATATCTTTAACATCTAATGTTAAGGAAAATTGCAATCATCATTGTTTCTTAAGAGTTTCTCAACCATGGTGTCAATAATATTGACATTCGGGGTTCTATATCTAATTTTCCATGCAAGGTTATTTCACAACAAAAACTTTTTGGAGAAGGTGCTCGCAGCTGCAAATAGTCCATCTTTCACTCGTCAATCTTTAAAATGACATCTTTGTTGTGAGATTCACGTCTTACACAAAGGAAGACACAGAAAATGTCTTCCTTTGAGTTATACTTAGACAAAGGAAGCGTATTGTTCTAACAGATTGTTGCAACGAGCCAATAACATTGAGGAATTCTCTCGAAATTTCGGAGTTATTGGATTTCTCAAAATTTAGTTGTTTCTTATTTTTTACTTCGAATGTTGTAGTTTTCAAATCATTTCAGATTGTCTAGTACTTTTGTCTTTGCCTTCAAGCGAGTTGCTTTCAAAGAAATGCTGTGTAGCTATCTTGAAATATCTAGAATTCCGGCTTGAAATACCTAGAATTAACCACACAACAGAGTTTCTGAAGTTTGACGTCATAAAAATCTATATAAAGTTGAGTTGAATTAGAAAAAAATCTATGTTATGGTCTGAGTGTCTCTTTTTTTCTTGGCCAACTTTTAGTAAAGAGTTTAAGATCCGACCATATTAGAAAGTTCATATTGACAGCGAGAGACTGTCAACAAAGACAACGTTCAGATTTATCCATATTTCAATGTCAAATCTCAATTTGAAAACGTTTTAAGAAAAACCCCTATCCCCCCAAACCGTCCAAACGACGTTGATTGGGAAAAAATCGATATGTTTGCGGCCCCTCAGAATTGTTGACTTTTAATCACATACCTTCTCAGCTAAAATCGATGAGCACAGATTTAGCGCGATCTTAATTTTTTGGTGAGAAATGGCCAGTGAGTGATTCGATGTCTCGCGGATTTCTGTTATTCTGACTTGGTTCATAAAGATATTCACAAATTTTATTTTCTATCCTGCAACAGAGAAACAATGGCTTCAGGGGCGAAAATACCGGGGGGGGGGGGGGGGGGGGGGGGGGGGGGGTGACACCCCCTATCTTAAAATCAGCCGATTTCGCAGGGCAATCGAAGATTTCGCAGGGCGCCAAGAAGAGCTTTATAGCCACGCAGAAACGCCATCTCTGAAGTTCGTAAAGGGCCGTTTACGAATTTTGAAAGGGAAGTATTATATTTGTTATGAACCTCCCTTCCTGACATTGCATTTTAGAGAACGGAACAGGTATGTCAGGAAGAGCTCCGTTATAGCAGAGCGAAAGCATTCCTTACCGAAAATCATAGCCAATGGATGCAGTGATTGATGCATAAGTTTATGAGGGCAAGGTTGAGTCCACACAAATTAATTTAAGTTGTAAATTATTTTCATGACAGGTACGGCGCTGGGGGAATAGAGGGCTGTGGCACTTTGGTCAAGATAAGAATATTTTATCCTTTTTTCTATAACTTTTTAACAGAGTGTTAAATAAAAAGAGAATAAACTGTTAAGATGCCGATTTTGTTTGATCTAATTGCTAACTTATTGATGTATTTCTATTATTTTTATTTTATTTGCATTAATTCAGTAAATCACTTTCTGTATCATTGCAATTTTTTTATTTTGGAAGTGTAAACATGGCCTTCTCGAGATAAGAAACTGCACATTCTGTTTAGGAAATAAAATTCTCCCAATCAAAACAACATTGCTCTGTCATTCACAACTATGTGCAATCTGAAGCGAAAGATTACCGTTTCTTTCCTTCCCCAACATCTATCGCTAGCGTTTTAGCATGACATCCCCCTCCCAATTTTTCAAATAAACAATTATCAGTTTTTTAGCAGTATAGTATTTTGCTAAATTTTAGTCTGGGGGATGCTTTTTAGCCCTTTTATAAGGTATAATTTCAAAAATTTTCTTCACGTCGGACCCAGCCATGGTTGGTCCTCCTACCTCACTAAACTTGATATGCCATGAAATACAAGCTTTATTACAAAGGAAAATTAAATTTGACATTTAATTTACACTCACGTAAAAAAAGATATTTCATAGGCAATGAAGTTTCAAGTTTTTTTTATTGCTTAGGAGTTTGTTCTTGGTAAAGACTAATTTACACTGGTAAAGCTTTCACTAGTAACCTATAGACAAACCTTTGCTACGAGGTCTGCAGGGCACCACTCATTTTCGCAGGGCAGAAATCCTTTTCACCCCCCCCCCCCCCAAAACCCTTAATTTTTGGGTCCCCAAAGGGTTAAAACGCCCCTGAATGGCTTGATATTATTAATATTATTATCAATTCATCTGATATCCGGATTAGATTTCCATTCACCACGAAGGCCCATGAAGTAAGCCACCTTTTTAGCTACTCCCGAGAGCGGCCAATAAAAGTTCCTGCCCTCTTTTGACGGTAATTAGATTTCTTTTATAAAGGACTTTTCAATGGAGACATTTTCATTATTGCCTAGTTACAATGAACTTGTAAACATTATCAATTCGCCTTGAAATTTATAAATGTAAACAACCATATAAAATTATTAGCTACTTTATAGCCTCAGAAGACACTGCTGAATGCAGAGGAACATCTGAAATGAACGATGTTATAGCTAGCATATGTGAAAATCTCTAGGAACGTGAGAAATGCGATGTAATTTGGCCTTGTCTAGTCCACTAGCAGAGGATATCTACACGCACTTCCACAGCGTGATTGAAGTCTTGCCGGTGGCTGTAAACAGGTTTACCCTGGCAACTGAAATATAGGCTGGTTTCATTCTTGTTCAGGACAAACTCTTGTGTCTTTCCCACTCTTTAGCAGATAAGGTTGAAACTGATAGAAATTAGACCTTTTAAATTTAAATTAATACTTACAAGGTATGCCTGTGCTCTCCATTCCGCGACAGCATACACCGCTTCCTTAGGCCATGCCTCATCCAAAGGAATGTGTTGCAAAAGCGAAACTTCACTAGTCAGCACTTTTCAAATAGCAGAAAAGATTCTATTTTTCCGGTTGAATTCAAGGCGACATTGTGCTGAGTTCATGGTTTTAGCTAACTTGCTGCTAGGATACTTGATAAAATCCAGTTAAAACGTTGGTTAAAGGCACAAGCTAGGCCAGAGCCTACTACAACTATTGTTTTGGAAACTAGCGCCTTTTCAAAAATTGACATCAATTAAGACCGCTAGTTTTGTTGCCACAACAATACAAAGACTTTTTTTTATCACATTGTTTTTCGGTTCCATAAACAATAAGATGAACGAATAATTGGTTAATACCACGCAGTCCATGCGGGATTAATTTGTTACCAGACAATAAGGTAGTATGGGACATTATTTTCCGTCTAGAAAGAGGCTTTCTGTTCTCTGCGGATGCGCCGTGACGTGTTTAAAGAAAAGAAGACAACACAAGATTTTGGAATTTGTTTTCCTCTGCAAAACCCCCTTCCGTTTCTGCATTTATCTTAAACGATAGGGGTATACTCCGCTTTTTAACCAGTTCCTTGTCCCTCACGCTGTTAGAAGGTGTTCCTGAATATAAGGAGAAGCGCAGGGGATGTTATCATTTGTAACATCAAATTTGTGAGAAAAAACGAGTCTACGCTGTCTCCGCAACACTCATTTCCAACAACATATTAATTGACGACAACAAGAAACAATCATCATCAAAATTTTGTGCCCCTAAAAACTTGATTTTGCCGGCCCATAAAAATTCCCACCACGTCCCTGAGGAGGAGGTTAACAGAAAGAGCTGAATGATACAAGGGTGAACTAATGGGCAAAAGAATCTGTTTTCTTCGCTACCGAATAAAGGGTTTGGATGGAGACGCAAGCAAATGATTTGCCAAAACCACTAAATGCATGTTGCTTTTTACCTTAAGGTACCAGGGCTCATTCACTGAGGCTCTGGCATCCAGGGTATGGGGTTTTAGTCCATGTTCATTAATGGAGAAAATACATCATGTTCATTAATTGTAATTTTACACTCCTGAGCTTTTGAAAAAAGGCATGAAGACATTTTGAAACTAACAGTATAATGAACTAAGTTTTTTCATTGATGTCTAGATGAGCCGGCTAGTCCACAAAACATCAAGGAGTGGAAGTGGGTTAGGAAATATTGTCGAACTGTAATCATGTCCTTCATCGTTTCTTTGCCATTGACATCTTCCATTCAACCACGTAGCTGTAGGTGTCGGCTAGGGGGGGGGGGGAAAACTCGAGCAAGAACCATACATAGGGGGGCAGGCTTCAAAACAAGAAAACAGATATATAACAAACAAATATATTTGGACAAAATCAAAGTCATGGAATTATAAATATGCCAAATTTTCAAAATATCATTTGGAAAAACTGTAGCGTTTACCCTCTATTGAATCTCACAATATCCTTCCCTCTTATCAAAACAGGGACAGAAGGCATAGGTATGTTTACCGTGCACGGGTCTGTGGAAAATTGGAGGTAACAATGTTAAAATCTGCAATTCGTACAAAAGCCAGAAAATCATACTATGCACTTTTGCCTAAGAAGATATTGGCACCGTTTCAAACCAATACTATCCAAATTTATCCATTCTTGATCCTGTTTTGGAAAATCGACACCTTCAAGCTTGTAATTAAGAATTTTGAGTCTGCTTAGAATCAATAATGTTTGCTAGCGTTTTTTTTGGCATAGAATCAAAACTTCATGGTTAAAGTTTTTTCATGATGTCCAATTACGTGGTGTGGAATCTTGAGTTTTGACTTAGGGTTTGCATTGCATGCTAGATAACAAGTGCCGCCTTAAATCACTAGGAGGGGGTTTTGCTGGGGAAGCCACACCCAAGACCACACCCATGATATCTAAGCTGGTGTTGAAGATTCTCTTTTGTGCATATAAAATGATTCAAACGAAAACGAGAGGGATTTCTGATAACACAAGCAAAATAGTATGGTTTCTTGTATTTTATTTCTACATAGCAATTATGTTTCTTGTTGTCACTACACAACTTGTTTTCTTGTTTTTCTAGGACAATTAATGCTTTAATACCGATTACTTATATTTGGTAAGTTGTGCTGTACTTATATTATTTTTTAAATAGTGGTTTTGAGTTATGTTACTAGAATTGAAAAGTTTGATTGAGGACCATCTTTGCCCAGACATCTATTGACAAAAATGAAATACATGTGGACTTCAGCTATAAAGTGATATTATCTAAACTTGATTGATGTAAGTAATATGGGACATCGTCGACTATTGGATGAAAACTGGAACTTGGAGCTTGGAAGCGCCAAGATAATGGTCTACAGTAGAGCAAGGATCAGAGTAGGCAAATATTACAAAGGATATTTGTCTATACAAACTCCAAATTATGGTTTGTACACCGAAAATTATCTATCTAACAAACAGCACACCTTGGCCGGCTCCGAGACTTATCTGAGTGCGCATTCCACAGAAATGTGTGGCAAATAGCATGTGCCAATCAGAAACAGGCACCTGTTTCTTCTTTATGACTTTTTTGCAGCTTATCAAATAGGAACACGAACAATGTCGGCAAGACAACCATGTGAAGTATTTGAAAACGTGAACTTACGTATATGCATTGTAACACCATGTTCCAAAGTTGGTACCCATTTACGCAGGTTGGCCAAAATAATAAGAACGATTTTTGTCAAGTCAAATTATTAGAGAAGAATGCAAACAGAATTATCAAGAACAACGTGGTTTCATTGAAATGACTAAGCTGGTTATGTGGGTTGGATTTCCCCATTATCAGATTGTATTACATGTTTGCATAAACTGTGCAAATCATACAGTCACTTTATAAGGAACTTCTGCTGAGGGCTCAATTCTTTGTTTTTTGTAAAAAGGGAACACATTTTATTGACTTAGATAAAGAAATACAGTCAGGGCTTCAAGGGCAATGGCTTCCTTGTTAGCACGTTAAAAAGGTCATGGACAACCCGAGAAAGAACTATTTCTCATACAGAGCAGAGTAATGAATGAGTGGAATATTTTGCCAGGAAAAAATAGTAAATGTGAAATTGCCTGTATAATTTGAGAAATTATAATAAAGGGCATAAGTGTGAATACGCTTAATAAAAGCAAGAAAGGTTTAGGCCAATGAATAACTTGTCTTTCATTACAGCATATAATTTTTACTATTTACTTCCAAGTATTTTGCATTATCTGCAACACCAATATGCTAGTTACAAGTGCTAATGAAGGAGTCGGTTTGTGTTATATCTTTTGGCCTAAACCTAGAGCCTGAAGCCATTGACTGTGTTTTTATTACGTCTATAAAAAACACCTTAATTGCTTATTCTCTTATCAAAATTATTATTATTAGATCCCTTCCCAAGCATTTGGTTTATTTACAAAAAATCAATTTGATTTCTTGTTACTGTTCAATTTAGGCAACCTTTTCCAACTCAACTATTGTTGTTCTTTAATTCATTAGTTTCACTTTACTTTTCTCACTGGCTTTTTTGGTTTTACTATATTTTTGACTGTAATACCTTGTCAGGGTTTATTCTAAGAAAAATTTCCAGCACCGCAAATCAATCACTGGTATCTTTTTCGCTAAACGCTTCAACTCTACTGTTGAGAAAAAACCAAAAACAATGATAATACAGGGGCGTCATGGCCGGGGGGCAGGGGGGCCGTGGTGACCGGAACAGTGCCGATTTTGAGCCTTTCACCAGATTTGAAATTTTGTCCCCGATTCGAAAATTTATGCAGTTATGTTGCATAAGGTAAAACAAGGAAGAGGTCGATCAATACCATCGCTTTCCACCAGTGGATATTCATTTTGAGAATAAAATTTTATTATCAACATATGCTCCAAAGAATGCAATTTCCAGCAAACTTGAAGCACATATGAAAAATTTTCCCATTCGGCGGCAACCATGGTGCCGCCTCAGACAGTGGCTTTTTTCTACCCTTGTCGTAATTTACCGTTCTATAGTATACCCGTATCTTATGCAAGAATTGGCTAGGGTGCTAGCTGCAGTTCCAAACTCATGAGATGTTAGGAGGCTAATCCACGTGAAGTTTAATCATCATTAGATTATTAAATGTAACACAGAAAAACTGTACCTAGGGGTGCATTTTAATTTGCCAGTGCTCGAAATGTGGAACCCTTATCCCCGGGGGGTCTACCTTGGAGAAAAATCACAAGGACGTGTATTCTGCAATTATTTGTTGACCCTGTTCTGCAAAACAATTATGTAAACATGAGGCCTATCATGGAATAAGAGCTTTAAGTCCAAATATGAGCTTTAAATGATTTCCAAACGCAAAAAAGGGTGTTTTCCCAAATCTTTAAGGCTGTGGTCAGCAAAAATTTTCTCCTCTTTGCCCATCCAACCCTGGCTACGCCACTGCTTCTTAGCTTCTTTACCTTAAAGTTAAAAGACGAATTTTAAAAATGGGCGTTTCCATCATTTACCAGTGACCTGAAGGGTGTGGCACAGAAGTTCAATTAATATCTAATCAATCACTCAATCATTGTTGCTTAAATCCGTCCCTGCTGACTATTTACTATAATTCTTCTGTTGTGTTAAGTTTTTGTGTTTTGATTTTAAATTCGCATAGTTTTGCCCAATGATTCCTTATATTTTGCGAAATATTTTTCCAATTGGTCAAATTTTTACAACAACTACAACACCACATAACGGTAACAAAACCACGTTAGAATAACCCCTGTTCCTTCTTGGTTGAAGTGGAATTTCTATTATTTATGTCATGTAGATAAAAATTATGTTTTATGTCATATTGATTGGATATGTGTTTGGTTTCCAGCAACGAAAAATTGTGCTTTGAGAAGAAAAATCACTTTTAAAGGAAAACTTACGACAAATACTACTTTTTGGTTTGTCGTTATAACAGGATTAAATATTTTTAATAAAAGAATTCATTTAATCTCTAGGTTAATCCTAAAATCAGATTTATAGAGTAATGGTAGGTTAATTTCAGGTGGATTCGATTTAAAGAAGATTCGTTAAATAAGATGATTTGTGGAAGAATTGAATAAAAAAGGTCCAGTCAGTGGTATTCAGAGGTCAGGATAACGAGAAGTCTACATACATTACAATGATAAAAACTGTAGAGTATTTCCCTCTTTTCATGACTTTCTTTAGATACTCACCTCGCCTGAAAAAATAGCTGATCATTTTATACAAATAACGTCATATTCCCAATTCAACTGTGCGACTGAATGCAACTACAAACTCAATTATTTTCACACTGTCATCTAAAAAGTTATGGCAAGGGTGACATTAAGTTATAGTTAAAATAATATGTTCTATAATTTGCAAGTACGCGTATACAAGATAAAGCATCGTACGTAATCTTTTAGCTGTTACTACTAGATCCTGTTGTGAACGCGTCGCACTTCTGCTGGCAACGTGATTTGAAACCAGTGGCGTAGCTTGACCTTCCGGAGGGGGTGGGGTCTCATCTAGTGGGGTGTCACCAGAGGGGGTGGGGTGTCGTCCAGGGGGTGGGGGTGTCTTCCAGGGGGGATGGGGTGTCAGACCAGAGGGGGAAGTTTATAGTGAGAATTTATTATAAAGCATAATAACAGTTAGCTTAAGCCATCTATATACTGAATTTAAAGAAAAGTTTATTTTCGAATGACTTTAAAAGGCCTAATTGTTGACATCCTTTCTCTCTGTGCCACATCCGCCAAATGAATAGTTACTTCACCCAGTAGTTTCTCTTTTCCAAAATGCATCCCCAGTCTAACGTGCCTGCCGTATAGACGAAAACGCATCGCTGATTTAAATAAGTCCTCTCTTGAAACATTTGAAAATTTGAAGGATGCTCCAAATTCTGGGTCACTCGTTGACACAAGTTTCGTTTTACTTCGATATTTTTTAGCAGGCAGCAGGACCATACTTATTCTCACGTGATCGATTCCGGTGACTTCGCCAGGTAGCAAATCCGTAATTTTGTGAATGACAGCAAACAAAAATAAATCCTTTTTTGAATATTGTAACGTGATATGCAGGTTGCCCAGTCCCTTGGCAGGATCTTCCATGCTACGGCTCCTGCGTTTCTTTCGGCTACCCTTTTGCTTTGGTGGCATTAGCTCTTGTTTTTTGGTGTCAGAGCTGGAAATCATTGGGCCAATCTGTGATACCCCTGGTGCATTGTCTTCATCCTCTGATGAAATATATTTCTTATCAGATAGGTCGCCTGTGCTCATAACATAGGTCGCCTCCTTTAGATTCACGGGGCATGTGTTGTCGCTTATTTCCGTCCCAGAGTCCTCCGTTGCAACTTCAGCGTATTCGGGGTCCGGTGAACCATCCTTGTTTACTTCACAGAAACATTTGCCACTTTTGATAAGGAAGTATACGAGAACAAGAATAAGTGCTGTTCCGCCGATCACACCGAGGAAGATAACAGCAGGCTCAAACCCTGTAAAACACAAAAACACGTTATTAACGCTAAAAATTCAATCAGTTTCCATTCAAAGCAAATTCAAGTCCATTTCATAAAAAATATCATATCATTTGTAATGAAACCCAGGCTTTTTGAAAAGGATGAAACTATTATTTATGCTTATGCGGTTTGCATTCCAAAGAAAACGTCGCAAAAGACAGAAAAGCGTAAAAATGGTTGGCCAAGTTTTGTCCCGATTGATTCAGCCTTTGAAAATGGCATTGTGGCAAAACAAAATGGCAAGAGTTCCAAAAATATCAAACATGTTAGATATTTTGCCCTCGGCTTGAAAAAGAAATTACTTCGCAAGTTCACCATCGCTAAAATTTGATGCTTTTACGATTAGACACCTATTTTCTGTTCAATTCACGAAGAAAACAGAAAGAAGAGCTCCTTTTGACTTATTTAATGTTCTTTTTCGTATTAACTTACGTTACGTCTTTGTGTTGTCAAAAAGTATAATTAAAAAACAAATTAGAAAACAAAAGAACTAAAAAAGTGAGTAATTGTCCGGAGCTTATTTCTTGTTAAAAATGCGTGTATTTGCTTTGGACATTGTTTCATTTGCCGTGTAGATATGCTTGCGTATACTGCTGATTAGTGTACTTTATTAGCTCTTGATCACCATCACTACCGAAGCAGTTCATTAACCACTGAAGCATCGGTAATCTTTCATGTATACACAACTAAATACTCCATATTCGATCAATGTGTACCAAAGCAGGTGAATAAAGACTACTATTTGTGTCTGAGTTTGATCAGTTGTACAATTAATATTTCATCAAAGCCTACTGAGTTGATTTAAATTTCTCGTACACCGCCCACCTTTGCCAAAAACTCTTTCGAATTCGAAAATGATCCTCAAAAATTCCATAAAAATAATTTAGTTCCAAGAAAACTTGTGCGCTGTTTCGAAAGGATGGTACGTGTCTCGATGTAACGTAGGCCTATAATCAATTACAATAGAGATAGCTTTTCTCTTGCAGACCGAAAAGTCAAGGCTTATATCAGGGCAGTCCTTAGACCCCTTAAATTACACAAAAAACATTCCAAATAGCCCCTAACAGTAAAAATACACTCTTTTTTATAAGAAACAGGTTATAGAAAAATGGTAGGCTCAATTTTTCGAAAGTTAAGAAACAATCCTACCCAAATCGAAAAAGCTAGAAAACTTTTATAATTTGCAGTTTTAATTTTCAGAGTTGACACTCGAAACAGTCTTGTCATTGAACACTTGACATACAGTTTGCATTCATTCTCAGTACATTGCAAACTGAAGAAAATTTCTTTAAAAATTTGCTTTGACTTCAACTTGACATTGATGAAATTCAATGAGCTCAACTGTTTACAGATCTCAACAGAATTAGTCATTCTAGAAAAACAAAATTGCTTGATCACTTTGATCACTTGGAAATAGCTAAGAAAGTCTGAAGGCTGGGCTGAAAAAAACTTTCTTATTTAAAAATCGTGCAATGGGTCCTCAGATTGTTACCATTGAAATAACCATTTGCAAACAGGCATCATAGGATGTTCCTCGTCTTTACATTTAAATTGAATAGTTTACAACAAAAGCAGATTAGTCATTAAGATCGGGGCAACGAAAGATTCTCGCGGAGGTCAAGTAAATTACTCGAGCGAATGTACACTCATTTTTTTATAAGAAACAAAGGTCCATGTTTAGTACTCTAGTTTCTTAATGTTATGGAAATTTAAATACTCCTTGTTTCCTAAGAGTTTCTTAATTATGATGTCTTGAATGATGTTATGAAATGTTCGTGACCTTTTTTATCACGTCAAGAGATTTCTGGAGTTTGCAAAATTCGTTGTTCTCAGTTCTATCACGATTTAATAGTTTCTTAATTTTTTTGCTTCGAGTACTGAAGTTTCTTAATTTTTCTGACTGTCCAGTACTCGTTTCTTATAGGCATTTTCTTTTATAAAAATGAGTTTGACCTCTACTCCTTCTGTCTGGATAGTGCTACAACAACGCATTGGTTGTAATTCGGAAACCAACGTTTGTTTTGTTGCCTAGTAGCAAAGTAAAGCAACAACCATTGTCTTATTCTGCTTGTTAGAACTGACCACAAATTTGAACAGTTTACGCAGTGCATCCGATTTCAGGTACTTGTTTGGGATACAATACGAGAGTCAATCTTTTGAGGAAAGAGTATAATTATTCCTTTTAACAGAAAGAAAGGGTGGGGGCTCTCCCTCACAAGAGACTGTAGTTTTTCGTTTCCCAACATACACATGGCTCCTTGGCGTGTGGATACCATTTGTGACATCGATATCCAGTGGGATGTGAAATCGGAGTGCAAGCCTGTTTGCTGAGCCGTGGGCGTAGGCAAAATTCTTTGTTAGAGGTTAGAGGGAGGGCTAAAGATTTTGGTATTCAGAATGTGGATAGCACGAGTCAAAAGGCCGATGGATAAAGAAATTCGAATAAAGGGTGCTGCAGTTAGGAAGGGTGGTCAGAAATTTAGGCTATGGGGCAAAAGAGAAATGGGTGCCAACATTTAGGTTGGAGAACTGGCTGATCATGAAGGACAGTGTCTGTTATGTGGTCACCACAACTGTTCTCTGTAAAAAGTCAGCAACTTGTGTCTTTATATCTTCGAGTTTGACATATCTTTCTCCGCCTGCCCCTGTTAGGCAGGGGCTATAAACCCCGTCGTCCAGGAGTGCAAATGCCCTTGAAGTTTAACCATGTCCTTGTCAAGCAGGCTAACTTTACAGGCACTGACGAAACGAGGGGACAGGGGTCTATGACACAAAGTTACAGTCTTCGTTAAATTCCATTATTTTTCTTCGCGACAGATACGCACTGATACTCAACAGCATTCGAAAGTCATAATGTGAAGACATGATCAGCAGGGTTCTTTGACAAACTAACAAGGGGCAACTGCCCAAGGGCCCACGTAACCAGGGGGCAGGGTTGCCATGTCCCCCCAACTTTTTTGTGAAGCAAGTAGTTTAAAAGCTGCAGTAAACGGGGAAGGAAGCCTTGGCCCCCTACTTTTGCTAACTTTGGCCCTCTCACTTTCAAATTCTTTCAATCACTATCAAGATACGCATCTACCGACAATCCATAACATTTACCGACCATCTGTAATAATTTACCGACCAACTTTCCAAAAGTGTACCACCCCCACATCCCCCAGTAGGTACGCCCCTGCGTCTAGGACATTGGTCCCTTTCTCTAAGAACAAAAGCTTGACCCCCACTGGAAGTCTCTTCAAAAAAGGCTAAGATCGAAGGAAAACGGTTTTTGACCCGATGGTAATACAACGCAACGACCTAACAGGGCAAAATATGAATGTGGCAATTCCAACCTGGCGGGAAATGTGACGTTATCGCTAGTAGAAAATTTTCGGGATTAAAACATCCATTGTCATTAGCACTATCAGGACACTTCAGGGAGAGCATTATCTGAAATTAGGGGATCAATGAATATGAAAAATAAATACAAAAATGGCTAATAACAAATATAGTAACTGCCGCTTTTGAACATATTTATTCAATACTAAGTGTTTTGATTGGGAATATTTCGAGTGAAATGCCACAAAAGGGCAAAAAAACCTAATAAATTGAATCTCTGGATGACATGGACGTACAATTTGCCTGTTTACTCATCATCATCATTCCTCAAATGGGTGTCACTTTCATTTTAGCTTAGTTTGAAATATGTTTGTCATGAATTAATTATCACATATTACAGAGTTCATTATCATCAATAACTTTCTAATGTTCTGTTCGTGGACAAAATGTTGTGAAACGCGAATCGGGTGTTTTTTCCTGCTTTGTTTGGTTGGGAGAGAAAACTCACGATAGGCCCCACAATGTTGTTATTAAATCATAACTTACATGGTAACGGCATATTTTCAGGCGAAGGTCCGGATTCTGTTCATACATAATCCATATGGTACTGCAGATTACAGCTGGCCTACTATCAATGATAGTTGTGCCATTAAACGAGGGCAGCAAAATCAGAACAAATCAGTGGCCCGCAGTTGAGTGGCGGGGCAAGTACCGTGGTTTCGCTCAATACAACTGCTCCTTTTGCAATCACGTTGCTTTAAATCACGTGTATATGTCTTTTACTCTAAGATTGATGTATAACCATATTATTGAATGTGTTCTTGATTCACCAAAAAGTGTGGATGATCTTCTAAACGACAAGAAACGATCAGCTCCGTAAGTCGTCCTCACACTTTCGTCATCAAAAGTAAAGTGCATAGGAAAGTTAAACTTATTTGCATAACAACACAGCCGCTCGTCCGTGTCCAAGCGATGAAACATACGAAGGAAATATGTTGTACGCTATTGTCTCCCGCGTAACTTGTAAACAAAGAAAGCTCTCCTTGACAAAATAGCAATCATCGCTTTTACTTGCATGCCGCAGTCATGTTGTGAAATGCAACAGTTTCGGCTATTATCAATACCAATGAACCTATATTTACTTTTAATTTCACAGGCTTGTGAAACTTGAAATTTTTGGTGGGTGAGACCTCTTGGAAAGTAATGGGGCCCCATATCTGTTTGCACCGATGATAGTTTTTCGACATGTAGTTTTTATATAATTAATCGTATTCTAATTAAGGCTAACTCATCGCAACCTCCGGACTACATGAAGAAGACTGTTCAGGGTTATTTTTACTTCTTTTAAGAGCGATTGCCCCTCCAGGGCCCATAACCTTCCATTGTTGAAAGCCATTGACTGTTGTCCTCCACCTAGTGTAAACAAAGTGGAGGTATCTAGGGGAAGCACAGGGGAAATTCCCTTTGTAGGGCCCGCGCGGGTAAGGCTAAAATGTGTGAGAAGGAAGAACCGCAGGATAGGCTGTCCGCCGGATTCTGTGAATCTTGCAATGTGATTTTAAAATGAAAGATATACAGGAACAAAGCAATACGACGACGAGAATCCAATGTCACGAAATAAAATTTTCAAAATAAATTAAATTTAAAGAATATAGGCTAAAATGTAGGCTAAAATGTATTTTGCTGCAGCTTTAAAACTACTTGCTTCGCAAAAAGTTGGGGGCGTGGCCATCCCGCCCCCCGGTGGCGTAGGCCCTGCTTTGTCGAAAACTTTCTTGTCTGCGCATAAGGAATTCTGCGGTTTTTGGCTCAGTCTCCTTTCTCCCAGTATTTGCTCATATGGTCTTTTTTCGCTTTTTGTGATTCCCGAAGATTTTGACGTAGGAGCAGGGTGCACACCGATCGCTTACTTCTCACCCCTAGCACCTTTCGAAAAGACTATGGGCCATATTTCTGTGTTTTTAGTTGTTGGTGTTCGGAGAAGACACAACAGAAGAGAAGCCTACAGCAAAGACCTAATAAAGGAAGGGAGAAAGGTCTAATAAGATGGGGAGGTGAGATATTTACTTGCCATTTTAATCTGGTCCGTAAATTTACCTGGCAGTAGGAGAAATAGGGAGATAAGAGCTCAATCAAAGCCTTTGTCGGAGAAGCTTTTGGTTTTGTGCCAGTACCTGACCCTGTACCAGTAGTATAGAGCCAAAAATGTAGAGGGGGGCCATAGAGCTTTCTCCATATTGGATTCAAAATGAATGTTTCAGTTGCTTTGATTTGTATGGCTCCTCAATATCCATTCATTTACTTTTTCATTTTTTCTAGGTTAAATCATCTCCCAATGTGTACCTGCTACTTGAGTAGAAAAATCGTAAAAATAATTATTGCAAAGTAGAAAAATTCTGCCAGCATTTATCGAGTTTTTAGTTATCAAGATGGCTTTTGAGGTCACACATAAATGCAAATGTAAAAAAAACATCGGTTCAATCAAAGATTTGACCTTGGCAGAAAAAAGGCATGATATTTTAGGATTATCCAGAAAAATAGAGGAGGGGGTGCAGCCCCCTTTCTAGAAGTACAAGTGACGACAGGAACTGTTTTTAAGATGCAGTCAGTTTTTCAACAGCATTCCCGTTGAATCAAGAAATTCAACCAATGTAGAAATCTTTAAAACGACAAATGAAAGCCTCATGCTCCTGCAAATTCATGTTCCTTTTATGTTTCTAAATGAAGTGATACACACAGGCTATGCTATGCAAAGTATAGGATGTATTGCATAGATAGACTGTATGTTATTTTACGCATTCTATAGTTATGAAAACATTTTATTTTGTATTTTGTGTTAGTTTTTATCAGCTGGGTATACAAACCTAGTATTAAGGTAGATTTTGTATGCAACGCTAATCAAAACATTTGAAAGAAAAAACTAACGCCACTTGTTCCTGTCGTAGCAACACGAACTACTTTTTCTTGTTCGTTAGAAGGTTTCGTAGCAAGTCTGCATTGTCGTGAAAAGGATCAGACTGAAATTCAAACTATTATGAAATACCAGGATAATATTTATTGGCATCATTCCGATACATCTTTATTTCAAACGCAACCATGAACATCAAAATCATTCGTTTATGTCAAAAAAACACCCTAACATAACGACGTTCAATTCCAAAAGCTCCTCAATATCTAAACGCTAATTCACATAAAATCGAGCAAGAAATTCAGCAAAAACGTTGTCGTTTATAAATGTGGTTAGTAAGTTAGTAAGCACATATTCATACTAGCAGTATGGAAGCTAGAAGGTTCGAGGGCAGCCTCGTATTCAAATCAGCATCTACCCTCGACACGAAATTATTTTTCATAGTGCTTTTCCTGAATGATGTTTTTCATAAATCAGATCAAGTCAAAGAAACGGGTTCAAGTCAATTCATTCGTGGTAAATCAAACATTGAAACAACTGAAAACACGACTGTACGACCGAGTTTTGTGAGTTGTGTAAATCAACTGGTGCCATTTTTCATCTTCAGTGCTTATGCGAGTTCATTCATTGCCATATTTCATTGGTTTGATTAAAATATCCTCGAGTTCCTGATTTATATGATAAACTCAAACGACAGCCTGCTCATCAAAGAAAGTTTTCTTCGTTAATATTTGCTCTAATGAGTAACTGATTGTTTAGCCTCGGGCTTCTAGCTAATGAAATGACTTTTTTCGTAAAATCGTAGGCCTGCCCCCCTCCAAATGAAAGCCGAAATTTCCGCCACTGCTTGGTATCGGCAACCATGGCGACAAAATTTTGATTTTCCGACAAAATAACATCTTGGATCATGTCTAATTTTAAAGGAACTGCACATTTTGATCAAAAAAAAATTTTCTGACGGGACCCTTTCGAAATCTTTGCTGACCACGCCATAATTGAATAGCAAGAAGAACAACCCATTTATGATTTTTAATATTAAGATCGATATCTCATCTAAGACAATTGATGATACAAGAAGTCGACCAATTACACTCTTGACAAGCCGTACGTTCATTTCATGCATTTTATCTTGTTTTCGTCAGTGGGAAATACGTTTGAAAATAACTTTTATTCAGAAGAATCCGATGGAAATTTCGGCTAATATTTACGGAATTGAAACGATTCGCAAGCAGTTTTGATTTTGGACATATATTGTTTGATTGATTATCTAGAACTTACTAATGTTTCATCAGCTATGCTATGTTCAAGTTTTGTAAAAAGGGCACAGAGAGGTTATCGAGGTCCCTGGGTTAAAGAGGAAAAATGCACATCACCTGCGAGCGATGCGAGCAAAAAATTTGGCAATTAAGCCCCTTAAATTAGTCTAAAATTCCGATTTTTGGAGCAGGTTCGACACGTTAAACGGTTGTCAATTATTCGTTGAAAGCCCGATTTTTCCGACGACATCGCTGATTGGGGGGCCATCAAACCCCCATAATTTCCGCCACTGAAACCAAGAGGGAGTATGTGCGTAGTTTGCCCTCACTTTTGTCAAAAATTGTCCATATAATTCTTCCAAAAATGTATAGAAATGCATTAGGTAGGGTTAGGGGGTTGGTCATAATGCATTAGGCAGGGCTCGTAGCCTCGTAGGATTAGGTCAAAACTGGCTACCCACCGACTCAGATATATCTCAAGTAGTTTTTCTCCGCGCGTATCAATCGTGCGCATCTGTCTCTGCGAAGGAATATGTGGATATGAGGCTGGAAAACAAGGAAGGTCTTTAGAGAAAGGCTGGCCTTTTGTGAATATTATTGATCAATACTATATAGCCTTTAGCGTTCAATATCGTTCGAAATGTTTGCAGAAGATGATTTTGAAGTAAGTATGATGTCTTATATTTGCTATCATTATTAACTTAAAATCTACAGAAAAATTTCATGCTCTTCTCGTCAGAAAGGATAAAAAAAGTACCATTGGACATAGCATTTCTGTTCAAGGGAAAACTATAAATTCTGAAGCTTCAGTAAAGTTGCTTGGCGTAACTATAGATGACAAACTTAATTTTGACATTCACATATCCGAACTTTGTAAAAAGGCAGCAACCCAGCTAAATGTGCTCAAAATATTTCATTGGCTTTGATGAGAAAAAGGTATTGGTCCAAAAAGCTTTGTTTTCTCTCACTTTAACTACTGCCCTTTAGTATAGTTGTTCTGCTCGGCTAGATCTATGAAGAAGATCGAAAAATACAGGAAAGAGACTTCTTTGCAAATCACAAAAATGCACAATGCATGTAAATTGGCAAAGGAACCTCTGTATTGAAATTTTCAAAACTGTAAAAAGGTTCAATCCTGAATTCATGCAAAATATTTTCGAACAAAGAGCTTCTGATCGATCCTCACGTCGTCCACAAGACTTGCAGCACTACAGGCCCAACCAAACAACTTTCGGTACAAACAGCCTCAGGTCCCTCGGACCACAATATTGGAATGGCTTACCACAGGAAATAAAATCTGCAGAAAATCTGATCCAATTCAGAAGATTAATTAAAAAGTGGGACGGGGCAACCTGTACATGCAACGTATGCAAAACTTAATGCTTTTATTATAAATTTTTATTTAAAAATTATTAAAAATTGTTAATTTAATTTGTATATTTTGTAAACAATCGAAATAGACAAGTGACAGTTGTGTTGCTTAAAATTTATATATATGTATTCGATTTAAAATAAGATTACAAACAATACTTGTCTCTTCTTATTTTGTGGCTTGAGTGTTTTATGCCTTAGTTTTGAATGTCATTTTTTGCTTTGTCATCAGTCAAAGGTAGTCCTTTGCATTTTACACATCTACTGGACCCAACCTCCTTTAGAGAAATATAAGTGAAGTTTAATTTGCAAGCCAAGCTCAAGTTTGTGCATCCTAGAAAAGAAAACAAATGTCACTACCTGAAATAGTGCCAAGTTATTTTTATTTAAACCTCCAGTAATGGTAAGATTTTGCCTTGCATGGGGGGCCAGAGTGCAAAGTATTTTTTGTGCGCGGGGAATTATTTTCTGTCGCTTATATCGGAACAAATCATGTTGCAAAATGACAAATTAAAAGCTGCGGGTTTTCATTTTTAAATAGCATTTTTAAGGCTCGAGATTAGGCTATGCATGGAATTCGCACGAAAGTCCATGTTCCAACTGTGCGGATTAATCTAAATTTGTAAAAATGCGCGGATGCGATTGGAGCAAAAATTATTACGCTGGGAACGCGTTCCCCATGCCTACCCAAGCACATCAACTATCAGCAGCGGTTGCAGCCGCGCAGTTCCTATTAAAATGATACCTTAAGCCGAAATGATTCATCCAGCTGTTTTTCTCTGAAATATATAACCAAAGGCTACCTACTGTATTTTTATGGTAATTAGTCTCGGCCGCACAAATTCGTGCCCAAAAAATAACAGAGTGGCCTCTATCCACCATGAATTTTTGCTGGTTTGTCCTGCCTGAGGGATTGGAATTCAATTTAGAATTTCATCATGGCATCACAAATAATATCAAGTAAAGGGCTCTTTTCTGACTTATACTGATTCTTCATAAGTATGAAAACATCTAAGTTAATATTCTTGTTTGTAAATTGTAAAGGTTTGTCCAAAATGTTTGAAAAATATAACAATAGATTAATATGGGTATAGGTGAATATTTTCACCTATGCATTATTTGAGAAAGTCTAAAATGCTATGCATACTTCATAAAACTGTTTTTTCCTGATGTCATTTGGGTGAAGTTTAAAAGATGTTTGCCAAAATATTTCACAGGAGCCATATAACTCGGTCAACTTTGTGGAGAGAGTTGCAGCAAAAGTTCATGGAGGTGGCTCAAAAGGCGGATCAGATGCGTTTGACCCAGTGAAGCTTAAAGAAAGTTTTGAAGACACAATACGGTCACTGCAGGGTTTAATGAAAGAAACAGAAGCTAAAATGTCATTTTTAGAAAAGGAATGCACCGAAGAAGAAACCAAACACAAGAAAAACTCAAAATCTGTTGAGAATCAGTTCAAGGTAATCAAAAGATTATTCAGATCAGTAGATTATTTGTATAAACAATAATAAACAATGATCATAAAATGTCCTTAATCGTTTGCATTTTAAATCTTAAATACACCACCTTTTTAAATCAATTCTAAAAAATAGGTTTTTCCAAGGTGGAGATTCGAAGAGAAAGGCTCTTATCTTTAAATTGTTGCTTATTTTCTATACTGAATTCATGGGACCCTTTTGTTTTGCATTTCATGATGCCAAATGTGTATCTTAAATGCTGATTATGCTTTTGTTGACTTGATAGATATAATTTATTATTGTTTAAGCATGCTTAATCATATTGAACAGCTTCTAATCAATGGTAATATTAAAGACATTTACCTGTTATATTCAATCAGGGGAGGAAACTTGGTCAAATATTGGAGGGGCAAGCCTATTGTTTTAATAAGATGATGTCACATTTCCCTATTGTTTCAGAACAAAAGACCACTGTCCTCAGAAGTATTGGCAGGCAACCACCTCCCTTACCTATCTAGGTGTTTGCCACTGTATTCAGTAACTATAACCATACATTTTGAACTGCATTGAACTAGTATGAATAGTCTGAATATGATGTCTCTGGATAGTGTACTTAGAATTGAGGTTTTCAAGTTTTTTTGTAGAATAATTACTGTGTACCTTAGAAAGGGCTAATTTTCTAAAAGGTATGCAGTTAGATTTGCAGCTTTGAAATCCAGCCATTTACAGAAAATAGTACTTTGTCTGAAGAGCTATCACTGCAAAAATTTCCTCTAATAGCAGCTTGATAAACCGCAAACAACAGTACTCTTATTACCAGATGAAACTAACATACATAATGTAAAGATTCAATATTAATCAGCAATGCTGGAAAAAGGGTGTCCAGATTCACAAAAGCCCTGCCTTACCAGCCTCAATTGCTGTATTCTTGCCATTAACGTAAATTCTTCCAGACTGTCATAGGATTGGAGACATGGGATTATTTATGTATGCTGCTCAATGTCATAGTTAGTTTTGAGGGTTTTACTTTAAAGAAAACTTTTATTTTGATGTCGATGTTGTATTTTTAGGACTCAATGCAGAGATTTTATGAACTGGATGACAGAATTAATTATGTAGCTACTAAAGTTGTACACCTTGGAGACCAGCTAGAGAATATCAGCACTCCAAGACAGAGAATAAAGGAAGCCCAGCAAGTGATGAAGTATTTTGAAGAATTTCATTCAGTGGAAACAATATCACCTATCTTTAATGACCCAAGTCAGGTATGTGCATATTAAACAACAAGTGCTATTTTTAATGTAGCACTCTTTCATCAAAATAAGCACATATTCATACACAGTTGAATCCTATTAAGTAGTACTGGATAATTCTGACTTTCACTGAGTAAGAATGATTTTCAATTCCTGTTGGATTTTTAAACCTTTTTCAAGTAAGATAACTTTGCTTAAGAGTCAAACATCCACTAAGTCAGACCATTTCCTTACCTCCCTTGAAATCATTCAGAGATACAGTAAATTCCCAATAAAGGGTTTGGAAACCAAACGAAATGGTATGAGATGGGGAATGTTCGAATTATCAGGAGATTTTCAAATGAAAGTATTAGGCAAGGATAATCTATACCAGCTTGACTTAGCGACTGTTTAAGTTATCAGGGGGTTACTGTACTACACAATATGGTAGTGGCTGTCTGAGCAAATTCAACAAGGTTGACATATATATGGGTTTATGTATTTTGATTATGGTTGAGGCTAATACCTATATGCTGGAATGCAACACACCAAACAGATTCTGGCATTCTAGACAAACAATTGCAACCTCATTAGCTGTGCAAGGAAAAATTAAAAATGAAATGTTTTTCATAGCCTTGATTTGGGGAAGGCATTGACAAATAACCAATGGAAAAGTGTTCTAGTTGGATTTGTAGTTAGTTAGAATTCAACTCTTCTTAGGGGCATAAACGTCTGTTAAAGACTGACAGTAAACAGAAATTTATATCCAAATGCAAACTGAAAGGATGATGAATTTATGCTATTGCTCTTAGTCATAATAAAAGGTTTTCATTCAGAGAAACGAGAGTGATAAATATTTCCTTATTATTAGCATCTCCAAAAGCCTTTGATGTGTTTTATAAAGTTAAAGCTTCATATCAACATTGCGAGATAAGAGTAGCCCATGCATAAAACATGACCTGAAATCTTAGCTTAACTGTCCATGCCGTTTTGTTGGTCCAAGGAAACGCTTTATTTCATATTTTTGTAGTTTTGCTTTTTCTTGCATTTTTTAAAAATATTGGCTTTTTTCGATTAGATTCACGAGGCTGCTGCAATCATCTGCCAGCTATTCATGGTCGCACAGGAGCTGCAAACAGAAAAGTAGGTTGATTTCAATTTTATTAATGGATTTTAGAAAATGATTTCTTGTTTTTTTATTTCAGCTATATATCAGTCCCAAAATCTTTGCTTATTATTCAACTAAATTACTAATAGCTTTTCACATATTTGTAGATTGTAAATACAAAACCTAGCTTCCTGATTATTTATAGCTTTTGTCCTGGTATCATGTCACAGTAAAATCATCTTCTATTGCTTATTTAGGTTCTCGGAGGTGAAGTATCATATTGCAGGTATGTGCTTGAACGATTGTTTTAATGTTTTGACCATTTTCGTCTAAATCCTCAATGTTTTTTAATGTCTTGTCAATGAAACAAGATTAGGAACATTTTCCACTTTTTCTTGAAAATACTCTTCCCTGTTGTTCTTGAAAATAAAATAACCTTGTCGTGGTTTCTATTCTAGAGAAGTACTATGCCATTGAAGGAGATTTGCTGAACAAATTTAAGAACGCATACAAAGATGGTGACATCGAGACTATGGCCAAATGTGCCAACACACTGCTGCCGTTTAAGGTACGTCAGTGGTACAGAGCAGGTATTCAAATTGTATTTTACAGGAATGTCAGCTAGATATTCGCTTTAGAATACAGAATCATCTCACAATATAAGCTGGAGTGTTGAAATTGATGAAAAATCAGAATAGTTCGATTGCCATTGTTGTCGATTTTCCGTAAACACTACCTAAGAGATTGATGATCAAGATCGTTGGCCATCTTCTTTGCAACAATAATAATAATCATGCCAACAAAACCAATAGGAACAGCAACAACAACGCTAACTGCTGCAGCAAAAATACTGATAGTCTTTAGATCATGAATAGAATGAATTACTAGAATAACAAAAATACTAATAACGCACTTTATCTGACGTGATATGTTAGAATATTTAACTTATTTGCGACGCCCTACACATTACTCACCGACCCTTTGTGCCTAAAGCTCCATCATTTTCTGTCTAATAAAATTTTAAATAATTGTAACGGTATTTATAATCTATCGTGGAAAGTAAGTATAGACATTTTTTGTATCAATGTGTTTATGAATGAGCTATCTATCACCTTGGCTACTCGTGCATCCAGGAAAGAATTTGCCTAATGCAAGTTGTGGGCCACCAGCTAGCGTATTTATTTTAATTTAGCTTATGTTTTGGTATGTTTACATTTTTGTCTAGATCTATCCATGTAATGTTGATTACAATGTTTTAAGACATAAAAAGCTAACTCAATATCATTTCACTAATTCACCATTGTTCTTGTTCAAAAATTCAAGGCTCGCTTATATCTGAAAAGTTGACAGGAACTTTTCTAGTGTAGAAAGAGAATAGAACGGGAAATGAGTTCCCTATTGAGGCTCATATATTATCCCTGATCGCAGTTTTTCAAAGACGTTATACTGGATGTAAACTTTTGTTACATGACTGCTGGACATTTACTCTGTCTCATGTGAATAGATATCTTAAAAAGTTCTTTCTACGAATTTGTATCCAAAAAATTGTTGCTGCTTTTTTTAATACACCATCTGCACTCCATAATACTCATTTTCGTACAACTTCTTTTTCACATACATCGCAAGTTGTGGCCGAATATATGCCTGGAATATGCTAGTTCTGATGATGCATTGTTACTTTAGCTTTCCCGCTTCAAACTGTTTTTTATCTAGTTTTTTAACTTTCTGTAGTTAATTTGTTTATCTGCTCTTGTTTGTAGAGATATCAACAATGCTATGAAGAATTGATTGATTTGACGCTAGCGGTGAGAATTTTTCTTTTGCTCGCTGACTGGATATGGTTGCCAAATTGTTGTTATTATAAAGAAAGGGAAGGAAATTAATCCGATATCGAGGCAGACACCCTAATAACAGAGCTTGTGTTTTGTAGTTGAAGAAGTTGACGTTTCCAGCTTCTTCTGCAGATGAAAGCCAAAGAATTTTTGAGTGGCTTCTTATTTTGAAAAGTGGATAAAGTTTTTATCACGCTAAATTTCATTATGTAGCCCACTAAAAGCGTTGTGTAAGATTTTTAAGCTGTTGAGATGAATCAATCAATCTGATGATATTTCTAGAGGCAGAATGCTTAATATTTTTTATTTGGAATATTTGGAATGTGTTTGGATAGCCTTGAAGTAACACCAAAGCGCCATTCCCCAGGCTTTAAAGATATGGCCTATGGCCAACAGCAATTTGATTTGGCATTTTCTACTCTACGGGAATGCAGATTATCAGATGACTGATTGGGAGTCGTTGTGGTCAGTCATGGAATTTCTTCAACTCTTGGGAACTGTGGGTGTGGGTCTGTGATTTGCGTCATATGCTTCTCGTTCCAATTATGAAAGGATCTGTTTTCATACGACTATATAAACCTTTTTATGTAAATCAATATTTGGATACATTATTTTTATTTACCATGGAGACCATTTTGAGCGGAGAAACATTTCTCAAAAACATTTTCTTTTCAATCACTTTTCCCGTAGGCATTTAAAATAAACTTTTTGTTTCAAGTTTTGTTTCAGTTTATAGTTTACATTGGAGAATTTTAATTTGGGCAGGCTGCTTGTAAAATTGGCTACGTGCATTTTGAAATGAAATAATATCAAAGAAGCTTTAAAAGCCTGTGTCGAGAAAGTGAAAACCAAATGAAACTTGAAAAGAAGGGGGGTCTCTAGTGCGAAGACTGCTCAGTCGCTTGCCCTTTAAAAGGCTGTGTCAAAATTTGATGTAGAACAAATTCTCAAGTCACAATGAAAGTGCAATATGATAAGTTTAAGCTTCCAAAGTGTACTGTGATTACAATTTTAGCAGTAAACATTTTATTACTAATGGATTATATACGCTTTGAACAATAGTGTGAAATTCCCCTGAGAATGTGTTACTGGTTTTTGTCTGTTTGCTGCATGGTTGCTTATGTCATGGTTCAGCTTATATAGAACTATGTTAAAATATGTACATTGTCTCTACATTTCAAAGTTTGGCTATACCTTATCATATATGCAGATGGCTCGATCTTTGGTAATCATTTGAGTTCAAGCCCAGACGATAAAATAAGAATGTCGCTTCTGCTAGCAGCTATTGAAATGCATTGCTTGCTTCTAAGTAAAACATATTGTTTCTCTGTATGCCTTGAATAATTTTTTTTTCAGAACAACTTTTTGAAAGATGATGTGTTCGAGAACATCATACCTGCTTGCAAGACTCTTCAAGACATTATCATCAAAGTTTTTGAGAACAACGCTGAGATGATCATGAGCCAGTTTATCCAAACAGTCTTTGATAAAAAAGTACAGGTATGTCATCTCCCTGACCATTCAACTACGTGTCAGGGTTTTAATCCTGCCCTCGACTCCAAGGTTTCGTGTTTAGATTTCTTAGTTGTTAGCTTTGTGCTTCTTAGTAAAAGAAGTGATGTAAAGACGTTTGGCATTGAACTGTCTTTCTCATACCTTGGCTATTCCATAGATGCCGTCTTTGTCTTTATCATTATAGCTATAACCGAACCATTTTTTAACTAATTGAGTTTCAAATTTCAGCCTTAATTCGCTGTCACGGCTTTAGACTTCTGTCATTTGATTATAACCTTTCAAACATTTGATCATAACGCTGCTTTGCAATGTTGTAGACAAGCAGTCGTGAGTTGTTAGATATATGGTGATTTTGGGTTAGAGTAGGTTTACCCCAGTATAGCTATAGTCTTGATATAGAAGGGTGTCTTATTATGAGCTATTGTCGCGGGATTTCTCATAGAATGCTATGTGAGGTATGAGTATTCTGTTAGAAGCAAATGCCAGGCTTATTTCTATCTTCAAACGAGATTGTCTCGCAATTCTTTTTTGAGAACGAGATTGGGTTGTTTCTTAGTATTTCTGTGTCTCAGCAGCTCATTTTATAATTCTTTTTTAATTCTTGTAAATTGCAGAAGTGCGGTACTTTTGTAAACAAAGTAGGAAAATTGTTTTATTACAAATGTATCCATCAATAAGATTCGTAGTTTTGTGAGATATCTTGAATCTTGCGTGCAAAAGCTTGTACATTTAAGCTCCAGCTATTACGACAAAAAAGCGTTGGTAATTTCTATTTTATTTGACGATTCAAAGCTTGATCCCTTTGTGTAACTTTCATGTGATTTCTTTGTTTTTGGCTGTACAAAGTATTCTTTTGTTTTTTTAAGGTTTGTCGAACTTCCCGAACTCTAACCCCTTCTAAAATTATGTTATTGTTGCATATAGCTTGTGGTTTTTCCAAAATACACCCAAAAGCTTCAGATTTGGATTTTTAAAACTTAATACATTAGTTCACTGGAATGTTAAGATATTTTGGTGCTTTACTTTTTATAAAACCAATTGATAAAGCAGTTCAGTTATGTAGCCGTTTCGAAATTAGCGCTTCAGTGAATTAAACTTGGAATTTAATTCAAAGCCTTGTTGCCATAGTTTAAACCATTTACTTCTATTCTGTTGCTATTTGATTTATGATACGGTCTGAGATTAAGAAAAGGGATTAATCTTTGAAAACCCATCATCAACATCAATCCTCTTGGTGTTCAATTTCTTTTAGCGGTTACCTAAGGTTGAAATGCAAGAACAGAAGTTAAAACTTATAAGCTTGTCTGCCCCCTTTTGCGGTAGCATTCGATAACCAAAATATTTCAAACATATCAATGCAGTTGTTGGTATGCAGGGGCGGCGCCAGCCAGACTTCGGGGGGCAAATAAAGCAAAGCAAAGCAAAGCAAAGCAAAGCAAAGCAAAGCAAAGCAAAGCAAAGCAAAGCAAAGCAAAGCAAAGCAAAGCAAAGCAAAGCAAAGCAAAGCAAAGCAAAGCAAAGCAAAGCAAAACAAAGCAAAACAAAGCAAAACAAGTGACACAAGGAACGCAAATTTTATCTCAAGGGAACGCCCTTTACTAACTTTTGTTTTCGTAAAGGCAGTTTTATAATCATAGGATTATATCACAAGAGTACGTTGCCCTACCCCAACATTTTCTCAGCAAATGTGGACGAAATGCAAAATTGATCCTGCCGAGAACTGGGGGCACTATTGTCTATGTGGATTTAGGGTCACTCCTTTAGACACTTACTAGGGATGCAGAATTGCACCATCATATTTCGTCTCTAAGAAGATTTATGTTCAATACGTTATGGAAAGTTGACAACATGGTTGTCCAAAGGGTTGTGACATGGAATCTTATTTATGTTACCGGGAGGAAGTGCCTAGAAATTCTAATTTCTGAAGTAATTTTTAAGGTAATTATGACAGCAAAAGTTAAGGCTTCAGATTTCCACAATAATAACAGCCTTATGTAAAGTTATCTCCTTAACGTATCTTTGCTAGATGCATTCTAATCTAGTCCTATATAAAGTCTGTAAAAAAGGTATGCACAAAAAGTAATGATATCAATTGTTATCTGGTTCAAAATACATACGACACCCTATAGCATTAAGATATGTGAGTTGAGAAGGCATTAGCTTATCTTTTTACAACTATTTTTCTAGTTCTGTGAATTCCGATTACTACACTTCCTCATAGGAATTTTTCTTTGTTTGAACTAAGGGACTTTCAACTTCATTATTGGCTTCGTTAAGGCCAACGGCTTTGTATGTAAACTTGTTTATTCAAGCAAATGCTTCTGTTTCTTTCCAATTAACAGAATTTTCTAAAAGTTCTGAAGTAATCTATCTGTACCAATTCTTTGAGCGCCTTTCTAATAGAAAGGAATTTGGAAACGTAGATGAAACGTATTTTAGTATGATTTTAAAGCTACTGTTTTGAAATTGAATCACAATTTTCATCAGTGCACAGACGTTTCGTTAAGTTTAAGCGGGAACATGGAATACTAGTATTGCTCTTTATGGCGGTATTGACACTAAAAATGGCTTTGTAAAAGCCAGCCATTATCAAGCTATAGTATATTTCAGAATGTTTGCTTTTTTCAAAGTTTTTAATATCTCGTTATAGGGCTACGTTTACAAGCAACTGAGCAAAAAGGAGGAAGATATCGAGTTATACTTGCAGACATTTGCAAATTTGTACAAAAGGTGAGCTTCTGGTTGTTTTTATTATCATTATCATACCTTGTTATTGTACATTTATAAATCAATGATAAACTTCTTGAAAGGTCTTAAAACACCCCATTAACATGATTCAAGATTTTGGCACTTTTAATCAATTTTTAAAACAATTGGGACACCAAAGTGGCAAAAACAGGTATATGTGGCTGATTTGGCCCACAGTTTGACAAATCTAGTGAGTTAGAAAATGCATGGTATTTGCACTAGGGTACGGCGTTCCTGTTCAACTTGTATTGTAATGACTTAATGACAGCATGATTCCCGATTAATCAGTCGTCTTCCTAGACTATAAAACTTTCTTTGTAACTTTTCATCATCATTTCATCATCTAGATATTTCATCAGAATATAATTTCTGTTTTTATCCATTGTGTTAACTAAATTGCTCAGAACTCTTTTAAAAGGAATAGCTAATGTAAACTTTCTTCAGTTTCATGAAAGGTCAATTGAATTTTAATTGCATGCGCGGTTCAATTTGAATTGTATACAATTGACTTTTCTTGTGATGTAACAAGACCAACATTTGCTTCCATTTGTTGCGCCATACCTTTTCTGGTAATACAGAATAATTGAAACAGAAAAATTGATTGAAAAAATGGAATTTATAAATGATGGAGTATTATTTGACAGGGCAAAAGACGTAACAAAAAAGCTGTCTGAGTTCAGACTTGGATCTGATTCAACATTCTTAGATCGTTTGAAGAAAAATGCCTTTTCAAAGTACATGTCGACATACATAAGGTATGTTTCTCATTACAATACTTTGCATTGTTTTCCTCAGTGTTCCGTGCACGTGAAATTTGCATTGCTGTTCTTCAAACTTCTTCTTCAAAGTTTCCCTTTTTAAGACATTTAATTGCAACTGTTGTGTTTATATTGTTATTGAACAATTCTTTGCACGACACCTTCTAAACTTCTGATGGTCACATACCTTTACTTGAGATACAAATTTCCTACTTGAGTTAGTTGTGATCCTCACCTCATTTCTTGGATACCATGCCTTCTAAACACCGTTCGTACTTCCTTGATGTCTGCAAATATCGCCGTTTATTTGGAGATGATCCTGCACAAAGCCTTCTGAGATCTTGTGTTTTTGTTTTTCGGTATCGTGAAAACCTCAAACTCTGGATGATCGTACCAGAAAACTCACCGAAATACTTTTTCAACAGCGACGAAGTTAAGTTTCTAGATGCACGCTCCAGAGCTATATTGGATAAATTCTATGGATCGATTGGACACCAGAAAAAGGAAAAAACGGAAACGAAGAGGTATGTACGAAATTAATTTATAGAATTCAGAGGTGCGAAAAAGCATCAAAGGGGATCATTTTTGTTTCTGATCTTTAATTTTATTAGCTTTCTTTTAATCTTCCTTACTTGTCATTCTTTGTCATGATTTAAGTCATAACTTTCTATTAATGTTTCATTTATCATTTTTTATGTATTATTAACCAAAAGAGGTCGAATATCATTTTCACAGAATTTCTCAGTGCATCTCCATAAGCACAAAAATTTAAACAAATGAATTTAATTATTTCTATTTCATGAATTAAGTACGTTGTTGTGTTTCTCATCTAAAGAGATTGATGCCTGATTCAGGAAATGTTCTATGCTGTTAATGATTCTTTTTATATTCATTATGTTTGATGTAATCAATTCATATTCTGAGAACGCTCTATTTAAGGCGTTCGTAGCAGTCCATTTAATGTTGCATAAATGTTTCGTTAAAAACATATTTTTTATATTTTTTTATTTATAAGCTTCAAAAAATGAGCAGAATTTTATTTTAACTCTCTTTGCAACTTATGCCTCTTCATAGCATCTGAGTGCTTTTTATCTCATGACGTATTTTGTCATTTCAGAATAATTCCGGAAGGGATAATGGCAGATATGCCTGCATCGCTGCAAGAATTACAGCGAAAAATACCGGGGCGCTCACAGCATGGACTGTTGAAAGAAAGTCTCCTGTCTCAGGATGTGGCCATAAACTTGCTGCAAGAAAACAAAATTTCAATTCGCAGATGTGAATTGGTAAAAAAATTCTTTCAAAAATCAAGGTGTCATTAAAAATAGACGTAAATTTGCACTTAATCGGTTTTATAATTCGCAAACCTAAGGATACGTTTCTTTAAAATGGCTCTGTTTCAAATGCCATCGAGATTGCCTTGCTTGCATGTAACACAGTGATTGTTATTTTTTATACCTAAACCTTTCCTATCTGCATGTAAATGAAAACTTTATCGCATGGATTTCGAAAGTGAAATGCTAACTTCGTTTGATATTGTATTGCAGATTTCTAATCCATCTGAATTACCCAACAACATAAGCAAAATTTTCAAGATTCTTCTGAAATATCTCGGCGAGGATCACTTTGAGTATGCTATTGACATGACATTGCAAGGTATTATGTTATTCAAAAAGTTTTTCTTTCAGTATGAAATTTTACATGTGTCCGGGCGGCAAAATATACTTCTTATCAAATTACCACACGAATTCTAGATTCAAATAAATCTTTAAAAAATACTTGATGCTAGAAATTACACCTTGTATTCTGAATAGAGATTATTTCCGGTGGTATCAATATAGCCACTTCCAATACAATCACATTTACATGGATTTATTCGGATATCAAGTTTTAAATTGGATTAAAGTTATTCATATTTATAACGGCACTTTTACCTTGATTGTTTTGGATACAAAATGCATGCATCTACATGTTTCAGAAATGATTCATTTTTTAGCCAAATCGTGAATTAGGCCAAATCAACCGAAGAACATTTTTCTGCAATTGCTAAACTGTAAATACATAAGACTAAATAATTTGTTATTATTAAAATATACACATAAATGATCGATTTTGTTGCAAGAGCTGCGTTTTAAGCTATCGACATCAAACGCAAAAGATATTTTCTAAACTGCCATATGTAATGTCAATTTGTCAGTGATGAAACAGTATGAATTTCGGAACTTCTCCAATGGGATTGATAGATGTCAGCATCCAGCAGCGAAGCAAGCAATCTAATTCCGCCTTTTTTCTTTAGATACGTTCTTTTGAAAATGCTATTTGTTTGATGTGCTCTAGATTTTCATGGGTTTCACAGTTTACAGGGGAGAAAGACGCAGGAACAATTTTCAATGACACCTCTCCTTTCTGCTTGTAAGCTATCCTCCCCTGATTTCTGTCTAAACCTCTTCTTTGTAAAAACCTTGCTTGCAAAAAACATCTAAATACATCTAAATCCATAATGGTAGAAGCTCTTGTAGTTGACCTGCAAGATTCAGGGCATCCGGCGAACGGCCTAATTATGGTGTCCTTTAATTTCAGCATAGCGAGTCATGTTTTAAAGACACGGTTAATTTCTACTATTTTTATTACTCTTCCAGTGCGATTCACCCTTCATACAACGTATATCTTGGCATGTTTTTATGAGAAAAAGAATCATATCCGATTTACTTGTTTTTTTAGTTCTACCTGTTTCGGAACCAAAATCGCCACCTGACCTGCTGTTTCTGAAAGTGTTGCATGAGGCCAACACCATATTTCATCTAATGGAGAAGCATTTCACAGATTTTGTTCTGAGACCTATTGGGTAAGACCCATTTTTTAAATCAAATGCTACATTCAAATTAAAGAAGGTCAAGGGAAGTTAAGAATCTTTTAGATATATGGTAGCAAGTAGTTTTAAAATTTATTCGGAAGCCAGGCAAGAAATGATGTGTTTCTGAAGCTACTCAATATATATTTTATGTCAATAGAGGAATGAAATTTTAGCAATTGAGAAGCTTAGTGCGTCAATAGATAAGTAAATAACGTGAAAAAATGGACCAATCTACTAATGAGAAGATCTTGAACATATTTCTTGTGATGTTATATTTCTTTGCTCGACGCATCACGTTGTGTAGTTTTTGAAGATAAAAGTAGATTTTGTAAGAACAGGTCCTTGCTCTCTGTCAATGTAGTCCAACGGCAGCGTATGTGGAACGTTTCCAGGAAATATTTCTTAAGAATTATTGTGGATGGTTAGGGCGATCGCTGGTCATGGTTTCCAGACATCGTAGATCAAACTACATGATGGAAATTGTGCAAAATTTTCAGGTTAACCATTTTCAGTTTTTGCTGAAGATTGGTTTTACCTTTGTAATACCTGTGACACATGACAAGGTTTCTGTTTTGACCAAATAAAAATAACTGCATTTGATGCCAGTCACATGAAGCTATAGCCTGCGTGTAAACTTTACTTTCCGTTGCGAAGGAGAGCCAGGACGAAACTTGTAACGTGCAGTATTGGCTCTCCTTCGCAACGGAAAGTCAAGTCTGCACGCAGGCTAATGAAGCTACAAATGGCAGCAAAACATCAAAATCAGATATCTAACTCTCTCTCTTCCATGATGTGTCATGATGCCTTTATATGTTGAAGTGTCTCATTTTGCCCGAGCAACTCTTTGCCTGATGACGATAAAACCCCGGAACCTATTTTCAAGATATCTTAAACCATATGAGGTCAATTTCATGAAATAAAAATTGCTGTTTACAGGTCTGTCAAAAAGTGTTCGATCTGCATAGGCAGAGCTGTACAATCTTTTGGTGTAAAGTGTATAATTAAATCAAAAATGTTAAAAAGTGATGTTTCCTTTTCAGATCTTCCCCAGTATACAGTGAGTGTGCCCAAAAGAAAAAGCTTTTAATCGAAAAATTGGAGAGTAAATTGGATCAAGGGACTGAAAAGTGAGCCATTCTCTTAAAACAACTGATCAATGCATCTATAAGTCGATTTCGATTGTTTCTAACGATAAAAGATATAATGTTTGCTAAATAGATTTTTGCGAATTGTAGTGATCCTATCTGTTGCTCATCTGATTTCGAATATAACTACTATGTTACGCTTTCAGATTGATTCATTTTCGCGCATGATCTTTGACTGTGAGGAAATTTTGCTTTATTGTGACAGAATTTTGCTTTGCATCGCTGGCTACACAAAACACGTATTGAACAGCGAGCAGAAGAAAACGGACTTCAAGAGTGACGAATCCGATGGTAATTTCATGGCGGGTCAGACAACGGTATCATATGCATCATGTTTCTTCCTCTTGTCATTTATTGTCATATATTTCACCACTCTCTAATGGCTATTCTATCTAGATGTAGAAATGTTTTCTGCGCAATGGGCAGGATGATAAAACAGCTTCAAGAGGCAGTTATTGTTTATTTCAAAGTAGATTGAAAATTAAATATTTGTGTGATTTTAGTGAACAGAAATTGGTATATTTGAGTGTGTTTGGGATCTATTTTACATCTTAAAATTTATATTCTTCATACAAATGAGGTGAAAAGATACATTTGTACCTAACATGTGTAAATTGCGAGTTATAGGTGTGTTTAGCTTCGAAGCTTAGAGAATTTCCTGTTCAAGTATTTCATTGAAATATTTTATTGCTCTGTTGACAGCTGTGATAGATAAAGTGTCAGTTTAAATAGTATTTTTTAAATTATAATCAGTGGCGTAGCGTCCGGGTATTCAAGGTATTCAGTGAATACCCTGAGATTTCTCAGAAAAAATATTAATACGACGTATAATTGTAATAACTAAAAAATGTTTTGGGGCTATTGATTCTGGTTGAATTCGTTGCCTTCGATATTCTACATTTTGTATAAGTACAAAATATCACGAAATTCATGGAAACAATAACGCTGCGAAGCATAGAGAAGCTGGGAGAACTTTGAAGCTAATTTTGAAGATTGAGTTACTTCATGTTGAATAGAGATCGGTCATGAATACGCAGTGAATACCCTAGACGGTACTTTAACCAATCAAAATGCTCCTTTCCATGAATAATATTTGCCGTTAATCAGCTAAAACAATGGTCTTGTACGCTGAGAAATATGCAGCGTACAGCCTCAAAGTTGGTTCAAAAAAGTCTCGTTTTGAGATCGATGTAAACAGTTAATGGACGTCGGAGCTGTTGGAGTGGTGGATCTTCATCGAAAACAGTAAACATGACTTCATTCAAAGCTATTGCAGTGTCCGTATTACTGTTTAATAATCATTCTCTCATTTGACCCCTAATCTTAACCTACCAACAGCAAAGTGGAAAGGAAAGGTAGGCTTCTACATAATGCTATGCTAACTCAGATCTGTGCCTCTTGAAATGCCAATTTTGTTATTGCTTGTCAATCAGGGATGCTTCTGTTTGTATTATGTGATAGAATTAAAGTGAATGCAGATAGGCCTGGATAATATCCTTATAGTTGCCTGGTGTATTCAGTTATATTGTTGGCCTATTTTGTTTGCATTATTCGAGCGCATTTAGTTGCATTATTGTGCAGTCTCGTCTCATTACCTTCGATTCTTTCAATCAACTTGTATTGAAAATATCACGACTAAGCCATGAAGAAAAAGTCTAGACTGCATCCACTGCATACCACAAACTATTTATAACTCGTGTAATGCCCTATGTGAATACCTTTCGAAAGCCCTTTTGTATTAAGGTATCAAGAGAAGGTGTTTACAGTTACTTCCTCTTTAAATCAGTACAAATTTTAGAGGATTCAACAACAACTATTGGGACATATTTCGACTAGCAAAATTTTACTGACTTTCAATGATACGTTTTGATTTGAATTACTTTTGATGAAATGGTTAGTGGTATTTTGATGCAATGAATGAGTTCGAAGAGTATATTTGCGTTGAGTTTTTTAGCAAAGTATTGTTTTCATCATAGTAATGCCCTGACAGTGCAGTACTTGCCAACCGAACCAGAAAGAAAATTAGATAAATTGTCAATAGCTAGTCCTTTTAATCCTTCTATTATCCCTCCTATTTCCAGCAAGCCACACCCTGCCCCACCCTTTTGTTTAATAGAGAATACCTAGTTGAAAAAGTCACGCTACGCCACTGATTATAATATGCCGTTGGCTGGAGTGCGGTGCATATGCGCACAAGAATTCAGCAAATGCTTATTGAATAGATAATATATTAATTTTGTAAAATGATGATACCTTTCAAGTCGTATACAACTTAAATCGTTGCAGGCTTGCAAGAAAGTGTGCAGCTACCTCAAAGGTACCGTTCCTGGCATTAAAGATTCCCTTGACGGCAAGAACCGCGAAGTTGTTCTTACTGAGTTTGGGGTCAGATTCCACAGGGTGTTGCTTGATCACTTTAGCCAGTTTGTTTACACGAGTAGTGGTACGTACCTCCATTTAAAAATCATTAACTTTTTATTTTTCAGCAAAATAGTAACTGGCAATTTTGATTCAGATCTTACGTGTTCGAAACTTTAGCTGCTGCCCAGGCAGGGGTGTAGTGCTAGGAGGCTTAGGGGGGCTGAGACCCTCCTGTTGATGCAGAAAATCGTCAAATTTCTAGTTTTGGAGTTGTTCTTTGCAATGTTTTGTACATGAACATCCCTTCTTATTTTAATAGCACTACGCCACTCGTATCAGAATCTAGTTGCCAGCAACCAGAAGTCTTTTTTTGAGAGAAATACCTAATAGAAAAGGAATGTCATTGCCAGTGGGGGGAGCAAGATGCTTTTAATCCGAAAATAATCATCTATTTTTTGTCGTGAATTTATTATTCCAGAATTTTTGTTGTTTCCTATCAACATGAGATTAATCCACCCCTATTGACTTGATATAAATATGCAACTTACGTCTTTGAACTTAAAGAGGAGATTAAATTTGACCAGAATTCTGCTTATGCTGTTATCTGACGCTGACAGTTGATCGTGAGTCTTTAGTAGGAAGTTACATGTGGGATTACCATAGGAGATGTCTGATATTGAATATCTGCGATTGTCAATTGTATTTGAATGGAAAGATTTAAAGCAGGGCTTCCCATTCAAAATGCTGCAACAGAAATGGAGGATGTGAGAAGTTTTTGTACTTTTCATGACAATAATGTGTCTGAAAAAAGGATATAAGACTTATTTAGCCCTGTTATCAAATTTAATTTATGTCCCTCATTCGTAGCTGACATTGCATTTGTGTGCTTTTTTTTAAATAATCGATTTTTGCAGGTGCAATGACAGCCCTTTTTGACATCAACGAATATCGACATGTTGTAAAAGACTTCAAAATCCAACTTCTTGATCGCTTATTTGCCACTATGTATTCACTCATGGATCTCTGCATTGTTCGTCCTGAAAACCTCAAAGATGTTTGCACAAATGAACAGTTTGTAAGTTCGGCTGATTAAACTCTTTTCTAAGGCTCTGATCGATGCCTCTAAATTATCACTTTTTCACGTTTTTGTCTTCGCTGTGATGGTTAAACCAGAAAATATAGTAACAAGCATTTTCAATGATAGTCATTTGAACATTTCTAAATTTTACTGTGTTCCCTTCCGCGAATCGATCGAAAAACTTTGCTTTTGGTATGCCTGTCAGAAGACGGCAGTGGAAATGAAAAGTCTGTTGCTGGAAAATTTCTTCCCTGATGGAAATACCTTTTTCCCGTTAAGCTCCAATAAACAAACTATTGATGCATCCTCACTCTTGCCCATTTTACAAGAAATTTTGATAAAATGTTGATGGGTTTGGCAAAGGTAATATTCTGTACTACGATCTTAAACATCCGCCAATGTTGTAGCCAATTTAAATGGATTTTTATGAACCTCTAAAAGTTTTATGAAAAGTTTAAATGCATTACAGAGCTACTTTTACTTTCTAGATATCATTATTGTATTTTCTTTTTGCTACCTAACTTCTGACCTAACTACCTAACTACTAACTTCTTTTTGGAACTCTAAGCTATTTTGTGTTCTCTGTGTGCTCAAAAATTTCTCAGTGTCTTTATTTTTTTATCCAGGCTGGTCTTGACAAAGCTATTCTACAACAATTCATACAACTGCGTGCCGACTACAAAAGTGCAAAATTAGCCAAAAGTTTCATATAATTTTCAGAACAATTCATTTGTAAATAAAATTATTATGAATTAAAATAGTATGCCAGTGTTTTTCATACAAGATTTGTTGCTTCGTTAGAGGTCAACTGCCCCTGTTTAAAAACCAGCTCATTGTTTCAAGCAGAGTTCCTGCAGGTTGGTTGCGTTTGAACTGTGAGGTTTGAGAAAGTCATAGTCGGATTAGAACCACTGGCAATCATTTCTGACAAGACTGCGAGAAGGTTGATGCTTCCCTGCTGTATTTACTCGAATGACTATACGTTTTCGTTTTGGTCAACAAAAATCCGGTAATATGTCCAGTAGACTTTCAAGGTCAATAACCAAGAAATTTTTAAGTTGGGGGGGTGGTCCTTACTAGAGCGGGAGGCCCTAAATTGGAAAATGTTTTAAAGATTAATAGGGGGCGTTTATTAGGAACCTGAGATAGTAGGACAGAAGTATCTTGGTTCTGACTTGAATCCCCGTGTAAATCTAACTACAAAGCTCGCTTGCTTCATCTACAGAAGTGTGGATACTAATCTTATTCATATCCGGGACTTTGGAGCGCACTGCAGACTGGGGGCTTGGGAGGGGGATGAAACGATTTAGTAGATGGTTTTAAAATACATTGATTGATAATTGGGGGTGCAGCACCATGTGCTCCCGCTTCTGTTATCTCTTTTTCACAGTACGTTTATATAAAGGCTGAGCAATATGAACGGGCTGCTTTTTTATTAGCAAAACGAAAGATATGAATACGGAAGACTGATGACCTACGTTTTTGAAATTAATTCAAGTTCTGTTATTGTGTTGCCAGTGCCCAGCCAATCTCGCGACAGAACGATTATCTTGTTAGCGAAATAAAGGTAAAAAAGATTTGTTTATTTTTAAAATTGTGTCGATGTTGAAGGTGATTAATTGTTAATGGCAAACTTATGGAATGCAGTGCTACCGACTAGGTTGCAGCGGTTAACAGAATCCAGTAAATTCGCCAAGATCAGTAATTCGTTTTTCAGAATTTTGTAACTTAAGGCTAAAAATCCTTTAAAATTGTTTACAATCGCGATTACAGCAGCTTATTTCATGTCTATAGAAACAGTCACAGGAGTGGGCTGCAAAACGGCTTTACGAATTGGGCACTAATTGCTTGCAACGAACTGGTGTAGCCAAGATTTTGTAGCCCCCTGTTTCCAAGTTTGAGTAAACAGTAGTAGATTCAATCAAATAGTTTTTTGCTCGTCATCGTCAGCTGCCAAAGTTCGTGTGTAATCAATCGTAAATAGATCATGAATGGAAAAACGTTCAAAGTTTGCCCTTGTTTACTGTATCGGCATGCCAATCTGCCGAAGAACCGCCTGATGCAAACGAGGCCGCTTCGGAATATATTCAAAACAGACAGTAAATCATCTTTTCGATCGATGCATCTATTTTTTGGCTGTATTTCACCCGCTGAGACTTCACTTTAACCAGAGAAACAGCAAAAAGGAAAGATAGCGGCAAGTGTAGAGTGCATTCACAGTTTACAGCCGTGTTGTGAGTGCAGACGTTTCTTTGCTATAAGACCCTAGTCTTCGACAGTATGACTGTTAAAGCAAAAAGTGTCCCAGTTACGGAAGAGTTTGAAAACGAAGAAAACTCATTCACACCACGGAAGAAGAAAACTAGATTGATAATTGCTGGAATTTTATTGTTAGTTGTTGCATCTACAGCAATTGGCTTGAGCGTTGGGTTAACAAGAAAGGAAAACATTGAATCTTTGCAGCATAAAAGAAGATCAGGTTTGTTGAACAGGTTGTACTGGAGAGGCGATAAAACTATAATTTTGCAGATCTCTGTTCTTCAACTGTCACATAAATGCAGAATAGCATGTTATTCTGAACAACAGAGAACTCCTGATTTTACAGGATGTTTATAAAAAAGATGCCCAAATATATTATTTTCGCTTTTTTGTAATTGGGAAGTGGGTGAAGGAATTTTCTCTTAAACTTTATTTTCCTTCATTTTGCTTTTACTAAGAAGAATTGCATCTGCAGTCACATCTATCTGCTGGGGATGTTTTGAGGTCCAACAGTTAGGCCGATATCATGCTTAACACCTAACTGCAAATGTCAGATACCTGCGATGATAAATCACATCCCTTTGTCTGTGCTCAATGGTGTATGACCAAAAACAATACTGTAGGGGAAGTAATCAATCTACTGTAGGAGGGGTCATTTGTGTTTGTGTTACCGGAAGCGATTAACTACGTACCGAATCCTAGTCCGAAGAAAATTGCCATCAGGATTCCAGCGGGAGTTGAATTTTTGAAGTAGGCGGGGGAGAGGGTTGCTAAGCATGACCATGGATGAAGGGGCTGGGGGCCTCCCACTTTTTTGCAAAAGAATAGAGCTTTTTTTCAAAATTTATAGTTATGGGTGTTAATTTTGGTCTTGCCCCCCCTCCCCCGACTTTCCAAAATGTGTCGGAGCCCATGCTAAGGTAAATATTTTCTTAAAATTCCGACAATGCAGGGATTTTTTGACAAAGCTTCAAAGGGCTCCCTACTGACTGTGTGAGCCGTTTTATTGTTTCTCTAGAAGCTGGAACTATATAAGTTTTGAACAATGAAAAACGGATGATATGAATCCCAATTGACTTGTACAAAGACGAAACAATTTTTAAACAATGAAGACGCAAAAAGTACGTTCTAGCCGGGGGAATTTTTTTAGAGGGATCATAGACAAAGTATTCTGCAAAATTCCCGACAATGCAGGGATTTTTCGACAAAGGGGCTACTGTACTGCCTGCGTGAGCCGTTTTGAAGTTTTTCTAGAAGTTGACAACATATTAGTTTTTGAATCAATGAAGAAACGATGAAACAATAGTATGATGTAAATCCCAGTTGACTGGCACAAAGACGGAACTATTTTTAAAGAAAGAAGATGCAAAAAGTACGTTTCAGTCGAGGGAATTTGTTTAGAGGGGTCGAAGACTAAGTACGCAATAACCGGACGTACCTTCTAAACAAGTGTGTTGTAAACAGGGGTAAATTATTAATGTTTTGTATTTCTGGCATCAGACACACCAATGCGTTTTATCAAAAAGCAATAGGGGCGCCACGGCGGTGGGGAGACTGAGGGAAACTCGTCCCTCTTCTCGAAAGGAACGATTTACAATTTTGGCCAAGTATTTTTTGTGATGTGGCTCTGTAGTTTTGAAACTGCCTCCAGTCGTGCGCAGGGGCGGACTGAAAGGCCTTCCTTATTGGAGTGCTGCAGTATACAGGCACGCTGGAGCCGGGGGACTGGGTGGGTGGTAGTCCACCCCCAATATTTCGCCAACGTATGATATCAAGGTTGTGCCATCAAAGATGATGGTGGCAAACTAAGTAAGGAGCCCCCCGTTTCTCTAGAGGCCTCCAGACGATATTCAAGAACACGTTACTGTGCTTATGCCACATAAATTTGGATAGAATTTGAGGACGTTTGAAAAGTCTTTCAAGGTTTTAGCATAGAATATTAAGTGCAAGAAGTCGAACACAGTATAACAACAAAATATGAACATAAAAAAGATTAAAAAGCTTTGGAAAGTTGGGATATTATTTTGCAAAGTAAAAATCGCAAAAAGTTCCCCTCATCCAACCTTTTTGAAGTCAGTCTATTCAACCCAAACAATCCTTCATTTCTATCAGCAAATCGTTCGCAATCAGTAAAATCAGCGTCCCCTGTTGGTAAAACGGCGTGTCCTGACAGTACCAAGGGCGTGGCCTATTTTTTTAAATGTTTTTACATGAAATATAAAGCAAGTGTTTATTTTAACGTGCAGTGACAACCAATTTGTGCAGTGATAAATCGCAATTGGGCAATGATAAACTCAAATTTTGTGCAGTGAGAAAGCTAAAAAAGAAGATTTGGTAGTGAATAAGTGAAATTGCAGCAACTACCAGTAGACACATAAAGCTTATAAAAGAGCATTATGATATTAAAAACGAGAGCATAACAGTAACAATGATCATAATCTATAAAATCTCTCTAAAAGTTTATCGAATTTAATATCTAGAAACTATCTGATTTGTTTTGTTTTTCATTTTCTCCTTTGAGATCTTTGTTCTCGAAAATCTGTTTAGACCTAGATAACTTTTCCTCGTCGAAATCTTTTGTAAAGCTTGAGTGAGAGCTGGTTTAATTCGATAATTTCCCATACAGTTAGCTCAATAGGTGTGGTCACCAAAGTTTTCAAAAGGTAGCACCCAAATGTTTGAAAATTTTGAAAATGTGCAGCGAAAAAATTGCTCACAAACAGACACCAGCATATTTTCTGTGGATAATAAACAAATGAGTCCAGGGACAAGGGAAAATCAGTTACTTTCCTAGATTGGTGTGGCTCAGTCACAAAGAGGAATTTGGCAAAGATGGCAGTGTTATGATATCAAGACTCAAATTTGAATTAACTGAGAATAATAGCAAGGCTCAAATTTTATCGAGATTTTGCGCTGTGCCTGTATGTTTTAATCGTGTGATCAGTCAGAGATTCACTGATCACTTAAATCTAATAAATTGCAAACAACGGAAAGATGTCAATTCCATACCGTTAACTAAATTATTAACTTCTACCCCTTGAACAAGCCTGGGTCCTTTTGAAAAATGTCCTCACCGCTAAAAATTCCTTTAAAATGCCTAAAAAATAACGTAAACGAATTTTAGGAAACTTATTCTTTGACAGAAGTAAAGGTAAGGAAAAGAGTTTATGACAAAATTTTAAAACGGAAAGTTCTGGTGACTTAAGCATCATAGTTCAGTCGGTAATTGCGATCCTGCAAATAATGGGGCAGCCACTGTCTTCTTTTGGCTTCCCGCCATTTGTTCTGTTAGAAAAACGTGTAGCTATATCTCTCTAGTAATTCTTGTGTAAAGAATTTTATAATCCTATGCTCCTTTATCAAAGACAGATTTAAGCAACAATGATTGAGGTGGGGTGCTAGATACTAATTTGATTTTGGTGCCACACCCTTCAGGTCACTTGAAAATTATTGAAACCCCCATTTTCAATATTCAGTTTTAACTTTACGGTAAAGAAGATAACAAGATAAGTAATGGAAGCGAAATTTACTGCAGGACAAAGAAATCTGGTCATAGCCTTTTTCAAGAGAATTTAGCTATGGGGGCAAACCATTGTTTAAATAAAGAGTAGGTCAATAGCCTATTGTTTAAGAAATGAAAAGTCACTGCGGATTTAGGGGTTATTGCCCCCCCCTAGTTAGTATGTTCAAAAAGACCCTGAATCTGGCCCTTGCAACAAGCAAGGATTTTTAGCGTAAGCGGAAGCACATAACAATCCGAAGCATACAGGGGTGTAGTGCTATCAAAATAGCAACGAGGGCTCTTGCACATAATGTTGCTGAAACGATAGCAAAAGTATAAATTGGTTATATTTTTGCATTAACAAGGGGAGGGGGTAGCCCCTTGGACCCCCCATCACTATATCCCTGGAAGCACCCGTCCTTAAACCACGTACAATTTCTTAAGGTGAGCGTGTATGCCCTTTTGAAAAATGCCTCACCACTCCAAATCCTTATAAAATACCCTGGTTAAATCATAAAAATTAATTTTGCCCCCTAATTTTGAGCTTCGTCGAAAAGCTAAATAAAAAAAGACATTGAATAATAATTGAAACTCAAAACAAAAGTATATAATTTTTGTCTATTGAAACGTATAAGACATCGTAAGGTGTAAATTGAATTTTTAAGGAACGAGAAGGGCAAGTGAAAGAGTAGCACCAACAGTAACTGTTTATACACGGTTGAAACGAAAAAAGGAACAAAAATCTCATTAGAAAGTTGCTTTTGGAAAGGCGGAAGGCCGCCCCGTTATTCTTCCGGGCCTGCTTCAAAAGGTTTCTGCTCAAATACATATGTCAAAATGTAATAATGAATTACAAAAGGAACTAGTCCTAAAAGGAACTAGTCGCTGCCATTACTGGTGCTAGTTCTTTTAAAGTAGGAGGTAGCATGTAAAGAACATATTTAATTTGAGGCTAGGGACCGTTATTTTTGTCACCTTCACCTCGTCGGGCATCATCTAAAACTTGAGAGCCCCCTCTTTCCCATGTCCAAATATAGGCTAACTCCCCCTCAATGAATACCAAGAAAAACTTTGTTCTTTTCGTATTTATCATCTAACCACACCTTTATCCTATTGAAAAGGAACCTCGTTCAGGTTTCAGGTCAAAAGGCCAGGGTCACAGTTGTGACTGAGGAGTTTTGCCCAAGTAGAATTAGTTTCACATTTTTAGATATTATTTAGTTTTTAAGAATTTAAGTTGCAATGTCTTCTTCAGACGGGAAGACAGCACCTTATGGAAGCTGGAAAAGCCCTTTGAGCAGCAAAGTCGTGAGCAGTAGCTCTATTTCATTTCACGATTTGAGAGTCGACCCTCGAAATCCAGGTGAGAAATGATCTATCAGTTAAACTTTAAATGATTTTTTATATTGTTCCATAAGGAGTTTTTAAAGAAAAACTGGAATGTTGTCTTCTGAAATCGCACATTCTTGCTTATATTGAGGAATTTCGAGTTAATTGTTTTCTAT